TACAAAGGTAATGAGCTCCAGGTAGAGCTGGTCACACTCATGACAAGTTACAAAGGTAATGAACTAGATCTGGTCACAATCATGACAAGTTACAAAGATAATGAGCTCCAGGTAGAGCTGATCACAATCATGACAAGTTACGAAGATAATGAGCTCTAGGTAGAGCTGGTCACAATCATGACAAGTTACAAAGGCAATGAGCTCTAGGTAGAGCTGGTCACAATCATGACAGGTTACAAAGGTAATGAGCTCCCCCAAGGGTTTTTGTAGGGGAAAAAAAAAATAAAAAAGGCTGGTCACAAATTCATGGACACAGTTACAAGGTATGAGCTCCAGGTAGAGTGGTCACCAGTCATGACAAGTTACAAGGTAATGGCTCAGGTAGGGCTGATCACAATCATGAAAGTTACAAATGTATGCATCAATACACCTCCATAAATGTTACAAATCATGAACATATTACACTGTAACTCAGCAATTACAGATTTAGGGAATGCATCATTGGCCCAACAATAGATGTTGCTAGGTGCCTGTCCCTCCTCGGCAGGACAATCAGACAGCCATTGCAAAGGACAGCAGGTTGCGCCAGGATCTGCTGCTTGCAGGAGCACCAACGCCCTTCCCTAGAGGTTTGCGTCCCGTGTGATGTCTGTACTTGGTAGTGGCTATACCGAGTCATTGATGTATGTGTTTAGGTCAGCCCTGAGCTCCATAAAAATAAGACCCAGAACAGAAAGTTACTGGAGGTTTCAGTAATTTGCTTTAAACATCTTTGTTTTTGTGTATTTATTTTGCATTTTATCCTTTATCGAGACAAGTATGACGAAGGGTCACGTGAACCTGCGTGAGGGCCAGGTGATAGGAGACAGGTACCAGGTGATCAAGAAACTGGGTAAGGGAGGCTTCGGTAGCGTCTATGAAGTCTATGACTTGAACACCAACGCCTCCCGAGCCTTGAAGGTAGAGAGAGAGGGCAGAGGCGCTCTGAAAGGCGAGTTCCAGGCTCTGAAGCACTTATAGGTTGTTGAAGGTGTGCCTGCTGTGTATGAGCACTGGAGGCTTGGTAACTACAGTGTCATGACGATGGACCTCAAGGGTGCCAATCTGAAGTCTGTGGCTCAGGGTGTGGGTGGATCTCTTCCCATGGTGACGGTCAGCCTTCTGCTGGTCCAGATGCTCGGGCTCCTGCATCGGGGTTCACGAAGCTGGGTTATGTCCACAGTGAATAAAACCACAGACTTGTCTGTGATCCTGGTATGACTGTGCAAGAGTGCCACCAGATCTCCCTGATAGACTTTGGCGTGGCTATCAAGTATCGCGATGAGAAGGGCGACCACCTTCCACTCCGTCACAACGTTAAGCCCAGGGGAACTTTTCACTACATGAGTGTCCACTGCCACATGAAGGAGTTGCAGTCGCGCCAGAGATGACATGGAGTCCTGCTTACTCTGATTTCAACTCCTTAAACGGCAGCCTGCCCCATGGTCGCACCTTCGTGGGAACGAGGTGAGAACACGCATCGAAGAACTTAAGAGGAGCGGCACGTCGGTCGTGTTCTCAGGCCTGCCGGCAAAGTATTATCGCTTTTTGAAGTACACTCGCGGGCTGAAATACGACGAGGAACCTAACTACGGCTACTGGCAGAAAGTGTTTCAGAAGGTTTCCGAGAGGCATGCGGATCAACTAGTCCTGGCAGACAGAAACCAGAGAATCCACCTTCCGAAGAAAAACTCCCGTCCCTCCTCAGCCTTCATGAGGAGCCGTACACTGTGACGATGATACTTTTATTTTAGTCGTACCACTTCATGTCTGTTTCGTCAAACACCTGGATTCCCTCCACTCGTAAATTCGCACTTTTAATGCGCGTTTTATTTTAAAAAGCGCTAAATCTTCATGGGTTATACAGCCACACCTCATATACTGGGAGCGATGCAGGTTCCTAACCTGTATTCGGGATAACGCAGGGAGGGAGAGATTACATGATTATATACACCTGGAAAATCCTAGAGTCTAGTACGAACTTGCACACGAAAATCACTCATACGAAAGACAAAAAGATTGGCAGGCGATGCACATCCCCCAATGAAAAGCCAGGGTGTCACTACGCAACGTTAAGAGACATACAATAGTGTCAGGGGCCCGAGGACTGTTTCAACTGCCTCCCAGCACCAAATAAGGGGATTACAACTGACCTGCAGTCTTCAAGCTGGCACTGGACAAGCACTAAAAGTCAGTTCCTGATCAGCCGGGCTGTGGCTCGTACGTTGGTTTGCGTGTAGCCAGCAGCAACAGCCTGGTTGATCAGGCTCTGATCCACCAGGAGGCCTTGTCACAGACCGGGCCGTGGGGGCGTTGACCCCCGGAACTCTATCCAGGTAAACTCAGGTAAAACACCGTAATGCAGTCTCCATAACTGTTTAACTGAAACCGATTGATGACACTGTCTTTTCGTGAATATAGGAATATCTGTACTATCTACCCAGCGTATTTCAACAAGGTCACGTATTACTTGATCATAATAAAATATTGTATTATTTTTTATCAAAGCCACACAACATATTTTCCATCAAAATGGCCCCACCACGACTCACACGACACATCACGAGTGGTGGTCGATGCGATACTCCACCGTGACAGCACACACATTCTAGTCGTACTTGTTGGGGACCACCGTGCAGCACACACATCACCGAGTGGCCACACCGTGAAGCACACACATCACGAGTAGGCACACAACCCGAGAAGCACACACTTCACGATGTGGCCACCGTAGTGCCGCACACACCTCACGAGTAGAGCCACCGTGAAGCACAAGCACTCACGAGACGATGGCCCACCGCTGAAGCTCCAATATCCAGATTTGGCCACCGTGAAGCAACACATCACGAGTGGCCACTGTGACAGCACACGCATACAGAGTGGCAACACGTGAAGCACCACCATCCAGAGTGGCAACGTGAAGCACACACCACGAGAGGCACCGTGACAGCACACACATCACGAGGTGGCACCGTTGAAGCACACATCCAGGTGGCCACCGTGAAGCACACATCCGAGATGGCCCCGTGAAGCACACACATCACGAGTGGCCAACGTGAGCACACGATCACGAGTGGCACCCCCCGTTGAAGCACACACATTCCAGAAGTGGCCACCGTGAAGCACACACACATCCAGAGTGGCCACCGTGAAGCACAATCACGAGTGGCCACCGTGAAGCAAACACATCACGAGTGGCCACCGTGAAGCACACACATCACGAGTGGCCACCGTGAAGCACACACATCACGAGTGGCCACCGTGCAAGCAACTTCACGAGTGGTTCACCGTGAAGCACACCATCACAAAGTGGCACCGTGAAACACACCTCGAATTGGCCACCGTTTGTGTGAAAACACACTTCACGAGTGGGCCACCGTGAAGCACACACATCACGAGTGGCCACCGTGAAGCACAGATCACGAGTGGTCACCGTGAAGCACACATCACAAGTGGCCACCGTGAAGCACACACATCACGAGTGGCCACCGTGAAGCACACGCATCACGAGTGGCTACCGTGAGCACAAACATCCAGAGTGGCCACCGTGAAGCATCACACAATCCTGAGTGGCCCACCGTGAAGCACAATCACGAAGTGGCCACCGGTGAAGCAAAAACACATCACGAGTGGCCACCGTGAAGCACACATCACGAGTGACCACCGTGAAGCACACATCACGAGTGGTCACCGTGAAGCACATCCGAGTGGCCAACGTGAAGGCACTACACATCCACGAGAGGCCACCGTGAAGCACAGCTCACGCAGTGGTCACCGTGAAGCACACACATCACGAGTGGCCACCGTGAAGCACACACATCACGAGTGGCCACTGTGAAGCACACATCACGAGTGGTCACCGTGAAGCACACATCACGAGTGGCCACCGTGAAGCACACACATCACGAGTGGCCACCGTGAAGCACACAATCACGAGTGGTCACCGTGAAGCACACATCTCGATGTGGTCACCGTGAAGAACATATCACGAGTGGCCCACCGTGAAGCACACACATCACGAGTGGCCACGTGAAGCCACACATCAGTGTGGCCACGTGAAGGCACACATCACGAGTGGTCACCGTGAAGCACACATCACGAGTGGTCACCGTGAAGCACACACATCACGAGTGGTCACCGTGAAGCACACATCACGAGTTGTCACCGTGAAGCACACACATCACGAGTGGCCACCGTGAAGTACACACATCACGAGTGGCCACCGTGAAGCACCATAGTCCGTGGTCTCCGTGAAGCACACACCACTTCACGATTGTGAGTCAACGTGATCGCACCAACACGAGTGTGTCACGTGAAGCACACACATCACGAGTGGCACCACGCGAAGTAACACACATCACGAGTGGCCACCGTGAAGCACACACATCACGAGTGACCACCGTGAAGCACATCCTTTATAATTTACATGTATATTACTATATATGATAACTGTATGTATGTGTATACCTGCACTTAAATAAACATACTCAAAATATGACTCGAGACCCGCGTCAGGAAGCACTTGCTAACAAACCTTACCTAACCTTAAGACAAAGACCCCAATGGAAATAGGTCAATTTAACTACCGAATTATCTCTGTCAGAGAAAGGATGACAATGTTAGTGCTAGATTTATCAACTTGCCCTTTCTTCTCTTAAATCTAACACTAACATAAGTAACTTTGTCTATTTTGGGGGGGGGATGTTCATCCTAGGTAACCTACACATATGCTGCTATTATGATAATTTATGTAACTGTATTTATATACCTGCACCTGAATAAACTTAATATTCTAATAAATAAGGACCCCAATGGAAATAAATCACTGTCTGACTTTTTTGGGTTATCCCAGGTTCTCTACACATATGCTGCTATGTATGATAATCTATGTAGCTATTTGTGTATACCTGAATAAACTTACTTGCTTACTTACTTACTTAAAAAGAAACTTATATTTGAGTGAGTTTACCCTAGCACTGGGTGTTCTCTGGATGGGTAACTACAGAAGACCTGTGACATCACTAGCAATCAGCTGGTTTTGACAGCTACCTCCAGTGGTCATCAAGCTCCCTTGAAAATGTAAGTACTGTGACTAGTATCTTAATAAGTTTATTTAGGTATACACAAATATAGTTACATAAATTATCATACATAACAATATATGTGTAGAAAACCTGGGATAACCCAAAAAAGTCAGACTGACTTATTTCCATTGGGGTCCTGTTAATTCCTTATTATTATACTATAAAGGAGATAATATATTATTATTATATCTTCTTATTTGCAGCCTGTATTAAATTATTATTAGCGGGAGTTAAGGTGAGGTTGACTGCTGAGATGAAGGCCAGGAATTGTATGATATTGATGGTGGTGATGTGTATGGCAGCTGGCTACCTCATTAGCAGTTAATTATATAATATTCCTCAAGGGAGGTTAAGATATAAATAATATTCCTCAAGGGAGGATGGGATATAAATAATATTCCTCGAAGAGGATGGATATAAACTATTCCTCACGGAAGATATGTATATAAATAATATTCCTCAAGGGAGGATAGGATATAAATATTCCTCAAGGAAGGATAGGATATAAATAATATTCCTCAAGGGAGGATAGGATATAAATAATATTCCTCAAGGGAGGATTAGAGTATAAATATTCCCCAAGGAAAGGAATAGGTTATAAATAAAGTCCTCAAGGGAGCGATTGGATATAAATAGATATTCCTCAAGGGAGGTTTAGGATATAAATTATTCCTCAAGGGAGGATAGGATATATATAATATTCCTAAGGGAGGATAGGATATAAATTAATATTCCTCAGGGAGGATTGGAGATAAAAATAATTTTCCTCAAGGGAGGATAGGATATAAATAATATTCCTCAAGGGAGGATAGGATATAAATAATATTCCTCAAGGGAGGATAGGATATAAATAATATTCCTCTATAGGGAGGATAGGATATAAATAATATTCTCAAGGGGAGGGGATAGGATTATAATAATATTCCTCAAGGGAGGATAGGATGATAAATTAATTTAATCCTCAAGGGCGGATAGGATATTATATTCATCAAGGGAGGATAGGATATAAATAATTTTCCTCAAGGGAGGATAGGATATAAATAATATTCCTCAAGGGAGGATAGGATATAAATAATATTCCTCAAGGGAGGATAGGATATAAATAATATTCCTCAAGGGAGGATAGGATATAAATAATATTCCTCAAGGGAGGTTGGATATAAATAATATTCCTCAAGGGAGGATAGGATATAAATATTCCCCAAGGGAGGATAGGATATAAATAATATTCCTCAAGGGAGGATAGGATATAAATAATATTCCTCAAGGGAGGATAGGATATAAATAATATTCCTCAAGGGAGGATAGGATATAAATAATATTCCTCAAGGGAGGATGGATATAAAATAATATTCCTACAGGGAGGATAGGATATAAATAATTATTCCTAAGGGAGGATAGGATATAAATATTATTCCTCAAGGAGTGGATAGGATATAAATACTTATTTCCTCAAGGGAGGATAGGATATAAATAATATTCCTCAAGGGAGGATAGGATATAAATAATATTCCTCAAGGGAGGATAGGATATAAATAATATTCCTCAAAGGAGGATAGGATATAAATAATATTCCTCAAGGGAGGATAGGATATAAATAATATTCCTCAAGGGAGGATGGGATATAAATAATATTCCTCAAGGAAGGATGGGATATAAATAATATTCCTCAAGGGAGGATGGGATATAAATATTCCTCAAGGGAGGATGGGATATAAATATTCCTCAAGGGAGGATGGGATATAAATATTCCTCAAGGGAGGATGGGATATAAATATTCCTCAAGGGAGGATAGGATATATCCCTCAAGGGAGGATACATAAATAATATCCCTTAAGGGAGAATAGGATGTAAATATTCCTTAAGGGAGACTAAGATGTAAATATTCCTTAAGGGACACTAGGATATAAATAATAGCTTTCAGCACTGCATGACCCTTTTGAAGGTAGAAACATTGGAAGTGTTTCTTTACACTTGTTGTCTATGTTCACCCATCGGTATAATGGGTATCTAGGTGTTAGTCAACTGGTGTGGGTTGCATCCTGGGACAACACTGACCTAATTTGCCCAAAATGCTCTGCATAACAAGCAGATTTCTATACAGCAGTACGTACAGTGGAATCTCGGTTTTGGTATGTTCTGGTTTTCGTAGGATTCGGTTTTTGGCAACTTTTTTCGTCTAAATTTTGTCACAATTTTCGTTCATCCGCTCAGTTTTTGTAGAGTTGACAATGGTCTGCCATACCAAATGCACCTGCCTGCCCATGTCCACCTGCCCGTGACTGCTAAATAAGCCACCATGGGGCCAAAGAAAGTTCCGAGTGTCAGCCCTTTGACGAAGAAGGTGAGAAACATGATAGAATTCAAAAAAGAACTCGTAGCAAAGTATGAAAGTGGTGTACACATGGCTGATCTCGCCAGTAAAAGAAAAAGGAGGGAAGTAACCCTGGATAGGGCCTTGATACCTGAAGTCCTTATGGAGGGGGATTCCCCTTCCAAACAATAACCTCTTCGCCAACCTCTCCCCTCCTCGCCATCTTCCATATGCCAACAAGTCTTCAATAAAGGTAAAAGTGATGTTGAATGTTCATTTATCCATTTCATTAGTCATTTATATTTTTTTTCTCATTGTTTTCTGTGTGTAAAACTATAATTATTCTCTATAAAATGTATTTTTTATTAATATTTTTGGGTGTCTGGAACAGATTAATTGGATTTACATTATTTCTTTACGGAAAATATTGGCTCAGTTTATTGTGCAACAATTTGGTTTCGTCAGATCAGACTTTTTAGAACGAATTAATCACGAAAACCGAGGTTCCACTGTATGTTATTGATGTCAGCTAGGCCTGTATACCTTGTATGTACATGTACTTGTAGTAAATAAAGATATTATTATGACTGGTGGTAAAAAGGTTACTGGTCAGCCTTAAATGACCCTTGTGTAGTAGATAGGCAACCATCATTGTAGGTTCCTTGATGCTGGTGACCAATTGGACCTGTGTTCCCCTTGGATTTAACCTAAAAGCCTCCTTTTCCTCTCAGCCAGGAAGGTGCCTTGATGTCTGAGGGAAAAGGGTGGTCCTGATCCAAAGATGTGACCTGGCCTCCCCTTCCTTGGGTCAAACCTTGTTGTTTACCATCCCTCATGTGCAGAAGGACCCTATGGCATGTTCAGGGATTCCTCCTTGATAATTTACATAATATAAAGCCTTCTGTATTACATACAGTACTTTACAAATGTGGGTTGTATTTGTATTTTTTTATTGTAATTACAAAGTCACCCAAGGTAATTTTTAACAAGATTTGGTCAATTAGATTGTGCACTATTGGACATGGTTAGTACGTGGATGGGAGATCACACTGACAGCTGGGCTTCAAACTAGGTAATAGCACTTTGCACTGCATCATTAGAGATCTTTGTGACAGTCCAGTGGACTGTCATCGTAATAATAATATTTTATTTTGGCACGATACATATTTGTACAAAGAAATATAATAGTTGGATGAACATGCCAAAAGCCCCTTTATACTGCAGAGCCGTTAGTTCAGGCAAACTTAGATATTAAATTTAAAGATTAATAAAGCAATAACAGTTGTACTGGAGGAGAGTCCGGGGGTCAACGCCCCCGCAGCTCAGTCTGTGACCAGGCCTCATGGTGGATCAGGGCCTGATCAACCAGGCTGTTATTGCTGGCTGCATGGAATCCAACGTTACGACAACAGCCGAACTGATCTGGTTACGGACTTTAGGTGCTTCGTTTCCCAGTGCCTTGCTGAAGACAGCAGGGGTCTATTGGTAATCCCCCTTATGTATGCTGGGAGGCAGTTGAACAGTCTTGGACCCCTGACACTTATTGTGTTGTCTTAACGTGCTAGTGGTACCCCTGCTTTTCATTGGGGGGATGTTGCATCGTCTGCAACAAGAGACTGGAGTATTAGGTCATGCTATATGGCTTTAATACAGACATCGGACAAGTTGACTTCACTTGAGAGACCTTCTTCACTGCCCTGATGTGTCTGTGTTTTTCTGACCTTTAATGTGGATCCTCTGTATGATTTCTTAACTATTATTTATTTGCTACACAGACTGTGGCCCCCCTTTCCTTTTCGCTCTTTTTTTGCCATTTTCCTTCTTGACATATTTTTACATGTAGTGCTGAATGAGCCACACAACTTAGCTCTATTCTATGGACTGTAATAATTAAGCTAGCAGTACTGGGATTGTGTAAGCACAGCTTCTGTTTCCTGACTGGTTATAGGAACCTTAATTTAACGAGACCGCACAATTTATGTTTTCAGGATTTAATGGACAAAACCTTGGGTGGGAATATTCAGAAGCAATACACGAAGTTTGTGAAATCTAGAATTGTCTGTGACTGTTACAATCGTTGTAAAAAATATTTCCATTTGGATTTAAATGGGACAGTGCTTTAATGGACTACCCCTTCCCATATTTTGCCCTTAAATAAAGAGTCACTCTACCCATAACTAATTTATCATACCACATTATCCAGTATAAGCGGTAACACTAGGGTAAAAATTAAAGCTACACTAATCTGAGAGGAAGACCGGAGACATAAGTTATAAAGTTGCAGCTATATAGTAGATTTGTTAAAATACAAATACAAGTTTATATCAACATTATACGATGCTTACGCAGAAATGGGTGATATTGAATTGCATGTTGAAAGCCCTTGTTTATGCAGAGCATTTCGGACAAATAATCCCATATCAATAACTTGGGTAAGTTGCAGCCTTATTAATGTACGTGTAGTTAGAGAGACTTGAAATGTGGCCAACTACAGTGGAACCTTAGTATGCGACCGTAATTCATTCCAGAAGGCTGTTCGAGTGACACTCCGTTTGAATATCAAACAAGTTCACCCCAACCAATTTTCTGTTGGGTTGGCTGTTATCACTAATTGTCGTAGGCCCCATGGTGACTTGTTTATACAAATGATACAAAAAAAAAAAACACCAAAAGATGCGAAGAGACAAAATAGTTCACAGCGAAGTTCTGTCAGGTCATATTTGTTTGGTCGAGTGCTGAGCTTTGTTCGAGTAGGGAGCTGGTCGTATACCGAGGTTCCACTGTATGTAGTACTTGTTATTGTAGTCCATATGTTGCTCTGGTGGCCATATTGTTTCCTCATCCTATTTTTCAATTAATCATATTACTATGAATAATTAGAATTAAGTTTGATCAATGATAGGTTAATTGAAGAACCAGAGATTTCTTTAGAAAATAATAATTAGTAAAATAGTTTGATAAATTAGACACATGTTCAACATTATCTACATCCCCAAAATACAATTTAAATGATTTACAGTGTGGTATCAACATGATGAATGTCTAAAAAAATCAGAGAGCTCCCTGTTGGGTATCATAAGGTACACCAGTCTGCTAAATTATCTTACATTTCCTAATGATCTAGCATAACCATCTAGTAATCTGTTTTAATGTCCCAAGTGCAATTGATAAGTTTTAACCGAACAGACTAATGATTTAACTATGCAAAACCTAAGTACAGACATGTCTCACTAATATGGCAGGTTAGGTTCCAGACTGCCACCATAAAGAGCAAATATCATCTTGAAGCAAATCACAGCCTCTTTTTTCACTTGCCAATGCATATATAAAACCCTAAAAACATGTTTACACTAACATCATTAAGTGCACAATAACACTAGGCCTAAAGAAATGCCAAACAGGTAAAAATAATAATTAAAAAAAATTCTAAATTGCTGAAAACCAACTTAAGAGTAAGGCAAGCATCAAAAATGATAAACACGAATATAATTGAAAAGCGTCATATTTGCAAAATGCTCTAAAGCAAGCGCCGTATTACTGAGGTATGCCTGTACAGTATTACCAGGCATGACAGTTAAGGGAATACTGAAAAAATAATTAAAGAAGTAACTTTAAATTCAGAGGTAGGTGTTGATGTATCTTTACTTGGTACTTCCAGAACAAAATGTTCGACTCATCAGACTCGGATGATGAGTCGAGTCAGGCTTCAATACAGACACTGAAGGTAGACTGGTAAGTCAAGTTTTTAACTATTATCACTCCAGTATTAATGTTATTGAGTACGTACTGGTATTACCAGAAGTAGATTCACGTGAATTTGACTTGCTTACATTTTTTTCTACCTTTTGTTTCCAGGTAACTTTAAATTGTCTCTTCATATGAACTTGAAACACTAGAACAATAGTTTCATCATATTGTTTTCTGTAGAAATCAATCCTTACACTGTTTCTTCTTGGGATAGTACCACTGCCTCTATGCTCTGCTTTTCTGTAATTTTCGCATGCTTTTCTGTAACATGGTTTGTAAATTCACATGGTAAACAGGGCCCTACACAGCCATAAATATAAGTGATATACAGTTTAAGGTTAAGTATTATAGCCCTTTGGTGGTTATTTCTTAGAAATGATTTTATGTTCTTCAAGGAAAGGTCATATTTATTTTCAAGATTTTCTGCAGTGATGAATAAATGTAGTACCAAATGTACTAATATAGTATACCAATTCCCTAATACCAAGTGATGTGCTAGATAATCTCAAGTTGAAAATGCAAGCCCAGAAAGTTAATATGATAATTATTTAAGATTTATGTTTTTTGTGCAATTTCTTTATATTCTAGATGTTAACCATAAAGGAGTGCAGTTCGTTATTATAAAATAGTTTGATGAAATCAACTTGAGTGATTTAATATACTATAGGATCATCTCAGATGGTGTCTGCCATAAATATTATATGAAATTGTTCATATTATTACCAACTCAGTATTAGTTGCCCAGTATTAATACTATATGGTAGTATTTTGCACCTCATTTTTGTTAAATAATAGAGAAAACTCTGTGTTTGAATATTGTACATGTAGTATATTATCCCAGTTTTCCCTTATGTCATAAAATATTACATGTACTGTACTTATTAAAATTTTGATCTTGTAGGTTGGACATGTCATTCATGGGCTGTCCACAGAGTGTTGCACTCAGTGGTCTTCCAGGCTGTCGCTTCAGAAATATAAATCAAAACCTGCATATGGATTTAAGTAAGTTGTGCAAATCATGTTTTCCAGCACCGTAAGATTTTTAGCCACAGTATACAGTACTATACAAACATAAATGTAAATGAGAGGCTTGGCATCTTTCACTCAATTCAATTCAATTTAAGTTTATTCTCTATAAGGGTTACAATGTGGGGTTTACAGGTTTTGGGTATTGTGTGGTTTACATGTTATAAAATACTAATTACAGAGGGGGCCACTAGGACACCTAGCATAGCTAGGCATTTCGGGCAGACTTAGATTAATTCTTAACATTAACATTGTGTTGGTTCATAATATCACAAAGCTAAGAGAATTCGTACTACAATACTGCTAAACCTTAGAATGCGAACTCTATAATAACCTTCAAATATCTGAGTAGTGGTGGAAATTAAGACTTGGTAAATCATAATACAGTACTGTAATTTTAGAATGTCTAATGATACAATAAAATTGATGGTTGTTGCACTGCTTAGCTGCTATTCAAGTCAATATTGAGTGGGGGACCTACACTAGAGAATGAAAATATGAAGGGCTAAGGTTAGAGTTTATTAGTAAAAGTATTATTCCAGCTCTGGGCCATTCAAAGACCATAATTATTATTAGATTAAACAGTTGGTTGTTACTCTTTTTTTTCACAATATTCTTACCTAATTCCACCATGGGAATTATTCATATTGTTGAATTTCTAATCATTCATAGGTAAAAGAATTTTTAGTGAGTGAATGCTGTTCCTATTTTCATACATTTTTAATTTTCAGATAAGATAGAGAATTTGGGCATTTCTGATGTGGTGATGCTCGTTACAAAAGGTGAATTGCGAAAATACAGAGTGCCAAATTTGATAGCAGAATACGAGATGAGAGGAATGCGGCTCCACCACTATCCATTTCCTGATGGCACAGTCCCTTCAGTTGAAAATGTAATGAAAATCATTGATACAGTTCGCCAGGCATTAGAGGAAAATCGAAAGGTTCTCATTCAGTAAGTACTACACGTATACCATGTTTTTGGAGGAACGGTAATTATTTTTTTTAAAATGAAACCTAAAACTTTATATTTCAGCATTATTTTAAACCCTTCACAGTCCAGAGCCTCAAAATTAAAAGTGCTTACAGTGTCCACATTTAAACAAAAAAAATGAAATATTTTTTTTCTGAAAACAATAATGACACCAAAAGTACGAAATTTGATGAAAAACTTAGAATTACACAAGTGCAAAGTTAGCAGTCAGGGTGCAATTTACACATCAGCAATTTCACCCACTTTGAGTCCTATTGCAAGCCACTTCCTTTGCTCAATTTGACCAAATTCTTAGCTACTTCACTGGTATGCTTTCCTTCCTATCAAGTAAGCAAAAGAAACTGCCCATTCAACTATCAAAACTACCCTATAAAGTGAATAGAATTTGGTAATTTGGCCAAATTTACACAAAATTCAAAAGAATTCCAATAAACGTTTAACATTCCAGGTACTAAAACATTTCCTAGGTTCATTAATCACGCCCCCAGGTCTCTCCTATATTGCACTTTCCTTCCATTTTGAATTCATCATTACAATCAAAGATTTACCTTATTTCTCGGATAATAAAATACAGCCTCTCCTCACTTAACAATGGGGCCCTGTTCTTAAAAGTAGAAGTGAGGAGCACACTATACTAGTAGTGGGTTTGTGTCAACCTTCTTTAGATTTTTTTCATCACCTTTGCACCATTTATAACATTCTAGTATATTTTTAAATGTTTACACAGTAATGTACTGTATACTATAATAAAAATAGAGGAAATCAGTTCTGATATACAAAACTTAGGTTTGCATACTGGTTGGAGAGCTGGTTGTAAGTCCAAGTGGTCAGTAAACAAGTACCATATGTCGCTAAGTGAGGAAAGGCTGTATAACCAGGAATGATTGGTCATGGTTTATGGCATCCCAATAATTGAATTAGACCTAGTAATAGCCCACAAAACAGATGGAGGGGTGTAGGCCTTACCCATCCTCAGGAAAATTGGCAAAAATCTAATACAGTTGAACCTCAAATATCGAACTGCTCCCAACTCAACCAATTATGTAAGTGTATTTTTGTAAGTGCTTTTATAAGTGTATTTTTGAGGGTCTGAAATTAACTAATCTAATTTACATTATTCCTGATGGGAATAAATTCGTTTGGTAATGGCACTTGAACAGCCGTCTGGAACGAAGAAAGTTTGATATTTGAGGTTCCATTGTATTTCGAATAGTTTGAGGCTGATTTCTAGCTACTTTTGGTACTGGAACTAACCAAAATTATCTCTATTTCAGTGGTATGTCTTGCATTCTAAAAAAAAAAAAACTAAGAAATATCCAATAAAGCCACAAAAATTGTCCTAGAAAATGCCCCTCAAAGTCACTATTTTAAAGCAAACAGGTCAGAGTTTTGTTTTCCCATCATGCACCATGTAGGGTAGGATTCTTTTACACTGTGTACATTCACTGCATAGACCCATTCTCTCATATTTAGGCCAAAATTTACTGCTCTCAGCTTATCTAAGTGAACTGAACTCAAGACAGCTCTATGTGAGGGGACCCATGCATCAATAATGCAGATCTACGTGACTGACAATGGAAGGGGTTAAATTAATGTATGCTCATGAAGTATTATGATAAAAGGTTTAATCCCATTAGATATATGAACTAATATAAAAAACAGAATTCATATCAAGTGTTTAAAATGTTAATTTTTATTTAATTTCAGTTGCATGGGTGGGTTAGGGAGAGCTTGTGTTATAGCCTCTTGTCTCCTCCAATACTTCGAGAACTCGTTAACTCCAAACCAAACTATTTTCGTCCTGAGAGAAATCAGAGGTGTACGGGCAATACAAACAGTCAAGGTCAGTACTGTACCACGTTTTGTGATCTGCTTTGTATTCTAACAGTTATCTGTAGGAAAATTTTATAAGATATTCATACTGTGGTACTGTACATGCATAGTGTTCATCATATAATTAACCTGAATGCTAAAGACATTTGATGAGACCTGGATCTTAAATTGCATAGATATGGCATCCTTATTAAATTTAATTTCAAAACATAACAAATGTCTTTTGTTTATATTATGTCTCATCCTTATCCATGTCTGTCCATTTTTCTGTCAGAAATTAGAAATTTGATGCTTGTTTTCAACAGTTTTCCATGGAATTTAATTGTCATCATTATGTTCATGAGGGTTTGATTTGTCAAGAGTAACTGGTGTAAATTGATGGCTAGAGAAGTGCTGGGAGAAACCTTCATTTCCATTCATTGATTTTTTTTTTAACAAGTCGGTTGTCTCCCAAAGAGGCAGGGTGACCCAAAAAGAAAAGAAAAATCTCCAAAAAGAAAATAGTTTCTATCATCATTAAACACTTTCACCCTACTCACACATAATCCGGTTTTTGCAGAAGTGCACAGAATATACAACAGTTAGAAGCAATATACTATAAATATACACAAATATCACTCCAAACTGCAATATCCTAAAACCCCTCTTTAAAGTGCAGGCCATTGTACTTCCATTTCCAGGACTCAAGTATGCTCTATAAAAATAACCGGTTTCCCTGAATCCCTTCATGAAATTTTACCCTGCTCCACTCCTCAGCTCCATCACGGTCCCAAATATCATTCATCTCTTTCACTCCTATTCTAACACGCTCACGCACGCTTGCTGGAAGTTCAAGCCTCTCACACACAAAAACCTCCTTTAACCACTCCCTCCCACCTTTTCGAGGATGACCCTACCCCGCCTTCCTTCCCCTAAGGTTTTACGCTCTCCCATGTCATTCTACTTTGATCCATTCTCTCTAACTGACCAAAACCACTCAACAACCCCTCTTCAGCCTCTGGACTAATACTTTTATTAACTCCACACCACCTAATTTTCCACAATCCGAATTTTCTGGCTTCATATTTACACCACACATCGCCCTTGACAGACAATCCTCAACTGCCTCAGCTGCCTCAGTTTTATATATTTATTATGCACCCATACCATCCTGTGAGCGGTAGGCAAAGCATTTACAGAGGTACACCAATTGGTCAGAGACTGGACTTCAAAGTTTCCATAGCTGAACAAGATACAAAAAGGTAAGAACTAGATCTGGTCACAGTCAGACCAATTACTAAAGGTAATGAGCTCCAGTAGAGCTGGTCACACTAATGACAAGTTACAAAGGTAATGAACTAGATCTGGTCACAATCATGACAAGTTACAAAGTAATGAGCTCCAGGTAGAGCTGATCACCAATCATGGACAAGTTACGAAGTTAATGAGGCTCTAGGTTAGGATGTGGTCACAATCATGACAAGGTTACAAAGGCAATGAGCTATAGGTTGAGCTGGTCACAATCATGACAGGTTACAAAGGTATTGAGCTCCCCCAAGGGTTTTTGTAGGGGAAAAAAAAAATAAAAAAGGCTGGTCACAAATTCATGGACACAGTTACAAGGTATGAGCTCCAGGTAGAGTGGTCACCAGTCATGACAAGTTACAAGGTAATGGCTCAGGTAGGGCTGATCACAATCATGAAAGTTACAAATGTATGCATCAATACACCTCCATAAATGTTACAAATCATGAACATATTACACTGTAACTCAGCAATTACAGATTTAGGGTATGCATCATGCCCAAAAATAGATGTTGCTAGGGTGCCTGTACCCTCCTCGGCAGGACAATCATGACAGCCAGTGCAAAGGACAGCAGGTTGCGCCAGATCTGCCTGCTTGCAGGAGCACCAACGCCTCCCTAGAGGTTTGCGTCCAGTGTTATGTCTGTACTTTGGTAGTGGCTTATACCGAGTCATTGATGTATTTGTTTAGGTCAGCCCTGAGCTCCATAAAAATAAGACCCAGAACAGAAAGTTACTGGAGGTTTCAGTAATTTGCTTTAACCATCTTTGTTTTTGTGTATTTATTTTGCATTGTATCTTTATCGAGACAAGTATGAACGAAGGGTCCACGTGAACTGCGGAGGGCCAGGTGATGGAGACAGGTACAGGTGATCAAGAAACGGGTAAGGGCAGGCTTCGGTTAGCGTCTATAGTCTATGGACTTGAACACCAACGCCTCCCGAGCTTGAAGGTAGAGAGAGTGGGCAGAGGCGCTCTGAATGGCGAGTTCCAGGCTTGAAGCACTTATAGGTTGTTGAAGGTGTGCCTGCTGTGTATGAGCACTGGAGGCTTGGTAACTACAGTGTCATGACGATGGACCTCAAGGGTGCACAATCTGAAGGTCTGTGGCTCAGGGTGTGGCGTGGATCTCTTCCATGGTGTCGTTCAGCCTTTGCTGGTCCAGATGCTCGGGCTTCCTGCATCGGGTACACGAAGCTGGTTATGTCCACAGAGACATAAAACCACAGAACTTCGTCTGTGATCCTGGTATGACTGTGCAAGAGTGCCACCAGATCTCCCTGATAGACTTTGGCGTGGCTATCAAGTATCGCGATGAGAAGGGCGACCACCTTCCACTCCGTCACAACGTTAAGCCCAGGGGAACTTTTCACTACATGAGTGTCCACTGCCACATGAAGGAGTTGCAGTCGCGCCAGAGATGACATGGAGTCCTGCTTACTCTGATTTCAACTCCTTAAACGGCAGCCTGCCCCATGGTCGCACCTTCGTGGGAACGAGGTGAGAACACGCATCGAAGAACTTAAGAGGAGCGGCACGTCGGTCGTGTTCTCAGGCCTGCCGGCAAAGTATTATCGCTTTTTGAAGTACACTCGCGGGCTGAAATACGACGAGGAACCTAACTACGGCTACTGGCAGAAAGTGTTTCAGAAGGTTTCCGAGAGGGCATGCGGATCAACTAGTCCTGGGCAGACAGAAACAGAGATCCAACCTTTCCGAAGAAAAACTCCCGTCCCTCCTCAGCCTTCATGAGGAGCCGTACACTGTGACGATGATACTTTTATTTTAGTCGTACCACTTCATGTCTGTTTCGTCAAACACCTGGATTCCCTCCACTCGTAAATTCGCACTTTTACATGCGCGTTTTATTTATTTTTTTTAAAAGCGCTAAATCTTCATGGGTTATCAGCCACACCTCATATACTGGGAGCGATGCAGGTTCCTAACCTGTATTCGGGATAACGCAGGGAGGGAGAGATTACATGATTATATACACCTGGAAAATCCTAGAGTCTAGTACGAACTTGCACACGAAAATCACTCATACGAAAGACAAAAAGATTGGCAGGCGATGCACATCCCCCAATGAAAAGCCAGGGTGTCACTACGCAACGTTAAGAGACATACAATAGTGTCAGGGGCCCGAGGACTGTTTCAACTGCCTCCCAGCACCAAATAAGGGGATTACAACTGACCTGCAGTCTTCAAGCTGGCACTGGACAAGCACTAAAAGTCAGTTCCTGATAGCCGGGCTGTGGCTCGTACTTTGGTTTGCGTGTAGCCAGCAGCAACAGCCTGGTTGATAGGCTCTGATCCACCAGGTGGCCTTGTCAACAGACCGGGCCGTGTTGGGCGTTGACCCCCGGAAACTCTATCCAGGTAAACTCAGGTAAAACACCGTAATGCTGGTCTCCATAACTCTTTACCCTGAAACGATTGTATGACACTGTCTTTTCGTGAATATAGGAATATCTGTACTATCTACCCAGCGTATTTCAACAAGGTCACGTACTACTTGATATAATATATATTGTATTATTTTTTATCAAAGCCACACAACATATTTTCCATCAAAATGGCCCCACCACGACTCACACGACACATCACGAGTGGTGGTCGATGCGATACTCCACCGTGACAGCACACACATTCTAGTCGTACTTGTTGGGGACCACCGTGCAGCACACACATCACCGAGTGGCCACACCGTGAAGCACACACATCACGAGTAGGCACACAACCCGAGAAGCACACACTTCACGATGTGGCCACCGTAGTGCCGCACACACCTCACGAGTAGAGCCACCGTGAAGCACAAGCACTCACGAGACGATGGCCCACCGCTGAAGCTCCAATATCCAGATTTGGCCACCGTGAAGCAACACATCACGAGTGGCCACTGTGACAGCACACGCATACAGAGTGGCAACACGTGAAGCACCACCATCCAGAGTGGCAACGTGAAGCACACACCACGAGAGGCACCGTGACAGCACACACATCACGAGGTGGCACCGTTGAAGCACACATCCAGGTGGCCACCGTGAAGCACACATCCGAGATGGCCCCGTGAAGCACACACATCACGAGTGGCCAACGTGAGCACACGATCACGAGTGGCACCCCCCGTTGAAGCACACACATTCCAGAAGTGGCCACCGCGTTGAAGCACAATCACATCCAGAGTGGCCACCCGTGAAGCACACACATCACGAGTGGCCACCGTGAAGCAAACACATCACGAGTGGCCACCGTGAAGCACACATCACGAGTGGCCACCGTGAAGCACACACATCACGAGTGGCCACCGTGCAAGCAACTTCACGAGTGGTTCACCGTGAAGCACACCATCACAAAGTGGCACCGTGAAACACACCTCGAATTGGCCACCGTTTGTGTGAAAACACACTTCACGAGTGGGCCACCGTGAAGCACACACATCACGAGTGGCCACCGTGAAGCACAGATCACGAGTGGTCACCGTGAGGCACACATCACAAGTGGCCACCGTGAAGCACACACATCAGTGTGGCCACCGTGAGCACACGCTCACGAGTCTGCTACCGTGAGCACAAACATCCAGAGTGGCCACCGTGAAGCATCACACAATCCTGAGTGGCCCACCGTGAAGCACAATCACGAAGTGGCCACCGGTGAAGCAAAAACACATCACGAGTGGCCAACGTGAAGCACACATCACGAGTGCCACCGTGAAGCACACATCACGAGTGGTCACGTGAAGCACATCCGAGTGGCCAACGTGAAGGCACTACACATCCACGAGAGGCCACCGTGAAGCACAGCTCACGCAGTGGTCACCGTGAAGCACCACACATTCGAGTGGACCACCGTGAAGCACTCACATCACGAGTGGCCACTGTGAAGCACACATCACGAGTGGTCACCGTGAAGCACACATCACGAGTGGCCACCGTGAAGCACACACATCACGAGTGGCCACCGTGAAGCACACATTCACGAGTGGTCACCGGGAAGCACACATCTCGATGTGGTCACCGTGAAGAACATATCACGAGTGGCCCACCGTGAAGCACACACATCACGAGTGGCCACGTGAAGCCACACATCAGTGTGGCCACGTGAAGGCACACATCACGAGTGGTCACAGTGAAGCACACATCACGGAGTTGTCACCGTGTAGAACACATTCACGAGTGTCACCGTGAAGTTGCAGTTGGGAGGGCCATCTGTATTGTGATGTCAGTACACTTCTGACAAGAAGGATGGTGAATGTGTTTCCTAGCATGGACCAGTAGGTCTACTGCAGTGCAGTGCTCCTCTGTTTTTTATGTTCTTGTACACCCCATACCTAGTACAGCAGTAGTTAAAAGATTACAAAGGCATGGGCCCAGTAACCAGGCCTCCATATTTTGTAAGCTAAGCAAGTTAGTGGTATAAAACTATACTGGGTACTTAAAAGATACTGATCACTGCTAATTCTAATGAGTTTGCTACATAGGTTTGTTAATTAAGCAAGTTAGTGTTAAAAGCTACTCAGTGAAGTACTATAAGTCTTTAGGGCTCATACAGTGCCTTTGGAGTGAGAGGTGATCAGGTTTAATCCAAGGAGGGGAACAGCTCAAATTCCATGGATCAAGAGCTCATAACCAGCATCAAAAACTCCCATGCCATGTTAATGATTGATGTACAGTACATAAAATAACTTTGTTCCATCTAGATAGGTTCCATTCATGTGTGTCCTACCACTAGTTTATGTAGCTTTCATAACTTTGACCAATGCACTGGTGGATCTACAGGAGCAACTCAAAAACTTACTTTGCCTTTCAATTTAAATGCAAATACTGTATTGCAGTCGAGTTCCTTTCAGGTTTAGCACTTAATTTGGTCGTACTACTACTACTGTTAATCCTACAGGTTTAGCGCTCCCCTTGATTATAAGTTATTATTATTACTGCATTTTAGTAAACCAGTATCATTACCCTAGAATGCATGCTAAATATATCTGAAGGTGCCATATTCTCCCAGTTACACAACTTTATCATTACATTAATTAAACTGATGACACCCCATCTCAGTCATACTAATATGAATTGTATTCTTTTCAGAAATCATATCGTTTCACACTACAATACATTGTTTAAGTACATCTTTATTTTAGCATTTAACTGATAACTTTAAAACCACTAGCATTCTTTATCATAAAAACTTTGCGCAACACGTTTTTATAAGTAGAATACCATACTCTTACAAAATTAATTTTTCGAAGTTTTAAAATTTAATAGTCAGAAAAGTTATTAAATGAACTAGAGTACTGATGTGATTATATATCTGCTATATTCTTTCATAGTTGAGGACACACCTAAATGTAGTGTTAATTTTCAATTATTATTATAATCAAGGGGAAGCGCTAAACCCGGAGGATTATACATTATTATTATTATTATAATCAAGGGGGAAGCGCTAAACCCGGAGGATTATACAGCGCCTGGGGGGGGGGGATGTGGAAGGCATTCAGGCTTAATTCGGGGAACTGGAGCACAGATTCAATTCCCTAAATCAAGAGCCCCTCACCAACATCAAGGAACCTTCCTTGAGGGGGTTAATTTTCAAATTGGCATTTACTTTCCTTATCCAAACTCTCACATCCTCTCTATTAATTCTACAGTTATCCTTTATTTTATATAGCACAGTTGTTTCACTACTTGCATTTGACAGCAGTCAAATGTTCATTAAAGAAAGATTAGATAAAACAATTTTTATAACCTTGCTTCCACTGTGGGAAACATGTTTTGCCAGAAATAATATATATACAAAACTTAAATTTTTTTTATATTTCACACAGTAAGATCATGTACTGTATTTCAGCAATACAACTTTGTTCAAGATTTTAGAAGCTTGTGTGAAACCTGGATGGATGAAGACATTGAACGTTCAGTGTCCCGATGACAGTCCACCCATGGTCAAAAGACTTCATCCAATGCAGAGGGGAAGAACTGACAACCATTTCTTGATGCTAAGGACTACTATGATACAGGGTAAAAAAAAAAAAAAATGGTTTACAGGAAAACCATAACTTCAAAGAATTTTTTTTTTATGACTGGTTTATTTCATGAAAGTGGTTCCTAATCTTTCATGTGTGAACATTGTATATTTTGCTATCATTAATGAGAACACTTCTATTGATTGTCGCTGACATTACCCTTGTGACATCAATAGGGAGATTTTAAATGATGTGCTCATACAGCAGAACTTTAGTACAATGGAAGGCTGAGGACCATGCAGCTGGTCACTAACAGAAACCAAAATAGCTTTAAAGTAATATATGATAGATGTACAGGAGAAATACTGTTTCTGCTATAAAAGTATTGTTATACAATTTAATAGTTTGAAGAGGTGTCAGGAGGACATCTGGAAAAATAGTAGTGACATTATTTCTCAGACCAATGTGATTATTGTTTTTTTCTGAACTAAATTATATATTATTGATGCTCTATTTGTATTATGCACCAAGACTTCCGAATTCTTGCACGTTATGTAAATTTGAAATATGCATCAGTTGAATTAGGATAGCACACAAACTTTCTTCTTCCTTAAAGCCTATCTTTACTTACATGAACTTGATTGAATTATATGATCTTTACTAAAGTAGTTGACATGTACAGTTTTAATTTATTTTATAGTTACATTATAGATATATGCACAGCTCTAATTTTATTGTACTGTATAGTGATGTACATAGTTATAATCTTATAGTAAGTTATGTGCACATCTATAGCTTAATATTATAGCAGTGCGCACAACTATTGTGTAGTGGTGTGCACAGCTATAACTGTAGCTGTTGAATACTATAGCAGCTCATAACTATTACCCTTTTTATTGTGTATAATAGTACTGTGCACAACTTTAGCTTTATCATATATTACTGTATAGGTAATTGTGTGTACAACTATACCTCACTAACCTATAGAAATAAATTTTTAAATTTTTATATCTTTTTATTTTCACTTTTTTCAACTCTTCAGATGTTTGTCACCAAAACAATAAGTAGCAAATAGTCTTTTATTTGCTTTCCTTATTAACATTTATTGGGAAATAAGTACTACAGTGTTTGGCTTGCAAATGAAGTACCCAGGATCAAGCCTGGGCAAGACTGGATTATGGGAGTCTTCTAACACCTGATAACCAACACCAAACAGTAAATGAATACCCAGGAACTGACAGACTTATGGGTCACATTTTGAGGATATGAAAAAAAAAAAAAATACTTCAGTGGGAATAACCCACACTAATTCGTTTTCTTGGATTACTTAGCCTGCTTTCCCACATACAGGTTTAGTGCCTCCCAATTAATGTATCATACAGTCTAGAAGACTGAAAGGTAATTAGGTATATACATGTACAGTATACTGCATGTTATCCTTTATAAGAATCAAACAAGCTGAACTGACCTAAAAGATACTATACATCTACTACAGCATAATTTAGCTGCCTAATCTTATCCAAAATATTTTGTCAGCTTAAATTTAGTTAGGCGTTTTATCAAGGAAATGCCACGATTTGAACCAGAGACCAAGTATTAAATCTACATTTTACCACTGTGTGGTGATAAGAAATTTGACCTTTTTTCAGGAAATGTCTACAGGCACCCCAGCCACTGCATCAACTACAGATTTTTATGGACATACTAATCACCAGTAGTCTATACAATCTTATCTAGCTCTTGTACCTGTAAGTCATTGTCAGTGCTTCAGAAAAACTAATAAATGACTAAACTTTTTCAATGAATGGGTGGAATTCAAACTGTTCCAATCCTACTGATTCCTTGAAAAAAAAATCAGTCATTTATAATGGTTTTTATGAAGCTTAGTATTAAAGCAGAATCTTGAATAACACATCTGAGCAACATAACTGAAATTTTGAGCCAAATTTCATGGCGCACGAGAGGAAAACCCTAGAGCACGTCATAAATTTAGGAGAAAATATGCCACACTGTGGGGTCTCCCTCCATATGGCAGTTAGACAAATGAAACTGTTATGAGGAAAGCCTAACCTTGCTCCAAGGTAAACTACCTTCCATGCCCACAGTTCCTGTCTGTGTATTCCATTCCTTACTCTCACTTTTAACTAGTGGCCAGGCAATATAGTTATCAAAGATGTCCTCTGTATCAAGATACCATTGCAGTGTCTGAATGTGAGTACAAGAATGGTATATTAATACTGACAAGTAGATATATTAGACTTGCAACATTAAGGTAACTTTATTCCAAAACATTTCGCCTACCCCCAGGCTTGCTATAATACCTCTCTATTACATTTTTGCTTCTACTAATGGGCCTTACCTCTTGTCAAGATCTTTTACGCCTCACCCATGCCAGTATACAAGTCTTTATCCGAATGCTTCAGCTTCACAATGTTCCACACTGTGGAGCAGAACTCTTCTCCAGGCTGAGGGACTGACCACTTCAAAGTTGAGGTGGTCAGTCAAGGGTGATGGACTGATTACATCGTCTCTATATCACTGCTTTCACTGCCTCTGCATTCAACTGAAAGAAGCCTACCCTGTAGGCAAAACTTTTCTGAACAAAGATACCTTAATGTTGCACGTGTTATTTATCTACCTGTGGAAAGAGCCAGAACTCCTGTTATGTATTTAGTCACTTGAGCAGAAGTGACAAGAATTAGTAATGCATTCCAGTATGATCCTTTCTGGTTCAGCATTTATCTTTATTTTAACTGTTGGATCATCTGGTGAAAAAGTCCAACTTGAAAAAAAGCTCTACTATTAATTCAACAAAGACGACTTACTCGAGAAATTGGAAAGAGAAATTAGCATTTTTTTTTTTTTTTTTACCATACTGGCTATTTCCAAGTTAGGATGAACTGAAAATGGAAACACTCACCACCATTTATACAACAGATGTCTTGCCAGCAATGCAGACTTGACAATTCTAATGACCCTCTGAACGGCAATATTCAGGAACACTAAACATGGATATGGTGGAGTACAGAATTTCAAGAACAGCTACTGTATTCTGTACTTGATTTTGCAGTAAGGAATGAAAATTCAGAGTGATTAATTATATATATAAAAAAATTCTCATTTTAAAGAGCTCTAGCAAAAAATACCATTGCACTATAAACTGTGTATGGTTATTCAGTACACAGGGACAATACAGTATATAAAATCCAACACTCGCCTGAAAAAACAAAATGATAAAAGTCCCTAACAAAAAGCTTCCTGAGCCAAGAATATAAACTTCATAAAAGGAGAAGAATACAGTACAAAATATTTGTATTTTATTCCTGCCAAAATTTCATTAGTTATAAAAATAATTTTTACCTACTTGGTTAATAAAGTACTGTATATTCTTGTGTAAAGAAAATATTAAAGCAGCATGAGGGTCTATTTACAAGACCTAGTCAACTTGTCCATCAAGTTTGCTAATTCTTGGCGTGCCTCCTGGACCTTGACCTCGGCCAGCATGATATCTGGTGGGAGTGTGTAGTTATTCAGCTTGCTCTCCAAGTTATTAACCTGAAATTTATAATACATTACCATTATGATCATAGGAAAGTGCTCAACCAGTCTGGGTCACACAATGCCTGAGAATAATAAATATAATAATTTTATTTCAGCATGATACATGTTTGTACAAAGGAGTATAACAATTGGGTACACATGCCAAAAGCCCCTTTATATGTAGAGCATTTCGGCAAACTTAAGACTAGCCTAATATTAACCCTTTGACTGTTTTGGTTGTATATACACGTCTTATGAGCCAGTGTTTCGGACGTATATATACTCAATAATTCTAGTTGGAGTGAGTTAAACAAGTTAAGAAAGCCTAGGGAAAGTATGGATTTGTCAGTTAAAAACAGAGTAGGGGAGGTAGTAGATGGGGAGATGGAGGTATTAGGTAGATGGCGAGAATATTTTGAGGAACTTTTAAATGTTAAGGAAGAAACAGAGGCAGTAATTTCATGCACTGGTCAGGGAGGTATACCATCTTTTAAGAGTGAAGAAGAGCAGAATGTAAGTGTGGGGGAGGTACGTGAGGCATTACGTAAAATGAAAGGGGGTAAAGCAGCTGGAACTGATGGGATCATGACAGAAATGTTAAAAGCAGGGGGCGATATAGTGTTGGAGTGGTTGGTACTTTTGTTTAATAAATGTATGAAAGAGGGGAAGGTACCTAAGGATTGGCGGAGAGCATGTATAGTCCCTTTATATAAAGGGAAAGGGGACAAAAGAGACTGTAAAAATTATAGAGGAATAAGTTTACTGAGTATACCAGGAAAAGTGTACGGTAGGGTTATAATTGAAAGAATTAGAGGTAAGACAGAATGTAGGATTGCGGATGAGCAGGGAGGTTTCAGAGTGGGTAGGGGATGTGTAGATCAAGTGTTTACATTGAAGCATATATGTGAACAGTATTTAGATAAAGGTAGGGAAGTTTTTATTGCATTTATGGATTTAGAAAAGGCATATGATAGAGTGGATAGAGGAGTAATGTGGCAGATGTTGCAAGTATATGGAATAGGTGGTAAGTTATTAAATGCTGTAAAGAGTTTTTATGAGGATAGTGAGGCTCAGGTTAGGATGTGTAGAAGAGAGGGAGACTACTTCCCGGTAAAAGTAGATCTTAGACAGGGATGTGTAATGTCACCATGGTTGTTTAATATATTTATAGATGGGGTTGTAAAGGAAGTAAATGCTAGGGTGTTCGGGAGAGGGGTGGGATTAAATTTTGGGGAATCAAATTCAAAATGGGAATTGACACAGTTACTTTTTGCTGATGATACTGTGCTTATGGGAGATTCTAAAGAAAAATTGCAAAGGTTAGTGGATGAGTTTGGGAATGTGTGTAAAGGTAGAAAGTTGAAAGTGAACATAGAAAAGAGTAAGGTGATGAGGGTGTCAAATGATTTAGATAAAGAAAAATTGGATATCAAATTGGGGAGGAGGAGTATGGAAGAAGTGAATGTTTTCAGATACTTGGGAGTTGACGTGTTGGTGGATGGATTTATGAAGGATGAGGTTAATCATAGAATTGATGAGGGAAAAAAGGTGAGTGGTGCGTTGAGGTATATGTGGAGTCAAAAAACGTTATCTATGGAGGCAAAGAAGGGAATGTATGAAAGTATAGTAGTACCAACACTCTTATATGGGTGTGAAGCTTGGGTGGTAAATGCAGCAGTGAGGAGACGGTTGGAGGCAGTGGAGATGTCCTGTTTAAGGGCAATGTGTGGTGTAAATATTATGCAGAAAATTCGGAGTGTGGAAATTAGGAAAAGGTGTGGAGTTAATAAAAGTATTAGTCACAGGGCAGAAGAGGGGTTGTTGAGGTGGTTTGGTCATTTAGAGAGAATGGATCAAAGTAGAATGACATGGAAAGCATATAAATCTATAGGGGAAGGAAGGTGGGGTAGGGGTCGTCCTCGAAAGGGTTGGAGAGAGGGGGTAAAGGAGGTTTTGTGGGCAAGGGGCTTGGACTTCCAGCAAGCGTGCATGAGCGTGTTAGATAGGAGTGAATGGAGATGAATGGTACTTGGGACCTGACGATCTGTTGGAGTGTGAGCAGGGTAATATTTAGTGAAGGGATTCAGGGAAACCGGTTATTTTCATATAGTCGGACTTGAGTCCTGGAAATGGGAAGTACAATGGCTGCACTTTAAAGGAGGGGTTTGGGATATTGGCAGTTTGGAGGGATATGTTGTGTATCTTTATATGTGTATGCTTCTAACTGTTGTATTCTGAGCACCTCTGCAAAAACAGTGATAATGTGTGAGTGTGGTGAAAAAGTGTTGAATGATGATGAAAGTATTTTCTTTTTGGGGATTTTCTTTCTTTTTTGGGTCACCCTGCCTCGGTGGGAGACGGCCGACTTGTTGGGGGGGAAAAAAAAAAAAAAAAAAAAAAATCTAGTGGCTTTAAATCAAGCAGGAGAAAGCTGGTAGGCCCACATGTGAGAGAATGGGTCTGTGTGGTCAGTGTGCACCATATAAAAAAAATCTTGCAGCACTCGGTGCATAATGAGAAAAAAAAAACTCCGACCATGTTTTTGGATTAAAATGCCAACTTTGAGGTGTATTTTCGTATAGTATTTATCGTTGTATTCTCGTTTTCATGGTCTCATGTGATAAAATGGAAAACATATTACAGAAACAGAGGTGATTTTGATTAGTTTCACGATAAAAACAACCTTGAAATTGAGCTCAAAGTAGCGGAAATGTTCGATTTTTATCAATGTTCAAGAGTAAGCAAATCACACCACATGTCCAATACACGTCAACTGGGGAGTCTGATATTCTTTCGCTAGTGCACTGATATTATTTATACCATTTTTACAATAATGCAGTAGTCTGCATAACAGTAAATCTTCTATTTTTTGTATGAATAAAAAATCAAAATAGAAAGCAATAGTAATATAAGAGGGGCCTAGAGACATGACTAATGAACAGAGGATTTGTTTTTTTTAGTGCCAAGAATGTCTACATTGTTTATTCTGGACCCTATTTTGAAATTGGCAACTTTTTTAATTTGCGTGAAATTGGCCAAATTGCCAATTTCTGACCACTTTATTGGGTAGTTCAAATCGGTAAATGGGCAGTTTCTTGTTCTCAATTGATAGAAAAAATGGAGTTCTAAAGAAACCGCTATGAGTTTGGTCAACTGGAACAACGCAATTTGCCAAAAATGGGGCTCAAAGACGGCAAAATTGCCGATGCATATATATCACCGAGACCACTAATATTGCAGGAGTGTAATTCCGTAAGTTTTCGACCAAATTTCATACTTTTGGTGTCATTACCATCAGGAAAAGATTCTCTATCATTTCGTAAGAATTTTTTTTTTTTTTTTCCCCAAAAATTTTTCAACATAGAATGACAGTTTCAGAAAAGGGTTTGCGACAGTCAAAGGGTTAATAAGGCAATAACAGTGCAGTAATTTTGTACATAAGGTCATTAGGCAAGTTACAATGAATACAAGAGAACTGAATATTCTATTAGTTCATGCTATATGGCTTTAATAAGTTTGGTAGAGAAGAATTGATTACTAACCTAGGGTGGACACAATGAAATGATTAACATTTGAGAGGAATACATATATTGAGAGTATATACTGATCAACACACCATAAGGTATGCCTTAATTCAAAGAAAAAAGAATAACTGAAGAAAAGAATAACTGAATTTATCCTACTACCCACACCAATAGAAAATACAGTGTCTTGGGTCCAAGACTGTTCAACAGCCTATCATACATGAGGGGAATTACCAATGACCCATGGCTATCTTCAAGAGAAAACTGGACAGATACCACACCTTGATTATTCTTTTCTTTATTTATTGTAAACAAAAATTTATGACTAACCTGCTTTTCCAGACTTTGAAGTTCCAACGACTGCTTCACAAGAGTGCTATGTTTGATGTTCTTCGACATTGCAACTTGGTTCAACTTTGCCTGAGGAAAATGGTCATTACTTCAACACTGTGAATAAAAGAGCTACGAGTATAATTATTTTTAAGAGAAAAAACTAAAATACATATAAATCAATAGTTCATCTGAGGAAGCCAAGTTCAAAAATCTAAGCAAAGTGACCCTGGTGTCAATAACAGATCTACAGACAAGACACTGAAGGAGTCGAGCCTAAAAGGACATCAAAAATAGATAGGCAGCTAGCAAAACTCTCCTGGATACTGACAGTCAAATATACCAAGAGGTTCATAATCTTCAAAAACTTTCAAAACTCAACTAATTTCAAGAAAGGGTAGTCATTCATCTTCAGGTAGACTACCATTAGAGTCAAGAAATTTAAATCTAAATTTTTGTTAAGTTTATAATGAATCTTTCTTTCAGTGCACCGGCCATTTCCCATCGAAGCAGGGCGGCTCAAAAAGAAAAACAAAAGTTTCACTTTTTAACTTTAGTAATGAATACAGGAGAAGGGGTTACTAGCCTATTGCTCCCGGCATGTTAGTCGCCTCTTATGACATACATGGCTTACAGAGGAAGAATTCTGTTCCACTTCCCCTTGGAGATAAGAGGAAATAAACAAGAACAAGAACTAGTAAGGAATAGAATAAAGCCTAGAGGAGTGTAGTGTGACCTAAGTGTAAACAGTAGTAGTAAGACGTACCTGAAATCTTGCATGTTTCTCAGACATAAAAAAGACACTATCAATCCTACCATCATGTAAAACAATTACAGGCTTTCGTTTTATACTCATTTGGCTGGATGGTAATACCTCCCTTGGCAGTTGCTGTCTACCAACCTACTACCTAATAATGAGTACTGATTTAAAATAATGAAATCTCAGTTTTTGTATCAATTTTTTTTTCACATCACAGTAATCCCTCACTTTATGCAAGTTTCTTGTGTGCATATATGTAGCTATGCAACTGATCCACTTCTACCAGTATACCAGAAATTTCCTATGTGCAACATAACTTCTTTTATTAGATCATTGCAGTTTGCAAAACATAAATAGTGAAGATCTATATTGTGAGAGGCTCCCTTTATGCAATTTCAATATACTACTGCATATCCAATAGACCTCACACTAATGTTCCCTCTTTTCTTCCGGCAGTGATCAGAATGAAAGCTATCGTGTGTAAGTGTGGCAGCAATATGCAATTGTGTGGAATAGGTACAATCTATATAGCATTTATGTAATGGTTAGTTACCATAGCTCATAGGCATGTAAGCAGCAGAATGACTATGCAACAAGAAATATTTAACTACAGCCTCAACTATCATCACTGAGAATGTGTAGGACTTAAATATTCCATGAACGGTACTCAATTGTCTGTTATGCATAAAATGAAGGGCACCCGTATATGATTCTTTAGTGGGTGTGTAGATGGCTCTTATTTTTGGGGAAAATCAGTCAAGAAGTTTTTTAGTGACTTTTTGAAAATTAGTAACGAGGTACTATAATGTTGCTAAGCAAGGCAACAGGTGGTAGTTGAGCAAAAGAACAGATGGTCACAGAACATTAGTTGTCTAATATATCCTTGATCACTAAGCTTAACTATGCTTTGCAAATGGTCACTAAAAGGAAATAAGCCAAAACTGTTTTAGTTATACCTGATCTTTTAACTTGCTCCTCACGAATATTACTGCTAATTTAAGAAGCACAATTGTAATGGCATGTATTTACCTTTTGCCGCTTCCAATACTCACCCTCTCCCTGGAATGGTTCGTGCATCTCTATCCATTTTATTTTACTTTCATGCTTGTATAGCAAAATACAGGACAGAAATGCATTCTTTAGTCTGCCAACCTGTATTAACTGAAAATTAAAAAGCAGTTTCAATCTCAATGATCAAAGAATAATCTGAAAATACAGCAGTGTGTGCAGTACCTCATACTGATTGATGTCAGTTGAGTAATTTTTGCATTTTTCTTTTATAAATGTCTCTTGCACAACATCCTTGGCGTGTTCTTCCTGCTGTTGTGCCCACGTTGCTTCTGCTTGCTGAAATATTCTGAAATAGTAGTGTGTCTGGTTAATATGGGACACCCTGACCTCAGCACATGTAGCTAATGGATATTAAATCTAGCTTTCAAAACTTGGAATTGTTGAAACTATATAATCTTGTCTAAAACATAGCTTTCAGTTTGTTTTAACACAGTAACAATTCCCTCTTTCACAGTGAAGATATGATGAAAACTAATCTTTATGGAATATGTCAACAAACCAGACATCAAGGCAGCAGTCCCTTCTTTTAGGTTGCCAACTGTTTTTCCACACTTAACCTATTAAACCCATATATGTCATACCAACTGAATGATACATACAGGTTTAGCAGGTTAAGTGTGTTTTGTTTATACTACTGGTGGTATTAATCTATCCTCCTCAGCTTCATTATTGTATACTTGCACGAGTCCTATCAATCATTATAACCACAATTCCGGGTAATAAAATAAAAATTTATAAATAAAATAGTGGAGGTACTACCGTCCTGCCAAATGAGTGTAAAACTAAAGCCTGTAATTGTTTTACACGATGGTAGGATTGTTGGTGTCTTTTTTTCTGTCTCATAAACATGCAAGATTTCAGGTACGTCTTGTTACTTCTACTTACACTTAGATCACACTACACCTGCATGTACATGCATATATATACCCACCCCTCTAGGTTTTCTTCTATTTTTTTACTAGTTCTTGTCCTTGTTTATTTCCTCTTATCTCCATAGGGAAGTGGAACAGAATTCTTCCTCAATAAGCTATGCGTGTTGTAAGAGGCGACTAAAATGCTGGGAGCAAGGGGCTAGTAACCCCTTCTCCTGTGTATATTACTAAATGTAAAAGGAGAAACTTTCATTTTTCCTTTTGGGCAGCCCTGCCTCGGTGGGATACAGCCGGTGTGTTGAAAGAAGAAATAAAATGATAGGGTACTTTGGTGAAATAAAATATTTGTAAGTGGTATACTTAAGCAGTTTATAGTATATTCATGGGGAAGAGCTTCTTTGATGGCTAAGTTATCAACCAATATTGTTGAAAATTTTATGTTTATCAGCAATGCAGTACTGACTTATCATAAATGTGAGATTTTACATGAATTGAAATGTTAGTTGTAAAAATTAAAAAAAAAAAAAAACTATAATCAGAGCCTGTATAAATTATATTTCAAAGCAAAAACACACAACTCGTACACCATAAATTTTAATGCCATGGAGGTAAAATATTCCCGAAATGTCCAATGATGATAAAAACTGAAAATGCATCACTACATATTTAGGAATGAATATTTTTGCTTACCATATATTCATAATTTATCATATACATTTATGGATTTATGAAGGATGAGGTTAATCATAGAATTGATGAAGGAAAAAAGGTGAGTGGTGCATTGAGGTATATATATGGAGACAAAAAATGTTATCTATGGAGGCAAAGAAGGGAATGTATGAAAGTATAGTAGTACCAACACTCTTATATGGGTGTGAAGCTTGGGTTGTGAATGCTGCAGCAAGGAGGCAGTGGAGATGTCCTGTCTAAGGGCAATGTGTGGTGTAAATATTATGCAGAAAATTCGGAATGTGGAAATTAGGAGAAGGTGCGGAGTTAATAAAAGTATTAGTCAGAGGGTTTGTTGAGGTGGTTTGGTCATTTAGAGAGAATGGATCAAAGTAGAATGACATGGAGAGCGTATAAATCTGTAGGGGAAGGAAGGTGGGGTAGGGGTCGTCCTCGAAAAGGTTGGAGGGAGGGGGTAAAGGAGGTGTTGTGGGCGAGGGGTTTAGACTTCCAGCAAGCGTGCGTGAGCGTGTTAGATAGGAGTGAATGGAGACAAATGGTATTTGGGACCTGACGATCTGTTGGAGTGTAAGCAGGGTAATATTTAGTGAAGAGATTCAGGGAAACCGGTTATTTTATATAACCGGACTTGAGTCCTGGAAATGGGAAGTACAATGCCTGCACTCTAAGGGAGGGGTTTGGGATACTGGCAGTTTGGAGAGATATGTTGTGTGTTTTTATACGTATCTACTTCTAAACTGTTGTATTCTGGGCACCTCTGCAAAAACAGTGATTATGTGTGAGTGAGGTGAAAGTGTTGAATGATGATGAAAGTTTTTTCTTTTTCGGGATTTTCTTTCTCTTTTGGGTCACCCTGCCTCGGTGGGAGACGGCCGACTTGTTAAAAAAAAAAAAAATTATTGTCTATTCTCCAAGGGGAAGTGGAATAAAATTCTTGCTTCGTATGCCATGCATGTCATAAGAGGCGACTAAAATGCCGGGAGCAAGGGGCTAGTAACCCCTTCTCCTGTACAAATTGCTAAATTTAAAAAGAGAAACTTTTGTTTTTCTTTTTGTTCCACCCTGCCTCGGTTGAATACGGCCGGTTTGTCGAAAGAAGATTCATTGTCTATGGAGAGTAAAAGAGAGTGGTGAGGGAATGAAAAGGAGAGTAAATGAGAGAAATAGTGAGGTTCTGTCAACTAATTTTACTGAGAATATGAAAACATTTTGGAAAAATTAACAAGTTGAGCAAGCCTAGGGAACAAATGGATTTAACAGGTAAAAACAGAAGAGGGGAGATAATAGATGGGGAGGTGGAGGTATTGAGATGGCAGGAATTTTTTGAGAGCTGTTAAATGTTGATGAAGAGAGGAAGTCAGTGATTTCATGCATTGGTCAGGGAGGCATAACATATTTTAGGAGTGAGGAAGAGCCACATGCAAGTATGGAGAAGACACATATGCAACAGTTAGGTATCTTTATTTCGAAACGTTTCATCTATACAATAGGCTTCTTCAGTCGAGTACAGAAAAGTATCTTGGTACAGACCTGAAATCAACTTCGACTACCTCTACTAGTGAGAACGGCTGGATTTGAGAGGGACCGGACCTCCCAACATCTGCATTCTACTAGTGACCTACGTCTCACCTCCTGGCGCTATATAAGGCTCCATCCTGTTACTTCAACTCCATATTGTTTCAAACTTTGGAACAATGCTCTTCTCCAGACTGAGGGACTGACCACCTCAAAACTTTAAGGGTGATGGACTGATTACATCGTCTTCAAGTCTCTTCTGCTTCTATCAACTTTTCTGTACTCGACTGAAGAAGCCTACTGTGTAGACGAAACGTTTTGAAATAAAGATACCTAACTGTTGCATATGTGTCTTACCTAACAATCTGTCGGTATTTTATACCATTTTAATGTTCAAGTATGGAGAAGGTGCATGAGGCACTGCAAAAAAATGAAGGGGTAAAAAGCAGTTAGGATCGATGGGACCATGACAGAAATGTTAAAAGCAGGTGGGGATATAGTTTTGGAGTGGTTGGTGCATTTGTTCAATAAATGCAGGAAAGGGTTGAAGGTACCTAGTGATTGGCAGAGAGCACATATAGTTCCAAGAATTAAGGATAAGACAGTAAGCAAGATTGCAGATGAACAAGGTGGTTTTAGGTAGGGTAGACCAATATTTATTTTGAAGCATATAAAAGGAATGTGATACGGTGGATAGGGAAATTTTAACAACTAAAACAACATACCCTTGAATTTCCTTGAGTTTGCGAGAGAAGTCTCGATTCGTCTCTAACAAGCAAGCAGTTTGCCTCTTCTCATGTTCACGCTCATTCATCACCTGGAATGAGTATGAAGTACAGTATGTACTGTGTTACATTATAAGCTTTCTATGTTCAAGTGCCTTTTATTAACATCAAAATGTTTATCAGTCTTACTATTGTCATGCAAAATATTTTTATACATTTAGTATGTTTTCGATATGCAGTACTACATACTGTGTATGAAATTTATACACAATATTCAATTTGTTTTTTTATTAACACACTGGCCATTTCCCACCAAGGCAGGATGACCCAAAAAAGAACACTTTAATCATCACTCACTCCATCACTGTCTTGCCAGAGACATGCCTACACTACCCACCTCTAAGACTCAAGTCTGGCTAACCAGTTTCCCTGAATTCCTTCATAAATGTTACCCATGCTCACACTCCAACAGCACTTCAAGTCATCAAGTCATAAAAATCATTTGCCTCCGCTCACTCCTATCTAACACACTCGCGCACAATTTACAATTTTATTATTAGTTTTGCTACTACTTTAATTTTTGAATAATGAACTTTTCCATATAAGAAATAAACAGCTAATTTAGTTTCGTAACATTTTTATACCTTCTCTGAAAATAAAAGTTATTATAAATTTTTTATATAAAAGAAGCACTAAACCCATAAGAATATTTAAGCAACTGGAGAATGGGAGGGAAATCAGATTTGACCCAAGGAAAGGGTCAGTAGCCCTCCACTCCATTAATACAAAGGCACTCCTCCTTCAAAGGATTACAAAATAATAAACAGAACTGCCTGTGCTGTACTTTACCATGCTGCAGTATTCTCTCTACTTCCAGACAGCATCATCAGGTTTGATACGACAGGAATCGTCTCATTATAAGCATATCAAGTGAACTGTGCCCAACGGGTAATCTTCAGGCTTATTTGCTGAAGAATAGAGTCAAGGGGTAATCTTCAGGTTTATTTGCTGAAGAACAGAGTCAAGGGGTAATCTTCAGGTTTATTTGCTGAAGAACAGAGTCAAGGGGTAATCTTCAGGTTTATTTGCTGAAGAACAGAATCAAGGCAAGACTTTCAAAGGTACACCAACATTAGTAAACAATGAGGACCAGGGTCTGGGACCTCACAATCTTTTGGTTTATCTTAAATTTTAAGATATAATGGACCCTGAACTGAGCCCTGTTACCTCCTGTCATATGTTTAGACTGAGGATGAAAATACTGGTACTGTCTGACTTACGACCAAGCTTGGTTCCGACCAACTGGTCGTAAGTCAAAATGGACACAAGTCGAACCTTAGAAAATTGCTGATAAGGATACTTCAAAAATTAAATCTTAATCTTGTAAAGCATGTTTCAGTGTCCCTTCTCTATTACATAAGAAAATAAACATAAGAACATAAGAAAGGAAGAACACTGCAGCAGGCCTGTTGGCTCAAACTGGGCATGCCATCTCAAATCCATCCATCCATAAACATTTGCCCAACCTATTTGTTATGCTACCCAAGCCATAGAACATTTGGCAGTTTGGAGGAATATGTTGTGTATCTTTATATATGTATGCTTCTAGACTGTTGTATTCTGAGCACCTCTGCAAAAACAGTGATAATGTGCGAGTGTGGTGAAAGTGTTGAATGATGATGAAAGTATTTTCTTTTTGGGGATTTTCTTTCTTTTTTGGGTCACCCTGCCTCGGTGGGAGACGGCCGACTTGTTGAAAAAAAAAAAAAAAAAAAATAGTGATTATGTGTGAGTGAGGTGAAAGTGTTGAATGATGATGAAAGTATTTTCTTTTTGGGGATTTTCTTTCTCACTGGGTCACCCTGCCTCGGTGGGAGACGGCCGACTTGTTGGGGAAAAAAAAAAAAAATGAGAAATGAAGGTTACAAAAGCTATGGCTTGGGTAGCATAAAAAATAGGTTAGGCAAGTGTATATGGATGGATTTGGGAAGGCATGTTTCAGTGTCCCTTCTCTATTACATAAGAACATAAGAAAGGAGCAACACTGCAGCAGGCCTGTTGGCTCAAACTGGGCATGCCTTCTCAAATCCATCCATCTATATACATTTGCCCAACCTATTTTTTATGCTACCCAAGCCATAGCTTTTGTAACCTTTCTTTCTCATGTACCAGCTGACTTTTCCACCATATGTATAACTACTACTACTACCTCTACTTGTGTGGGCGAAACGTCAATAAAGGATCACATTAGTATACTGCTGCATTTGACCGTGCGTCTGGCAGCCCTGCTGCCACACACACGATCATAAGTCGAGTGGTTATATGTCACGCCAGTCGTAAGTCGGATGGCGAGTATTAACCTTTTTTCCTACTAGGATTAAGATCCAGGATGGCCTAAGAACTGAGAATTCTACCTCAGTTCAGAAACTATTCTCTACTGCAATAATTACAAGTGAGAGTAAGGTGAACCTTGAACCATCCTGTATTTAAGTAAAATTAAAACACTGTAAACTATAGTCCTGACCACAGTCATGATGTAGTTAGGCCAGACAAATTAAGGCCAACTATGAAAGAATCATATGCAAACACAGTGGAGGGCATCCAGCAAATGAAAACATTGGCATCTGGGAAGGTGAATGTGATCACCGATGTCCTGAGTTTACCGGGCACTAATTAGCCAAAACAACTATTTGTTGCTCATTACAAGTAAGGAAGCAGAATATTAGCTTTCGCTTTGAGTGTAGACGAGTTGTGGATGCACCAAGGCAGATGGCAGGGGGCCGTCAGGGTCTTTAGCACCATCACTTTTGGTTACTTTTGCCTCAAAGCCATAAAACTCTTTTCAGATTCTCTATTGTAAGTGTTGGAACTGTCACTGTCAAATAACAGATAATTTGAGAGTTTGCAAGCAAGAGTGTCACATTGGTGTGCCATGGTGAACAATGGTGGACTAGCATGACATTCCCATAATGCACTGAAGTGCCCCAGATTTTTTTTTGCATACTGCACACACTAACCATGCAGACCCATTTTCTCATACCTAGACCTCTCAGCCTCTTGTGCCAAATTTAAAAGCTAGAATTTATGCATAGACCTACATAAACAGTACTGGCCTCGATGGCGTATATCTACATGAGCAATGGTCAAAGGGTTAAAAATACCCTATCTGTGCGAGCTATAGGTATTATGGGTTGGGAGGAGGGGAAGGTTCACTGAAACCCATAAGTTTAGAAAGTTTTAATTAGAGCGATCTGAAATGAATTAAGCCAATATTATGCTCCACTTACTAATATAATTTGTCTAAGATGGAAAATACATGTTTCAGCTTTATTTTGTATGTCAAGAAAATCTCAACTATGTAGGGCAATATGAAACATAGTTTATAAGTACCAATCATAAAAATGTTCTAAATAATGGTGCGCATCTTTCTGTTATTATACCATGAGAGAAATATAAGTGCATAAGAATAATCTATTAAATAATAAATTTGAGATATATAAAAATGACTACAGCTCCAATCTACATGCATCCTTACCTGCATGTAGTCCATTTCCAGCTGGTTCATAGCTAGGATAATATTAGTACTTGTGGGGATCTGGACATCAAGAACCTGTAAATTAATTCTATTATGTAATATGTATCATAACAAACATACCCAAAAATATGATTACCACTATTTTTGCCAGATTAATCTAATATGGTATTTTACTGTACTTTAACAGGCTTACCTGAGTTGTACTATACAGAGCCTTTAGTCCTTTCTGACCTTCTGGGGATAATATATTCTCCTTGATTTTCACATGTTCCAACCATTCTCTCAGCTGCCTGCCTGTAATTGACATAACAGACATGAAACAGTAAGTGAAACTTCTGGAGACAAACATTTTTCCATCATATCGGCAATTTCCCGCCACAGCAGGGTGACCCAAAGAAACACATTTAACATTCTTCATTGAACAAAGTACATACACAGTATACATAGTAGCCAAAGGAAACACTACACTGGATACTTCAAAATAGCCTTCAGATACATGGATTGCAAAAAACAATGTAAACCAATTCTTTACAACATACGCTGGACCAACACTGAAACATGCCATGATAGTATGGTGTCCTTGCATATAAAAAATAGATAAGATATAAAATGCCCAAGACCTATGACAAAATGTCTCCCAGAGCAAAAAACAATTACAGGTTACTAAGGCTGAAAATACTGAAACTGTTCTTAATGACTGATACGAAGAAACAAGGACACAATCACACTAAAGTTCATAAAAGAATGTAAATAAACAGATAAGATTTCTTATTACCATCAAGGAGAACATAAGGCCACATTGGTTAATGGAGAAAGATTAGCATTACTAAAAGAAAAAACTTTTTCTTCGTGAACAGATCCTATTTTAGTATTCTACTGAAATGGAACTCAGAATGTAGCCTGTACAAACAAATATAAACATTAAAAAATTATATGAAAAAACTAAGCACTCTAGATAGGACACCATGAGCATAGCTTTGCTCCTGTAACTACAAACAGACCAATACAAGTAGATATTGTACTTGGATTTATGCATTAGATTTATCATAGTCATAGATAACTCAGCATTGTAGGCATGGTAAAAAAGTGGAATGGGGAGGCATGACATCAGAAGTAAAAAATGTATAGTACTGTAATACTGAGGCTGAGGACTATAAAGTATAAATAAGGAATTCCCAGCCTGTGCAATAAATCAATTGTGAATAGGTTAGACAAGATCTGTGTTAATGCTGGGTATTTTAGTGGGGTTATTGAGATGGTTTGGACATGTAGAGAGGATGGAACAAAATAGAATGACTTTGAGAGTACACAAATCTGTAGTTGAGGGAAGGCGTGGTAGGGGTCAGCCTAGGAAAGGTTGGAGGGAGGAGGGGGGTTACAGGAGGTTTTTGTGTGTGAGGGGCTTGGATTTCCAGCAAGCGTGCTTGAGCATGCTAGACAGGAGCGAATGGAGACAAATGGTTTTTAGGTTTTTAGGACTTGACATGCTGTTGGAGTGTAAGCAAGGTAACATTTATGAAGGGATTCAGGGAAACCGGCAGGTCGGACTTGAGTCCTGGAGATGGGAAGTACAGTACTCTGAAGGAGGGGGTGTTAATGTTGCAGATTTATAACTGTAGTGTAGGCATGCCTCTGGCAAAACAGTGATGGAGTGAATAATGGTGAAAGTTTTTCTTTTTCAGGCCACCCTCTCTTGGTGGGAAATGGCCGAAGTGTTAATAAATAAATAAATTTTAGAGTGGGATTCAGACAGCCTGGTTGACTAAGCAGTCAATAAGGAAACCTGGTCTCAGGACCATGGTGAAGATAGAACACCCAAAACCTGCCACAGGTAAGGCACTGATTGAAGGCGAGACTGGAAATACAAATTGTTGTGCCTCGATGAGCAAGGTATTCTATTAAAAGATGCTCAACTGTGAGCATAGCCTGGAAATTTTCATAGCAACCCATCCTGCATAAGGATACCAGAAGGATACCAGAAGGATACCAGAAGCCATTCATGTTTTTTTTTATTTTGTTACTGTTGATTACTGTTGAGGAGTTGTTGAGGTGGTACAGACATGTAGAGGATGGAATGAAATAGAATGACTGAGTGAATAAATCTGTAGTGGAGGAAAGGTGGGGTAGGGGTCAGCCTAGGAAAGGTTGGAGGGAGGGGGTAAAAGGAGGTTTTGTGTGAGAGGGACTTCGACTTCCAGCAAGCATGAGTGAACATGTTAGATAGGAACAAATGGAGGCAAATGGTTTTTAGGACTTAGACGTGCTGTTGGAGTGCAAGGTAACATTTATGAAGGGATTCAGGGAAACCGGTTGGCAGGACTCGAGTCCTGGAGATGGGAAGTACAGTGCCTGCACTCTGAAGGAGGGGTGTTAATGTTGCAGTTTTATAACTGTAGTGAATGCACACCTCTGGCAAGACAGTGATGGAGTGAATAATGGTGAAAGTTTTTCTTTTTCGGGCCACCCTGCCTTGGTGGGAGATGGCCGATGTGTTAAAAATAAAAAATTTATGACTAAACAGAGGTTAATGTAAGTCAGCCTAACCTAACTTACCCTAACATTACTATTCAAGAATAACAAATATTAAATTTCCACAATTCATTAAATCAGGAAGAATCAACAAAAGGGAGTTGGGAAAAAACAGAATGCCCCAAATGAAAAAAATACGTAGGTTGCTCACTGAATAACATAGGCTACGTTTCCTTAAGACGACCAAAGGCAAGCATGGTGTCACTAACACAGCCATAAACAGCAATGTGTCATGGAAAAAAAATGCTAGGGTATGCAAATGACACAATCTTTAGAAAAAAGCTGAAGTATGAATATTACTGTATTTTATTAATTCATTTAAGAATAAATAGGAAATAGTAACATAGCACAACTCAATGGAAATCTTGGATTTGAGGAAACTGGTCGGTAAATTTGATGAAAAATTATGACTTGCCCCACAGTTACTGAAATAATGCCTTAGCAATTTAGAGAAGAGTTAACTTTTGCTATGTTTCTCGACCTTGAGAAATTTTGGCTTAAGTTTAAATTTGTTTCAAAGTAAAGAAGCTGCACTCTAAAGACATTAAGTCACAAAATCAAAAAGAAATATTTTAACAGACCTCTCACAATGCATATACATACATGCTAAACTACACTCCTGTAACTGCATTTTCAGTTTGGTGGTAATAAATGCAGTGAAATGTAGATCACTTCATCTTATCACCTCCAAAGTCTACTGAATTTCTGAAGTGACAATAGCCTCATGCAGTGATAATATTTCTTTCAAAAGCAAAATATAACAGACTCTAAATGTTAAAACCAATTATACTATTTCAAAATGTTACACACAAAAAAAATCACAATAATGACAAAAAATGTCTAACATCAACGGACAAACTCAACACGTTACTTCACAAAGGATAGTACTGCGCAACGTGATCTATGCTGCCACCATACTTTACTCAGGAAGTGCGCAAAAGTTCAAGTACAGGAACTATTTGATAGCACCTCATATTTCAATACCACCATCAGATATGATACTGAACCTCGTCATTTTCTTAGTCTATTTAATTCTTGTTTAACCATTAAATTAGAACAATGTATTCTAGTAAGCTTAATCAAGATTACCTTCAGCGCTATATTCTGATGCTTTGAGAGCATAATCCGATGCAAGAACCTTGGCATTTTTTTCCGAGCATTTACTCGCCGTCATCAGTTGATAAAGAATGTTAATGGTACATTCAGTTTTCTCGTATGGAGGAACTTGCTCTTTTCCATACACCTCTTGCAGCCACTGTGCCACCTGCCATAACAGAATTACATATAAATGTTCACTGATTATTTAAATATATCAATCTCATTCTGGCTGACCTAGGGAAAAGGGCGAGTAGTAATAGGAGGGGAGAGAGGAAGGAGGACAAGAAACTGAGTGTGTGTGTGTGTGAGAAAGTGAGTTGAGAGAGGAGGAGGAGTCATGGGGAGGGGGGAGAGTGAGCACATAAAACTTGTGCAGTATTAAGATATTTATTGGTGGACAAAGCATCTCAGTGTCCTGATTCCATATATTTTTCAGTGTTGATCATCATTTGTAACCATAGAGAAGGGGAAGACAGAGTTGGGAAAAGAGTGGGGGAAAAGAGAGAAATTATAAAGGGTGAAGAGAAGACAGAGGGAAAAAGAGGGAGAAAGGTTGAGGAAAAAAATAAGGGAGAAGAAATATGGGAAGGGTAGAGATAGGGACAAGGGGATGAGAGATTGGGGAAACAGTGAAGAGATAAGTAGGAAGGTGATGAAAAAAATGTGAGGGGGGATGTGATGGCCAGGCAATCCTATACATAGTTTTAAATTTTAGTAATGAATCTCATTCTTATTAAAAACACAGAATTATTTTACTAAAACGTGTTTGAATATTGTACATCATTTTTAGTGATTAGCATACTCTGAGAGAAGGAGAAGAAAGAGAAGAGAAATGAGACAACAAGTAATGAGAGATGAGATGAGATGAGAGAAACAAGAAACAATGAGAGACAAAGGGGAGAGAGAGAAGGGAGATTGTATGTCACTGGGAAACACTCACCATGCAAGTCAACACAGTGTACAGTACAAATTGCCCCAGTGCAAAACAATATTGTTTATTTAAAAGCAAATCACTTACTTTTGACCAAAACATTCATAATTACATCAGGATTATTATTATTATTATTATTATCAAGGGGGAAGCACTAAACCCGGAGGATTATACAGCGCCTGGGGGGGGGGGATGTGGAAGGCATTCAGGCTTAATTCAGGGAACTGGAGCACAGATCCAATTCCCTAAATCAAGAGCCCCTCACCAACATCAAGGAACCTTCCTTGAGGGGAATTACATCAGGAGAATAAATATTTCAAATATGTAAGTGACAAAAGCATTGTGCAACAGGTGAATATGCTACCAGAGGAACAAGACCACAATGTATAATACGTACAGTACTTACAATTTACAAGAGCTTACAATTTATGATCATCGTAAAGGAATACATAAATTATCCACCTAAATTATCCATTAATTAGTAGAGTAGCCAAAGCTTTAAATATTATATATTTTATGTTTTCAAGTAGTAAAGCAATTACAGTGGACCCCCGCTTAACGATCACCTCACAACGCGACCAATTATGTAAGTGTATTTAAGTAAGTGCGTTTGTACGTGTATGTTTGGGGGTCTGAAATGGACTAATCTACTTCACAATATCCCTTATGGGAACAAATTCGGTCAGTACTGGCACCTGAACATACTTCTGGAATGAAAAAATATCGTTAACCGGGGGTCCACTGTACTATTTAAGTTTCTGATAATTTAAACATTGGCTGTAACTTTTTTCATTTATTTTCTGACACCTAGTGATCCTTACCTCCCTGTGTTTGAGGTCCATATCTTGAACAGCGGTGAACGACAACCTACCAAAGCAAGACCGAACACTGTAGTTCACTTTAGAATAAACCACTGACCTGGAATTTTGGATAAACATAATACGCTCCAATATACGTAAGGTAGCAACACTTTCACACATTTTCAAGTTATGCCCAATTTGTATACAAAGTGCCATGGAGAATGCATTTTCTTATACTGGTATACAATACCAGTACAGTAATACAACAAATGTGCAGTAAATATACTTACTGTATAGTAAATAAGTGTGCAAGTATAAACCTACACAAAATTAAACCATATTACTACTTCCCACATTATATTCATGGGGACTGTCATCAATTACAGCCATCCATCATATCCAACATGGGGGAGCACTAAACCCACAAGGGTCATACAGCACCTGGGGGAATGGGAAGCAATCAGGTTCAATCCAAGAAAGGGGAGATCAGTTCCACTTCAATCAGGAACCCCTCACTAGCATTAAATAACCTCCCACGAGGGAGATTCATGGTTAATGCTAAGGATTCAGACAAGTTTGTAAGTAAAAGGATATTGACATTAGTGTGTCAATTGTTATTTCAGTATCCAACAATCAGTAAAGGTTTATTTGTGTGCACTGTGCTCTTTTTAAGTATTTGCTGTCTTAAGAAACTAGTTCCCTGTATAACATCTTTCAAAATTTTAAGTTTCTTTCTCTAAAGAGCAGTAAATTTTGGAATCTAAGGAAACATTTGCCTTGGATTCAATAATTTAATATTTAGAAATCAAACAGATTAATAATGTACACATGTATTATTATTCTATACACACTAATACATGACATGATATATTACAGGACCATGGTTAACTATCACACAACTGACCTAACAAAAGTTCTTCCAATTCTTTAATACATTCCCCACAATGTTTGCAACATGATTCATAATGAAATAGAAGAAAAATGTTATAAGGGGACTGGAACTCACTATAATAGAATTGAGAAAAATAGATGTAATAACATACACAATACGGCACAGGTTTCTCTCGCTCTATGTTGTCTCATTTTGTGTGTATTCACCTTTATACAGTGAACCACTTCTGTCATTAATTCACTGTATGTGAACTAAATTTGTTCTGATGCAGTCTTCCAGTTCCAACACCACTTGATTTTTTTAACCATCTCTCTTTAAATATAATTTGAACTGGTTTAAATGTACATTTACAAATAAGAAATATGAGAAAACAGATTTAGGTATGGGAAATACAGTATGCATATTTTGAAAATCCTATGACTGGGTTTCAATTCAAGATTCTTCTGCAAATTCAAAAGGAAGTGAGCACCAAGACAGAGGAAACTGAGCTGTGCCAACACCAGGCAAGGGCTAGGAGTGGAGAAGAGAAGGAAAGAGAAGGGGAATATGTATTCACAGGTTCATAACATGTGCACATCAACCCAGGTTATCACAGATTGGGTGGTTGGAGAAAGGAGGATAGAAGGAAAGAGAATTATGAATTTTTGGGATTTTTCTTTTTTCTCTCTGGGAGGCAAATGAATCTTTTACTATGTATGTGTGGTAGGCTTTCATATTTTTGGTAAACACAAATCAAGAAATGTAGAATTGGCAAAGTCTTGGAACACATCCTTATGTTTTACATCTTATGTTGAGTTACTTACGAGATTTTGCTTTGAATAAATTATATGCCATCCATGTCAGGTCACTGTTATATGTTCATAGGGGAGCATTAAATCTATAGGGTCATACAGCACCTAAGGATATTGAAGGCAATCATATTCAATCCAAGGACAGGGAGAATAGGACCAATTCCTTGGACCAACAGCCCCCTTACTGGCATGAAGGCCTACATCCTTGAGGGGTTAAGGAAGCCAACAAAACTAAGACAGACCCAAGGGCTGAAGCTTAAAACCAACATATTCAACTACCGCAGTTAAATAGCAATTTTAATAAAATATACTGTACTACAGAAACACTAATTAAAAATAATAAAAATTACTTTTTGCTAAATCTCAGTGTACAATAAAATAAGGCATTGAGGGATTGCGTCACGACTGAGATGGGCAATAGTGAAAACGAGCCCCAAGTAAATTATAATCTGTGTAAAGAAATTTGAAAGGTCACTTAATAAAAACATTATGAAGAGAGGAGGGAGGAGAGAGCAAAACTGAATGATAATTATTGAAAAAATACAAGCAAAATTTTTATTTACAGTATACTATATGACTATTACAGTAGTCTGTCTTTTATAAATTATTATTGCTTTATTCCCAAAAAATGTTTTATAATAAACCTTCGATTTAACAGATTAACAGAAAAGACGGGGAGCACATAATGGCAAATGTGGTTGGACAGATATTTTTTTACTAAAATCTTAACAGAGTTCATTTCTGCAACCAATGGACTTTGTTTCATAATCAATTAATCCAGCAAATTCTGTCCAGTATTTCTCAAGTGTGTTAAACTGTAGTCCATTAAATCAAGGGTCTGCTGCACTTCAAAATAAGTCCATATAACACAAATTTTCCAATGAAGCAAATTACTTTTGCTGAATTACCAGTACACTATACAGTCCAACATCACATAACAAAAATAAGTGTGGGAATCTCTAGAAATTGCAGTATCTAATTATCCAGACATATACCTGTTACACCACCAAATATGTCAGCATCAATTGAATTAGTGATAGAGAGCTCTGGTTCTTTTGTCAACTGCTGCATCAGATACTCTAGAGGCTTCTTCAAACAAATCCTCTTCAAGACACTTATTTCAAAGTAGCCAATTTTATGTTTAGAAGGGTATGTGATGCTTTTGCCTTTTACTTTCCTTTCCTTAACGTCAATTTTGTTAGCACAAAGGACAACGGGAATATCTGGTCGCACTCTAAGAATATCTTTATGCCAATTTGGTACATTTTTGTATGTTATTTTGGAAGTTACATCAAAGAAAATGACAGCTGCATCAGCACCAGAATAATATGCATCTCTTAAAGGACCTAACTTTTCTTGGCCAGCTGTGTCCCATATGACTACCGTACTTGGGCCATGGGAGGTGTTAACTGCGATTTCGTGCTTCTCTACTCCTAATGTAGCGATGTATTCTTTCCGAAAATCCTCATTTTGTAGTCGAGCAACAAAGCTAGATTTTCCTGTTCCACCATCACCAACCAGTACAATCTTGTATTTTCCAGGCTTAAAACAGCTAGTGGAATCTGGCAGTGTTTGCCCATCACTTGATGAGTGACATGCTTCCTCCATCCCTGATTTTATATGCAAGATGAAATACCAGACTGTATCATTGGAACTTTCAAGCTGCTGATGTCAGATGGCTTTAAGGCTGAAAAGAAAAAAAGGTAGAGTTGGGTTATCCTGGTCTAGATTAAAACTAAGGCTTTATGTGTAAAACACACAATTTTATAACTGCTGTGAAATACATGAAACTCCAAACTAGGAATATAAATAACATGAAATAGTAACTACTGTAATGCCTTAGTTAAATCTGACCAATTGAACTTAGTACTCAACTCTTCCTTTATTTTGCAGTTTTACTATCTTATATCTGCTTTTATATATATATATATACGTATACATAAAAAAAAGGAACTGGTGCACTTGTCTGAATTAGTTTAAATGCTAAATTTAAAACTGTTTGAAATTTGGAAGGTTGCACTTTGTTTTTACTTCACTTCCCATAATCAATTTGATGTGTGCAACACACTGAAGAAATGAGTATAGAAATCAGTGATAGACTAACTGCCAATACAATATTTAAAGGGCTATTAAACATCCCACGATACTTCACGCTTAGAGTAGAATAGTTGCCTATGGATCAATATATAGTCATGGGGAAGAACTAATCCCATAAAGGTCATACAGTACCAGGGAACTGGACAACTAAAAGGAACATCAAACTACAAGTTTATAGAGGTGTTTTTCACTTAATGCTGTAGGTGTGCTAAGGCCTTGGCAGTTGTACTCAGCTCAATCAGGCAATCAACGCTTAATTTCATATATGTACAATATAGGTAGTAATAAGAATCCTCAGTGCAGCTTCTGAACTGCAGGGATTGCATGTGGATTTACTGATAAAAATCTGACATTACATGAGAGTAAATTACCATAGAGTGAGCCCACAAAGTGAGGGAACAGGGGTGCAGTCATGGGAAAGAAGGGGAAATAGTCTAAGGGAACTAAAGCACCATATTCGACAGAAGCAAATACTTTTATTTTTCAATTCAATGGCTAATTTTCACTGTATTATATTGACCAGTGACCACAAAAGAATGATAACTTCAGAAATTTCACATATGCTGTATATATACATAAAATCATTTGTTTTTAAGACAATTTCTTTGATTTTCTCAGTATCTTATGCTCAAGCCCCCCCACTTGAAATCCCGGCTTAAGCCTACCCCACCAGACAAAACCCTTTGATGCAACACTGTGAGAAACACTTCTATCCTGTCACACTGTTGGAGGAAATAGTAGAGGTGGGAACGAGCGGACTGGAGTAGATAAGTCAGGTAATGGGGAAATTAAGATCAGTTGGATCATGTTTAATTAGATTGGCTCCACTCAGTAACAGTTCCCACTTTGGTCTAAGCATTTTCTTCTGTAATTTCCTTCAATCAATCAATTTACTTCCGCATGATGCATAATTTGTTCAAAATTGGGCGACGTAACATCTTTCAAATGGAGTCATTTAGTTACGCAGAACATTTCAGACTGTAATTGCTTTATAGATCCACAATAAAATGTCAACATTAGTTGCATCTGAGTCCTTTTAACTAAAAACCTTAAACCTAACTTACGGTCAGAAGGGCTACGGAATTTTACATAGATGTTTATAAGACAACAACGCTTTTTACAATAAAACAGATTACATGAATATTAAACAAATGTATATGAAGCAGAAAAAAATCATGACATTAATTATACTTATTAATTTTTGCAAATTTAAAAAAATAAAAGTAGAAAATGACAATATGAGTGAAAATATTTTTGCAGAATTGAAAAGGGAAAATTTTACATGAAAAATTAAAGATTCGGTTTTTTCCAAAGATACATTTAAAAGGCCCCCAGTGGAAATAAGTCACTACTTTTTTGGGTTATCTTAGGTTCTTAACATATGTGTTGTATGATAATCTATGTAACTGTTTTTTGTTTTTAACCTAAAATAAACTTATTTACTTACGGTTTTAATTTTGGTTAAATTACCGACAATGGTTAAGTAAAGGCACATGCAAAAATGTGACATTTTTTTGTGGCAACATTTACTCTCCGGGAGCTTTGTCAAGCGTTGACGCTTGACAAAGCCCCTGGAGAGCGAAACATTGCCACAAAAATGAAACATAGTTGCAGTTGGCCCTCTTACTTTAAACTTACTGACGGGGAGGGCGATATTTAGGTGCTCGTGCAAAAAGGGCCCCTTATTATTGTTATAAAAACCAAAGTGCTAAACCCACCTTTAACAGTCCCCAAAAAAACCCTTAGTATCAGGGATGATCAGTGTAAAGCAATTTTTTTTTTTTTTAAATCTCGTTTACCTGGGAGAGTTCCGGGGGTCAAAGCCCCCCCGCGGCCCAGTCTGTGACAGGCTCATGGGGGACAGACCCTGATCAACCAGGGTTATGGGTGACGCAATCCAACGTAGAACCACACCCCGGCTGGTAGGTACCAACTTTGGTGCTCGTAGGTCCCTGCTTGAAGACAGCCAGGGGTATATTGGAAATTCCCCCAGTATGCTGGGAGGCAGTTAAACATCTTGGCCCGACACTTAGTTTTGCCCTTTTAAAACGTGCTAAACACCCCCTTTTCTTGGGGGGGATTTTGATCGTCTGCCGAGTCTTTTGCTTTGTAGGGAGGATTTTCGTGTGCAATTTTGGTACTAACCCTTTTGGGTTTTTCCAGGTGTATATAATCATGTATCTCTCCCACCTGCGTTCCGGGGAATAAGGTGCGGGAAACTTAAAAACTTTTCCAGTATTTGGGTGTACTGCTGTGTTAATTTTTTTCCGTTTCCCGGCTTGGGCACGCAAGTTTATTCAGGGATATGCAAAATTTAGTAAATCACACTGCAGCATATGTATAGAAAAATAAAATACCCAAAAAAAAGTCGCAATTTATTTCCATTGGGATTTTTTTAATACATGCCATAGTAGTATACCATTCCTGCCCATGGATGATATTACCAAAGTGTAATGACACAATTAAACAACCATACCACAGGGGGATAGAACCCGTGGTTCCCGCAACAGTCTGGAGTTTTGACCTTGACCCGGGGGTTTACCCCCGCTTGTGGTAGGGCTTTTTTTATGGTAGATTTTAAATTTACATTTTATGGGTGTATCAAGTAAATTAAAGTATTTTGCAAAATTTGGGAAAGTAAGGGTTATTTAAAACCTAAAAACCCAAGGGGGAAATTTACTATGAATTTACTGGGATTTTTCCCTTGATTTAAAAAAGAAAAATTTGACCAAATAGCTGCAAAAAAATCTGTAAAATATCTGAAACTTGGTACTGAACAAAAATTTTAAATTTAATTAAAGTTTACTCAGGTAAAATAACTTTTTTTGATAAACTAAAAAATTTCTAGCATTTCTTTAAAAAACCCGGAAAAGCACTGTCCCCGTGGGGGGTTTTACAGCCCTAAAAACCAAATTCAGGTTAAACCCCAAAAAAGGGAGGATAAGTTCTTTTCCCTTGGGATCAAGACCCTTTCTCAAATTTCTACAAGATGAATTGTTTATACTTTTTAAAAGAAAATTTTATTCAGGTTTTAAACCCGTACGGTCCGACAGCGCCTAGGGATGGGGGGGGGTAATCAATTTTGATCCAAGGGTGGGCGCTCCAATTCCTTGGATCAACACCCCTGACATCAAGGGCCTTGCCAGATATTCAAAATATATTAAAATTTCTTTAGTAATATAATTTAAAATGCGGGCTCACCCCATCAGGATGTAAGACGAGGTCTTCTTCTTCCTCTTCTACTCTTCTTTCCCCTTCCCCCCTTCCCAATATTAATATATTATGCCTTTTCTCCTGGTTCAAATTAGTGTCCCTTTTAGCTCCCGGGGGACACCATTATTTCCCCATCATAATTCTCGAATTTATCTTTTTTTATTCAAACCCCCAAAGAGACTAATAAATATTTTAAATTTTTATAGAATAATTTATTTTAGTTAACGAGGGTTTTGGAGAGTAAGTTTTATATTTTAGTTTATTGTAACGATGTTTTTCCCGGGGGAAAAAACTTTTTTTATTATTTCTGACTTGTTCAATATACCAATTTTACAGTGTTCTTCTCTGAAATTTTAATAATTACATGATTACTGCTTTTTAAATCTGTTAAATGGGTTTGAGTAAAACTTTTTTCTTTTCAAATCGGATATATTAGTTTTATCATGGTATAATAATATTTTGCTTTTTTTATTCTTGAATCCAAAATGACAAGATTTAATTGTTGTTGAGCAGGTAGGAAAAGATCCGTCTATGAAATTAAATTTTTCAAAGATTTTAGAAGGGAGTGGAATTAGTATTGGTCTTAGTTTTCAAGTTTAGCTTTGGGCACTCCTTTGCGGGTCAGGGGCCCTCGCTATTTTGGGATTGTTGGGAAAGAGATGATTCATTCAAATTTCAAATTAAAATTCAAATTCAAAATTTATTCTCAAAGGATTACAATGTGATTTAAGAATTTGGTTACTGTGTTTTACTGTAGAAAATAAATTTCAGAGGGGGGCCCCTAGGACCCTAGCAGGGTAGGGGTTTCGGGCAGACATTCATATTTGTTTTAAAAAACGTTTGCAAATTTTTGACAATATTGAGAAGCTTTTTTTTACATTAAAACAGGCAAGTTATGTCTCCCGCCTTGTTTTTTAAGGGGTTTTTGATAGAGAGACTTTTATGGGTTGGTTGGAAACTGGGAAAAGCGTATTTGGGGAAGGTGCCCCATAAGGGACTGATGGGGCGGGGTTTTTGGCTTGGGATTTTTTTTTTTCTAATTTTTCCCGTGGGAAGAAAAAATTTATCTGTTTGCTGTTTCAGTTGGAGTAGTAGGGGGTTTATCTGATTTTGTAAACTTGATTGTTTTGTTTTTGGAAACTTTTTAGTTTCCAAAAATTTTAATAGAGTTTTTTCCCGGTTTTTTTCATATCACCTTTTATGTTATGTAATCATTTTCATAATACAATTTTTTGATTTTCTTATCAGGGTGGTAAGTGGGGACGGTAAGTTTGCTGTTCTCTTTATTTGCGTTCTATACTGTTTTTTCATATTTGTGCTTTTTGTTAATGGATTTTTGAATGCTGGGGGTTACCAGGGATTATTCAGTCTCTTTTTGCTGTGATATTTTTAGTTTTTTTTTTTGAGGGGGGGGGGAGTTTGTTATAAAAGGGTTTGGGCTTTTTTTTTAGAAAATTATTTTTTATATTTTTAATCTGTATGGGTTTTAAGCTCATTTTGCCAAAATGATGTTATTCATAGCTCTTTAAAGTTGTTAAAGCTGTCTCGTTTATGAGTCTGAAAGGGTTTTGTGGAAAAGACTGTTATATTTTCCGGAAAACGGTAATTTATAGGGAAAAAATATGCCCAATTGTATTTTTAAAAAAATTTATCGAAAAAAAAAAACACTCGCCATCTTGGTTTTGAATTGTGTCAACGTTGGTGTGATGGGAAGGGAAATTTTTTGTGCTCTAGGGAAAATTGTTCCCCCTCTCAAAAAGGAGGCGAAATTGTTGGATGTGCATAACTTTAGAAACAGGCGACTGGAAAGAAAGCTCCAGGGGAAACCCCAATAAGCTCTTAGATTGTGTATAATTCTGGCCAGCATTATTTTCATGATTTTAAATGAGGTTTTCGAGTATGATACACATAATTCCCCTCAAATTGGGATGATTTAAAAAATTCTCTTTTTGTTATGTAAATTTTGATATCTAATTATTTTTTAAATTTTATATACGTCCACAAATTTATATATTTACCACATTCCTGGGGATGTATTTTTCTTTTTATAATTAATGGGCCAGAGCAACTTTGGTTATGCATTTGGGAGGTTTGAAGGGGGGGATTTTTGGGACAGGTGTCCCAAAATTTTTACTTTCTTGTAAATCTGATAAATAATAATTATCTTTTTTATCATTTACTGTTATGTACATAATGATTTTCATTAGATAAATGCAATTTTTCCCCGTACTTTAGTAATGTCTTGTGGCAATTTTCCCCGATTTTTAAAGAGAAAGGTTGGGGAGTGGTCTGTGGTTGTCTTGATTTTGTCTGATTTTAAAGGGGGGTATGGTGTTTTCCCGAGTGGTCTATTAAGATGGGTTGTCTCGGTGATTCTTGTAGGGTTTTAATATTTTTGGACAACAGGTAGTTATCATTGTTTTGTGAAATTGATTTCTTTGGGTCCTAGTGTGTAGTTTGTTTATTTGAAATTTCCGTTGTTAGGTGGCTTTTTTCATGTGGCTCAGTCATTTTTGTTTCCCCCTTTTTTACTAAAGTGGAAAATGTTTTACTGTAGTACTCTGTGATGTTTAAAAAACGAACAAATGCCGGAAAAAAAACCCCCCCCCAGTCCCAAATACCCCCCGCCCGTAACATTCTTCTTTGCAAATTTTACGGGGGTCTAAAGCCAGCTACAAAACAAAATCCCTTTCATCCGTGGACTGTTTGCAGGGGCCCAAAGGGAAGTTCGCGGCTTTCATGAGACCCACATAAAGGATCACTTGGAAACGAATTTAGGATCCCAGGTTAAAAACCTTCAGATGGACAGAGGGAACGGAAAAAAGGGGGGGGTTTGGCCTGTACTTTGCAGAGTCACTTGTTTGCACAGAACTGTTAATGCCTCAAATGCGTAGGGGAAAAGTTTTAGCAGTAAAGGTCGAGAACAAAACCTAGTATTTGGAGTCTAAAAAGCCCCCGGAGCAACATCCCAGAAATTTCCCGGAACAGCTTTTAAAAAATTGCCCCACGTCTGGAAAAATCTTCCAGCTCCTGCCCCCAACATCTTGCCCCCTGGGGGATTTAAATTTAAGGCCCCTAAAATGGAGGAATATAGCAAATAAAAATTGTTGCGTAATAAACCCAGGAGGCGCTTGATGAAAAAATCACATCACCGAGCTTTTAAATCTTGCCAAAATTCAATTTAAACCCGCAAATAATAGAGCCTACAAGTGGAGAATCACTAGACCCTCTTCACTAAAATGATGATTGATAAGAAAAGTCACCCAAACAAAACAATATAATCAGATCACAACTAATTGAGGTTCGCATGTAGCATGGACCCCAGACCGACAAAAAGAGATAGCGGGGGAGCATTCACCAAATTCAACTTCAATAACAAAAACATAATGGGGGCCAAGTAAAACCAAGTCCCAACCCTATAAGTGGGGGAATATAAGGGAACACGACCCCAAAAATTATGCCTAGAACAGATTAACCCGGGGGCACCGATGTAGCACAAGGTTTTTCCCCTAAGAAAAAGGAGGAGTAGATGTAAATGAAAGAGGGCAGGCGCTCCTTTACAGGCGACGGAAAAAAAAATAAAGAGCGGCTAAAAGAGGTCAAAATATCTGAAATGCGCAGGGGGACATGGTCAGAGAAATGCAAGCATCGAACTTAAGCTAAAAAAATCCTTTAGGAGTCAGGAATCGCGGGAAGAACTAAAAGCCATAAATGAAATCGAAAGAAAACCCAAAGTATTTCTTCTCCTATGCCAAATCAAAATCGAGAAAAAACGTCCAGTATTGGGCCCCCTACTTAAACAAGAGGGTCCTACACAGATGACAGCAAGGAAATGGTGAGCTACTCATTTCCCAATATGACTCAGTTTTTAGCAAGCCGCTAACCAGACTGAGAGTCAAAGACCAAAATGAATTTTTTATGAGAGAGCCACAAAATTTGACTAACACAAGCCTATCCGATGTTATCCTGACGCCAAATGACTTCGAACAGGCGATAAATGACATGCCCATGCACTCTGCCAGGGCCAGACTCATGGAACTCTGTGTTCATCAAGAACTGCAAGAAGCCCCTATCACGAGCCTTTTCCATCCTATGGAGAGGGAGCATGGACACGGGGGTCGTCCCTCGTTACAAAAAAACAACAGACATAGCCCACTCCACAAAGGGGGCAGTAAAGCAACAGCAAAGAATACAGACCAATAGCACTAACATCCCATATCATAAAAATCTTTGAAAGGGTCCTAAGAAGCAAGATCACCACCCATCTAGAAAACCCATCAGTTACACAACCCAGGGCAACATGGTTTAGAACAGGTCGCCCCTGTCTGTCTCAACTACTGGATCACTACGAAAAGGGGCCCCTAAATGCACTAGAAGACAAAAAGAATGCAGATGTAATATATACAGACTTTGCAAAAGCCTTCGACAAGTTGTGACATGGCGTAATAGCGCACAAAATGCGCGCTAAAGGAATAACAGGAAAAGTCGGTCGTGGATTCTATATTTCCTCACAAACAGAACACAGAGATTTAAGTCGTCAACAGAGTAAAGTCCGAGGCAGCTACGGTGAAAAGCTCTGTCCCACAAGGCACAGTAAATAGCTCCCATCTTGTTCCTCATCCTAATTTCCCACATAGACAAGGATGTCAGCCACAGCACCCTGTCTTCCTTTGCAGATGACACCCGAATCTGCATGAACAGTGTCTTCCATTGCAGACACTGAAAGGCTCCAGGCGGACATCAACCAAATCTTTCAGTGGCTGCAGAAAACAATATGAAGTTCAACGATGAGAAATTTCAAATTTCTCAGATATGGTAAACATGAGGAAATTAAATCTTCATCAGAGTACAAAACAAATTCTGGCCACAAAATAGAGCGAAACACCAACGTCAAAAACCTAGGGGTGATTATGTCGGAGGATCTCACCTTCAAGGACCATAATATTGTATCAATCGCATCTGCTAGAAAAATGACAGGATGGATAATGAGAACCTTCAAAACTAGGGAGGCCAAGCCCATGATGACACTCTTCAGGTCACTTGTTCTATCTAGGCTGGAATATTGCTGCACTCTAACAGCACCTTTCAAGGCAGGTGAAATTGCCGACCTAGAAAATGTACAGAGAACTTTCACGGCGCGCATAACGGAGATAAAACACCTCAATTACTGGGAGCGCTTGAGGTTTCTAAACCTGTATTCCTGGAACGCAGGAGGGAGAGATACATGATTATATACACCTGGAAAATCCTAGAGGGACTAGTACCAAACTTGCACACGAAAATCACTCACTACGAAAGCAAAAGACTTGGCAGACGATGCACCATCCCCCCAATGAAAAGCAGGGGTGTCACTAGCACGTTAAGAGACCATACAATAAGTGTCAGGGGCCCGAGACTGTTCAACTGCCTCCCAGCACACATAAGGGGGATTACCAACAGACCCCTGGCAGTCTTCAAGCTGGCACTGGACAAGCAACTAAAGTCAGTTCCTGATCAGCCGGGCTGTGGCTCGTACGTTGGTTTGCGTGCAGCCAGCAGCAACAGCCTGGTTGATCAGGCGCTGATCCACCAGGAGGCCTGGTCACAGACCGGGCCGCGGGGGCGTTGACCCCCGAAACTCTCTCCAGGTAAACTCCAGGTAAACTGTGAGGGGTTTTTGCAGGTCCTCCAGTTGGTATAGGTCCTCCAGTTGGTGTAGGTCCTCCAGCTGGTGTAGGTTCCCCAGCTGGTGTAGGTCCTCCAGCTGGTGGAGGCTCTCTCGCAAGTGGGTCCTCCAGCTGGTGGAGGCCCTCTGGCTTGTGGAGGCCCTCCAGCTGGTGGAGACCCTCCAGCTGGTGGAGACCCTCCAGCTGGCAGAGACCCTCCAGCTGGCGGAGACCCTCCAGCTGGCAGAGACCCTCCAGCTGGTGGAGACCCTCCAGCTGGCGGAGACCCTCCAGCTGGCAGAGACCCTCCAGCTGGCAGAGACCCTCCAGCTGGCAAAGACCCTCCAGCTGGCAAAGACCCTCCAGCTGGTGGAGACCCTCCAGCTGGTGGAGACCCTCCAGCTGGTGGAGACTCTCCAGCTGGTGGAGACTCTCCAGCTGGTAACTACATGTGTATACAAAGCCTTAATGTAAAAGGCAATTTGCTGTCATCCATTTACATATCTTTTATTAATTGTCTTTTATTATATTTGCGTCAAGATTAGAAAATCAGCAACAAGAACCAGAAGGGAATAAATGGGAAAAAATAAGCGAAAAAAAAGTTTTTAAAGGGAAAGGACTTTACGAAAAAATAAGCCTACTGCATATTACAAATTCTGATACAAAAATCCGCAACGTATGGTTGATGTTAATGAAGTTTAAAGGCTATCGACCGGACGAGGGTCATTAAGGCTGCAGGTAACCTGTTCACCACCAGACAATAATACTTCTGTCCCTAAAATAATAATTAAACTCTCAGCATATATAAGTTGAGAGAAATACACTCAATATATATCCTGTGAAAGTCTGATGTATTAAAGTTAAACATAATAGTAAAATATCTTGTATTAGTATAGACTAGTTATTATTATTATTATTATTATTATTATTATTATTATTATTTAGAGATATACAGATCGACACCATGCCTAACCCTACTAGGGTAGGGTAGGTGCCTGAGCCCGAGCCTTTAGCTCATAAGACTGTCATTCCCATTTTCCCCCTTGTGGCGGGGATGGCAGACCAGAGAGGCCTAGCTTGTGGCTAGGCCTGAGGACAGTTGGTCCCAAAGATGAGGAGGTACTTGTGCCTCCTCCCATGGGAGACTTAGGTCTCAGACACTCCCTAAAGAGGGAGCCAAGGCCGGGCCACCACTTGGAAAAGGCCCGGGCCGGGAGAATACTGGCTAATCTTTAATAATAATAATAATAATTAGAGATATAGACTGAGAAACTTCTCGTATCCAGAATAATAAGTGATGTGTGAGCCGTATGGGTCATTCAACACAAGAAATAGTGGAGGCTCGATTCTCCGTCTGTTAATGGCGAGGCAGACTACATAACTGTACTGACAGGAAGTAATGTACTAACGAGAGAAGAGCTCGGTGACGATACTGAAAAAAAGTAATACTCAAAAGTCCTGAAACTAGTTGTATATTCATATTTAAATTCCAAAATTAGGTATTCTAGGCGGAGGATTCTGGTGTATCAGTGACTCTGCTGAAGATGCGGACTCTGCTGATGCCACCATCTGGAGCTATAACAATTCTGACGTGGGAAACTGCACCTTCCATCACTACCTCGTCTTGGTACAGATGAATGGAATGTGCACTTAACTGAAAAGAAATGCAAAATATTCTTCTTTGAAGCCTTTTTATCCACTTCGAGGCTATGGGTCCCACAATTTGCATATATATCTATATATAGGTAGTAGGTTGGTAGACAGCAACCACCCAGGGAAGTACTACCGTCCTGCCAAATGACTGTGAAACAAAAACCTGTAACTGTTTTGCATGATGGTAGGATTGCTGGTTTCTTTTTCTGTCTCATAAACACGCTAGATAACAGGGATATCTTGCTTCTCCTACTTACACTTTGGTCACACTTCACAGACACGCACATGCATATATATATATATATATACATACATCTAGGTTTTTCTCCTTTTTCTAAATAGCTCTTGTTCTTTTTTATTTCTTCTATTGTCCATGGGGAAGTGGAAAAGAATCTTTCCTCCGTAAGCCATGCGTGCCGTATGAGGCGACTAAAATGCCGGGAGCAATGGGCTAGTAACCCCTTCTCCTGTATACATTTACTAAAAAGAGAAGAAGAAAAACTTTATAAAACTGGGATGCTTAAATGTGCGTGGATGTAGTGCGGATGACAAGAAACAGATGATTGCTGATGTTATGAATGAAAAGAAGTTGGATGTCCTGGCTCTAAGCGAAACAAAGCTGAAGGGGGTAGGAGAGTTTCAGTGGGGGAAATAAATGGGATTAAAATCTGGAGTACTGAGAGAGTTAGAGCAAAGGAAGGGGTAGCAGTAATGTTAAATGATCAGTTATGGAAGGAGAAAAGAGAATATGAATGTGTAAATTAAAGAATTATGTGGATTAAAGTAAAGGTTGGATGCGAGAAGTGGGTCATAATAAGCGTGTATGCACCTGGAGAAGAGAGGAATGCAGAGGAGAGAGAGAGATTTTGGGAGATGTTAAGTGAATGTATAGGAGCCTTTGAACCAAGTGAGAGAGTAATTGTGGTAGGGGACCTGAATGCTAAAGTAGGAGAAACTTTTAGAGAGGGTGTGGTAGGTAAGTTTGGGGTGCCAGGTGTAAATGATAATGGGAGCCCTTTGATTGAACTTTGTATAGAAAGGGGTTTAGTTATAGGTAATACATATTTTAAGAAAAAGAGGATAAATAAGTATACACGATATGATGTAGGGCGAAATGACAGTAGTTTTGTTGGATTATGTATTGGTAGATAAAAGACTGTTGAGTAGACTTCAGGATGTACATGTTTATAGAGGGGCCACAGATATATCAGATCAATTTCTAGTTGTAGCTACACTGAGAGTAAAAGGTAGATGGGATACAAGGAGAATAGAAGCATCAGGGAAGAGAGAGGGTGAAGGTTTATAAACTAAAAGAGGAGGCAGTTAGGGTAAGATATAAACAGCTATTGGAGGATAGATGGGCTAATGAGAGCATAGGCAATGGGGTCGAAGAGGTATGGGGTAGGTTTAAAAATGTAGTGTTAGAGTGTTCAGCAGAAGTTTGTGGTTACAGGAAAGTGGGTTGCAGGAGGGAAGAGGAGCGATTGGTGGAATGATGATGTAAAGAGAGTAGTAAGGGAGAAAAAGTTAGCATATGAGAAGTTTTTACAAAGTAGAAGTGATGCAAGGAGGGAAGAGTATATGGAGAAAAAGAGAGAGGTTAAGAGAGTGGTGAAGCAATGTAAAAAGAGAGCAAATGAGAGAGTGGGTGAGGATGTTATCAACAAATTTTGTTGAAAATAAGAAAAAGTTTTGGAGTGAGATTAACAAGTTAAGAAAGCCTAGAGAACAAATGGATTTGTCAGTTAAAAATAGGAGAGGAGAGTTATTAAATGGAGAGTTAGAGGTATTGGGAAGATGGAGGGAATATTTTGAGGAATTGTTAAATGTTGATGAAGATAGGGAAGCTGTGATTTCGTGTATAGGGCAAGGAGAATAACATCTTGTAGGAGTGAGGAAGAGCCAGTTGTGAGTGTGGGGGAAGTTCGTGAGGCAGTAGGTAAAATGAAAGGGGGTAAGGCAGCCGGGATTGATGGGATAAAGATAGAAATGTTAAAAGCAGGTGGGGATATAGTTTTGGAGTGGTTGGTGCAATTAGTTAATAAATGTATGGAAGAGGGTAAGGTACCTAGGGATTGGCAGAGAGCATGCATAGTTTCCTTTGTATAAAGGCAAAGGGGATAAAAGAGAGTGCAAAAATTATAGGGGGATAAGTCTGTTGAGTGTACCTGGTAAAGTGTATGGTAGAGTTATAATTGAAAGAATTAAGAGTAAGATGGAGATAGGATAGCAGATGAACAAGGAGGCTTTAGGAAAGGTAGGGGTGTGTGGACCAGGTGTTTACAGTGAAACATATAAGTGAACAGTATTTAGATAAGGCTAAAGAGGTCTTTGTGACATTTATGGATTTGGAAAAGGCGTATGACAGGGTGGATAGGGGGGCAATGTGGCAGATGTTGCAAGTGTATGGTGTAGGAGGTAGGTTTACTGAAAGCAGTGAAGAGTTTTTACGAGGATAGTGAGGCTCAAGTTAGAGTATGTAGGAAAGAGGGAAATTTTTTCCCAGTAAAAGTAGGCCTTAGACAAGGATGTGTGATGTCACCGTGGTTGTTTAATATTTTATAGATGGGGTTGTAAGAGAAGTAAATGCGAGGGTCTTGGCAAGAGGCGTGGAGTTAAAAGATAAAGAATCACACACAAAGTGGGAGTTGTCACAGCTGCTCTTTGCTGATGACACTGTGCTCTTGGGAGATTCTGAAGAGAAGCTGCAGAGATTGGTGGATGAATTTAGTAGGGTGTGCAAAAGAAGAAAATTAAAGGTGAATACAGGAAAGAGTAAGGTTATGAGGATAACAAAAAGATTAGGTGATGAAAGATTGAATATCAGATTGGAGGGAGAGAGTATGGAGGAGGTGAACGTATTCAGATATTTGGGAGTGGACGTGTCAGCGGATGGGTCTATGAAAGATGAGGTGAATCATAGAATGGATGAGGGAAAAAGAGTGAGTGGTGCACTTAGGAGTCTGTGGAGACAAAGAACTTTGTCCTTGGAGGCAAAGAGGGGAATGTATGAGAGTATAGTTTTACCAACGCTCTTATATGGGTGTGAAGCGTGGGTGATGAATGTTGCAGCGAGGAGAAGGCTGGAGGCAGTGGAGATGTCATGTCTGAGGGCAATGTGTGGTGTGAATATAATGCAGAGAATTCGTAGTTTGGAAGTTAGGAGGAGGTGCGGGATTACCAAAACTGTTGTCCAGAGGGCTGAGGAAGGGTTGTTGAGGTGGTTCGGAACATGTAGAGAGAATGGAGCGAAACAGAATGACTTCAAGAGTGCATCAGTCTGTAGTGGAAGGAAGGCGGGGTAGGGATCGGCCTACGAAGGGTTGGAGGGAGGGGGTAAAGGAGGTTTTGTGTGCGAGGGGCTTGGACTTCCAGCAGGCATGCGTGAGCGTGTTTGATAGGAGTGAATGGAGACAAATGGTTTTTAATACTTGACGTGCTGTTGGAGTGTGAGCAAAGTAACATTTATGAAGGATTCAGGAAACCGGCAGGCCGGACTTGAGTCCTGGAGATGGGAAGTACAGTGCCTGCACTCTGAAGGAGGGGTGTTAATGTTGCAGTTTAAAAACTGTAGTGTAAAGCACCCTTCTGGCAAGACAGTGATGGAGTGAATGATGGTGAAAGTTTTTCTTTTTCGGGCCACCCTGCCTTGGTGGGAATCGGCCAGTGTGATAATAAAAAAAATCTATATATATATATTATAATATATATATATATATAATATATATATATATATATATATATATATATATATATATAATATATATATTATAATATATATATATATATGTCCTTGGAGGCAAAGAGGGGAATGTATGAGAGTATAGTTTTACCAACACTCTTATATGGGTGTGAAGCATGGGTGATGAATGTTGCAGCGAGAAGGCTGGAGGCAGTGGAGATGTCATGTCTGAGGGCAATGTGTGGTGTGAATATAATGCAGAGAATTCGTAGTTTGGAAGTTAGGAGGAGGTGGGGGATTACCAAAACTGTTGTCCAGAGGGCTGAGGAAGGGTTGTTGAGGTGGTTCGGACATGTAGAGAGAATGGAGCGAAACAGAATGACTTCAAGAGTGTATCAGTCTGTAGTGGAAGGAAGGCAGGGTAGGGGTCGGCCTAGGAAAGGTTGGAGAGAGGGGTAAAGGAGGTTTGTGTGCGAGGGCTTGGACTTCCAGCAGGCGTGCGTGAGCGTGTTTGATAGGAGTGAATGGAGACGAATGGTTTTTAATACCTGACGTGCTGTTGGAGTGTGAGCAGGGTAACATTTATGAAGGGGTTCAGGGAAACCGGCAGGCCGGACTTGAGTCCTGGAGATGGGAAGTACAGTGCCTGCACTCTGAAGGAGGGGTGTTAATGTTGCAGTTTAAAAACTGTAGTGTAAAGCACCCTTCTGGCAAGACAGTGATGGAGTGAATGATGGTGAAAGTTTTCTTTTTTTCGGGCCACCCTCCCTTTGGGTGGGAATCGGCCATTTGTGATAATAATAAAAAAATATATAAAATAATAATAATAATAATAATAATAATAATAATAAAAAATAATAATAATAATAATAATAATAATAATAATAATGACACTATTGGGTGGAATCAGTAAATTCCATTTGGAGATAAGTGAAATAAGAGTTAAAACAAGGGGTCATATTTTGGCCTTGACGCCCGAAACTGTATAACCTGGGGCTTTCTGTATAGTATGTCACTGATGTCAGTTAGGTCTGTATAAGTTGTATAATGTACTTGTAGAAATAAATATTATTATTATTATCCCCATGACCAACATGATAAATTATCACTTACCTTACAGAGTGATGTAATTCTGATAAATATTCTTCGGTAAAGCCTTTTAACTCATTTATTATAATTATTATACTTATTTCAAGGAACCTACACTTAAGAGTATTAAAAAGTACTGCTAGATGACCGAGCCTACAGAAAAAACAGCATCCCTGAAATGGTGAAGATCTTTCAAACAGTTGTTGCTGTTGCAAGGTTCATACTGCCCTTGTTGATGCCAGGAAGCAGATGTTGCACGTGTGTCTAATTCTTCATCTTGTCGGTATTATGTACCATTCATATATACAACAGTATACCAGTGTTGGAAATTTGAATAGTAAGTTTATTCAGGTATACACAATAGTTACATAGATTATCATACATAGCAGCATATGTGTAGAGAACCTAAGATAACCGAAAAAAAATCAAGTAACTTATTTCCATTGGGATCCTTTTAATACCTCATTATTATACAATGTAGGAGATATCTTATTATTATACTATAAAGGATGTATACTAGGAATAAGGTAAATAGTTATTTACATCTACAATAGAGTTATTTACATCTGAAACAGATCAAATACAGCATCCCACTTAACAAATAACCTTGGAGAAAAAAATAATTCAGGCAACCAGCTAAGTGTACCCTTTCGGGTACCTAATTGTCAAAAACATTAATTAGAACTAAAGCTTTAGTTTTTAACGAGCTGAATGAGCCACAAGGGTTGGCGCATTTTTGTGAGGATAATAATTTAGTTCCTAACCTTCTGTGGGGGCAATATAGTGCGCCAGAAGCTGTCGTCCGTCCCAAACTTCTCTGGTTCCTGGCGGCTCTGTAGGAAGCAGCCATCTACCCTGCAGGAGTCCGGAAAGTTGCCCTTAAAGTGATGGGTGTCAATCTGGACTCGCAGGACTTTGCCAGGATGCCCCAGACGAATTACTGCCCATTCGAATCCGCTAAATTGAAGCACCCCTTGACTGTCCGCTGTGGAAACAATGCTATTACAACGTCAACATCACCACTATATATATAGATATGTATATAGACATAATGTCTGCATATAGACATATGTGTATATTAACTGCCAATAATAAAATTACATATTTGAGTGGAAAACTGGGCAGCAAGGGAGCCTGAAATAAAGTCCGAGGGTTAAAAAAAACATTCTTTACATATAGTGTTAGAATTTTTTCCATCAGTAGTCCTTCCCCCACAGCAAATTAAATGGATCATGTGGCAGCCACCAATTACATACTTACAGAGGTCTTTTTCAATTCAATTCAAGTATATTCTCTATAAGGGTTACAATGTGGGGTTTACAGGTTTTGGGTATTGTGTGGTTTACATGTTATAAAATACTAATTACATTATTATTATAATCAAAAAGAAGCGCTAAGCCACAAGGGCTATACAGCAATACTAATTACAGAGGGGGCCACTAGGACACCTAGTATGGCTAGGCATTTCGAGCAGACTTAGATTAATTCTTAACATTATATCATTTAGTTATCAATATTCTCAGTAACTTCTCGCCCAGCCAACACCTGAATGGTGTACAGGTGACATCTTACTTTAATATTTCACTCAGCGATCTGTTTTAAATCTAATAAACCAAGCAACTCTTAAAACGTATTTTCCAACACTAACCTTCGAGGATAGGTGGTCTGTCTAGCCTCCGTGCCGTCTCCCATCCGTCGGCCATGGAAGAGGCTCGGCCAGGGCTGAGAAGGTTACGAGGGTGACCATAGTGGGCATCGCTATACCCCACACACACACCTCCATTACCCACTGCTGCCAGGTCAACCACCTCATCAACACAAACAATTAGTAGATAGATACCCAGGAATTAGTCTACTGTTATGTCACATCCTGAGGGGATATCTAAAAAAATAACACTCCAATGGAAATAAGCTACATGTTTGTCTTTCTTGACTTTTCCTAATCCATATTCACAATTAACCCACAAATTAGAAACTAAAAGTGGGCCTCGTCTAATTCCAAACTGAGGGTTACATATGCCTTTCTAACCTTTTGCCTACCGCCAACAGGCTGGTATGGGGTACATAATTGCGATATTAAACCCACTAAACTGCAGCAGGCCTGCTGGCCCATGCTAGGTGGGTTAGTAGTGTTGTGGTAAAGCGGTTATCATGATGGTCTTCTAATCTGTTATAAACTAATTCACGCCTACCAATACTCTGTATTTCAATACAATGATTTCTTACTGTCAAGAGAATATGAATAAGGATTCGGTGGATAAGTACTAATATAGGAAAACACTGAGTCTAAGAAATATAAAGCCTATATAAAAAGATATTTCACTCAGTGATACATCGTTATAACAGAGGCTTGCTCTTCTACATGTCTATTTTACTACATGTCCACTTACTGCCTATCTGTCAGTACTGGAAAAAGAGTAGTATTCCTTGGCTCGGTTAGCAACGCACCCATCTCACATACTGAGTGTCCGTGGTTCGATCCCCGGAACGGAGGGAAACGCTGGGTATTTCCTTACACCTTCTGTCCCAGTTCACCTAGCAGTAAGTAGGTACGTACTGGTGGGTCGCATCCTGGGACAAAACTGACCTAATTCGCCCGAAATGCTCAGCATAACAAGGGGCTTTCTATATAGTAGTATGTCGTTGATGTCAGCTAGGCCTGTATACCATGTACATGTACTTGCAAAAATAAGGATATTATAGCATTATTATAAGACTTACTTCAAGAGGAGAGACGAGGGACCAGTCAGGCACAGCGTAACCAAAGACCCGGAGTCTGGCGATGCCTCCGTCCGGAAATATATTGAGCCTTAGGTGTGTGTATCGCTGAGAGGAAGAACTCCTGAGGAAGGTGTGGCAGGTGTCGCGGTAACCTGGTTGAGCCTTAGACCGAGGAATGATTGCATCCCACTCCTGCACACACGTGGAATATGTTAGGTTTACATATGTTGCAAGGCATGATAAAGGGGTCATACTGCAAGGCATGATAAAGGGGTCATACTGCAAGGCATGATAAAGGGGTTTACACATGCTGTGAGGCATGAAAAAGGGTTTACACATGTTGCAAGGCATGATAAAGGAGTTTACATATGTTGCAAGGCATGATAAAGGCGTTTCACATGTTGCAAGGCATAATAAAGGAGTTTACACATGTTGCAAGGCATAATAAAGGGGTTTACACATGTTGCAAATCATGATAAAGGGGTTTACACATGTTGCAAGGCATGATAAAGGGGTTTGCCCATGTTGCAAGGCATGATAAAGGGGTTTACACATGTTGCAAGGCATGATAAAGGGGTTTACAGATGTTGCAAGGCATGATAAAGGGGTTTACACATGTTGCAAGTCATAAAGGGGTTTACACATGTTGCAAGGCATAATAAAGGAGTTTACACATGTTGCAAAACATGATAAAGGGGTAGCAGAAGGAACAACATTCCTGCGTAGAGCGAAAATCCATCATAAATTATTAAAGCTCTACACAGAGCAAAACATTTTCTCAATGTAGGCTTATTCTGCAGTTTACAAAGCACCGGGATCATAGGCTTATTCAGCACTGGACATATATAACAAAAACTAAAATTAACCTCAAAAAGTGTAAAACATACACATTCAGTAAAACAAAATAATCAGACAAGACTCAAATACCTCGTATCACTTAAAAAAAATTAATGAAAATTTCGTCGCCCCTAAAATTATTTAGAATTTTTCATGTCTAAAAAATCATTACAACAGCATTTAGCAAAATAATAAAAACAAGGTTGAATTAGTCTGTATCAGGAAGGAATAAATCGGTAATATATATTGTATCCACAATATTTTCCTGGGACCATACATGTACCTAAGTGGGCAAAAAACAACTAATAAGGGGCAGAATTTAAATAAATATGCTAATCAGCAACGCAACATATAGTGAGAAGCAAGAGTGTCACAGACCGGGCTGCGGGGGCGTTGACCCCCGGAACTCTCTCCAGGTAAACTCCAGGTAAACAACCAGGTAATTATGGGTGAGAATTATTTCATAATGGTGATATTTAATAAGAAATTATATCTACTTTTTAATGTTATGATGGAATGGCAGAATTGTTATTTATGTAGTACTAAAAAATCCTATTGAAAATTACCCCTAAATTAGGAGGAAATTTAAAATTTCCCTGACGATTATAGTTATGTAACATTCTGCCAATATTTTAGCTTGTAAATCTATATATTTTTACACAAATCAATTTTAAAAGCTAAAGGTCTTATCGTACCTTAAGCTCATTTCATAGCCCAGCCTTATCTAAGATATACTACCATCCCCCAGGATGCGACCCACAGCAGTCGACAAACATCCAGGTACCTACTTATAAGCTGCTAGGTGGACAGGGTCAGCAGGTGTAAGGAAACGTGCTAAACGTTTCTACCCAGCAGCACAAAGTAAACGAAAAATACCACTGAGCAGGCCATTATTTAACAAGACTCGTGTTAGGTGATTTTTCCCAGATGGATACACCACCAAGAGGAAGCAGAGTTCCAGACTCACCTCTGAGTGAAGTCTCGCCACTTGCTGGAGGTCGTGGTCACTGGCCTCGTTGCCCATCACACTCTGCCTCTCAGGGATTAATGCCTCTTCTGGAATGGGTTTCAGAGAACAAGTATAGTTAATGGAGATGGTCACATGAAACGAATATAGTTAAAAGGGAGGAAGAGGTGATCATAACTTCTTAACATTTTTTTAATGCATCAGGGTGACACTGTTAATACTTAACCTGGTATTTACTCGAGCAAAGGAAAACATCTTTAAAATAAAAAAAAATAAAAACACAAGAAAAAAGCGATCATGTTATATCGGAATTAACATGTTAAATATGGCTTAGGTGATGAGACTCAAAAACAGGAACTACTGAACAATATTAAAGGACACTATAATGTTTTAAGTATTTCACAGACACTGAATGGGATAAAATGTTACAAGAGACAGATATAAATAATGTATACAGACCATTCTTTAATATTTATGAAACTGGTATTAAACAATTTATTCCACAATGGGTAAAATGAGAAATATTAAATATTGGTTCCGTATGACATGTTGGAGGTATGAAAAATAAAGAACTTGGAAATAATGTAGGAATTTGGCTAATCAAGATACGTATCAGAGATATAAACAAGCCAGAAATTAATATACCAAGATGAGGGTACACTTATCTGCAGTGTAATGACAGCGAGGACAAGGTAGACCTACCTGCAGGTGTAATGACAGCGAGGACAGGGTAGACCTACCTGCAGGTGTAATGACAGCGAGGACAGGGTAGACCTACCTGCAGGTGTAATGACAGCGAGGACAGGGTAACCTACCTGCAGGTGTAAAGACAGCGAGGGCAGGGTAGACCTACCTGCAGGTGTAAAGACAGCGAGGGCAGGGTAGACCTACCTGCAGGTGTAAGGACGGCAGCCTGGAGTGACACTTGGGGAACGTAGTTACCAGTAAAGTGAGAGGTATCTACATCGACGCCTGCCACTACTCCCGCCACTCCTGTAATGGACAGCCATCATGTGACTCCATACCCACATACCTACTAGGCAGTCGTTTTTGAAGTGAGTGGTGTATACTAAGCTATATAAACTGGGAAAAGGTAGGATATCTTTGAAATGAAAGGAAGTATATGCTGTACTGCATATGTAGATCATACCTGGAGGGGTATACCTAGATGGAGTTTTGGGGGCGTTGACCCCCAAAACCGACGTAAACCGACGTACAAACCACAGCCCGACTGATCAGGTACTGACTTTAGGTGTCTGTCCAGCTCCCTTATTAACACTGTTATAAAATATTCCACCTAAGCACTCTTACCATAGGTTTCATTAAACGATCCCAATAGAACCCAGTCATACACAAAATGTACCTGTGGATACATGAAGTGGAGATTTGTTTTTGTTTTTTATATAGCAAGCACTAAACTCTTAAGGGTCATTCATTACAGGGGTGGTGGAGGCCATCCTTCATTCGTTGATCACGACCTGGTCAGGAATAGAAATGAAGGTAGGGTGGGTGAGTCAGGACAACTAACGTTAATTGTATTATATTCACAGCGAAGCGCTAAACTTTAAAGGGCCACACAGTGCCTGGGGAATGAGAGGCAATCAAGGTGTGATCCGAGGAAGAGGAGGTAAGCTGTAATTCCTCTGATTAAGAGCCCCTCACCATCGACGAGGCACTCCTCCTTAAAGGGTAAATAATGCTAAATTGGCAAAAACAATGAACTTGAGCAAGAGGAAAAATGGCAAAAAAGACTGACCCAGCTTGATGATGCACCAGTCATGACCAGGCTTCCTCTTCCTCCTGGTCTCCCACCCATCCATCCACTTGCCACACTCAGTGAACTCACCCTCCTTCCATTCAGCCTCGTTCTCCTGGAAGACGATGTAATATAAAGATGTTTATTTCGTTAGAATACATCGAGTAAGAGTGAAATGGTTATAATCATGACCATAATTTTTAAAGGGGTGGACCAGTAAGCCAGTGGAAGGCCTCAGATGACCAAAAACTCCAACTGCAGGTCGTCATATAGCTAAGACTCGCGTCCGGAAACACTTGTCCTGTTTCCTAACAAATCTACCTAGAATACATTGAGGTTACATTGGTTTTAAATTGGATAGTTTTCACAGGTAGGTTACAGTTTTAGGAAAGCACTACTGGACATATTCCAACGAAAGCCCATTCTTATGCAATTCATTTCAAGCATATAAGATGCGCTACAGTCATGCTCACTACACATCATTTTACATACTGTTACATAATCGTTACATACATACAGTGGTGATAAAGTATGTAGATTTAGCCTACAATACGCCAAAAAAATCAGGGTGACTTATTACTCGTGCCTACTGGGATCCTCTGATTTTCAATGGTATGTAAAACCTAACTAAGGTAGACCACCGTCTGTTGAAATATTCAATGTCTCCATCAACTGACAAAAAAACCCTGTCAAGGAAACAGTTTTCCGATAAAACAAATGCCCATTACTCTATATGTATCATTTCTCAAAACAAACTACTTGTCACCAAACAACCACTGGAATAGTTGCTGCTAATTACATATTATCATACAACAGCAGGAGTACCGGTACTTGGTTTCCGACCCACTAAAAATATAGAGTACCTTATTCGGCAGTTTGTACAGTCATGCAAAGTTATACCTATTAAACTAAGAGATTGTTTCAACATATTTCAGATAAATATGAATTTTCAATCAGGACATTATGATACATTCTTTTAATATTAAGAATATTTCGGTGGTTGAGTACTTCGGTGGTTGAGTACTTCGGTGGTTGAGTACTTCGGTGGTTGAGTACTCGGTAGTTGAGTACTCGGTGGTTGAGTGCTCAACCACCGAGGTGTCTCCCTGGGCGGGGACACTTACGAACAAGTCATTTGTCCATCCTCACCATAGCAGTATGGTTAGTGAAAAGAAACCTAGGTGCTAAGCCTGCTATTGCATGTCGTACGTGCAATAGCTGGCTTAGCACCTAGCTGTATGGCTTTGTTGGGTTATTCTAAGAGTATCTCTCCGTTTTAAAATAACGTTTGGCGTACAAACAAAGGATTTGGGGCAAGTGGAAACTTAGGCATGTTTTCAACACCTACTGCCCGTTTACCTAACTGTAAACAGGTGCTTGGGTACCTATTTATAGCTAGGTAATGTTAGTATACCTTAGATGTTAGTTTACCTGGGATGTTAGTATACCTTAGATACAGCTGGGCTTTGAAATTAAGAACGCAGGAACACTGAGCAGGTCTACTGGCCCATGTTAGGCAGGTCTAACTTTCCACAACCCACACCCACTCACGTGCCCATCCAACCTATATTTAAAGCTACCCAGAGTTCTTGCCTCAGTGACACTACCTGGGAGTTTGTTCCACTCATCTATAACTGTTGCCAAACCAATACTTCATTATTATTATTATTATTATTATTATTATTATTATTATTATTATTATTATATTCATGGGAAGGCGCCAAATCCGTATAGGTCTCACAGGACCTGAGAAATGGGCAGCAATTAGGTTCGATCCGAAGAAAGGGAGAGCAGTACAAATTCCTTGGTTCAGGAACCCTTCGCCTGCATTAAGGCACCTAAAACATATAACAGCTCTTGGCCTTTAAATTCAACGACGTAAAAAAGAAATCTAAGATCATTCTCTAACCTTGATATCTAGTATTATCTTTGCCTAGTCACGCCTGGCTAGCGTTAGTCATCAGTATTTACAAAAAAACAAATTCCTAGCATTACAACAGTGTATGTTCAGACACACGAGATGGATTCTCCTAAGCAGAGCTTATTATTTGTTATCATAACCCAAGACTGCTGCACCCTCACACACCCATGACGTGCCTGTCTATACCGCATACGCAGTAGGCTTCATCAGTCGAATATGTACGTGCAAAACAAGCCATGGGCCTTTCACAGTTTCGTGCTTCGTCAGGAGCTATGCAATGTTGCATGACTTGCAACATATAGGTTGAGGAAAAAGTTCTCTCAAAGGGAAGGCAGGATAAATAACTCATTACGACTAACACTAACTAGCTATAAACATGTAAATAGTTCATTACCACAGTAACTTGTTTAGTTGTCAGAACTTTGCAGCCCAGTCTCTGGACACATTATCTGTCTCTGTAATCTTTTGACTACCGCCCACAGGATGGGTAAGGGGTGCATAATGAAGATATTAAACTAACCCAATGCATCTCATCTCCTTCAACCTGTTCTGTTGGCAATGACAACTTCTGTCATCTTCCACTCAAATCCGACTACTCTCAGCAGTACTGTTAATGATGAGATCCTAAAAATAACTACACTGATGACTACCAACTAAACCTGCTATATGTTTGGAAACAACGGTTCTCCCATTGTAAGACACACCAAGGGCAAATTCTTAGGTCTACACTGACAGCAACTTGAAATTTAATACCCACATCCATAACATTGCCAAAAAGTCTGCAAAACAGTAGGCATCCTCTCCAAGATACGTTATTGTGTACTTCTATAGCACCATTCTTTAATCTATCCTTACTTAATCTATGGCATTTGTGCCTGGGGATCTACTACAAGCTACAGGCGAAAATATTTTAAGGTAATTGATGTGTACTGTACATTTATTCTACTTTCATATTTTTTAAAGGCCTAGCTCTATTGTGCACTTAATATATGATAGTATAAACACGTTATCAGGTTTTTATATACATTTGAAAGTGAAAAGAGAGCTATATTCCACTACTCGACGATTTTCCCTTTACGGCGGTAGGCTACCTGAACCTAACCTGCTATATAAGCAGGCCCTGTATGTATATGATTTTGAATTATTTATGACTTGCCTTGAGCATATTTTCGGCGACAGCGAACCAGTCATCTGTAGTAAAGAGCACTCGTCCTCCCAGCTGCAGGGTGAGAATACAGGTAGTTAGTAGCCTCGTGTAGCCGAGCTCTTCCAATAATTACACTATGAAACAATACCCTGGCCTATCCCAGGAAATAATACCCTAGTTTATTCCATGAATTAATAATGTCCAATCATATATCAAATAGGAACGGGCTCTTGTGAATCCGTGACAAATCTCAAGAATCATATTTCTCATTATGGCGGTTTATTATAATATCGGCTATAAATGGCTTAATAATTTGCCTATTGTTGAGGTCAGGCTTATTGAGCGGTAATTTGATGGTAATGACTTATCCCTGATTTAAAGATAAGTTACATTAGACATTTTCCACACCTCCAGCGTTACACGTTTGGAAAGATATTAAAAACGCCAATTAGTGGTTCACTAACTTCCCATCTTAGAACCATCTTAATGTATGGTATAAACCTTGGTACCATCTAGATACCGACAAATTGGTTTAAACAGACACGTGAGGAAACACTAGGTCATACTGTCTACTTCTCATCCCAATATGTCGTTTTTCAGGTCACCATGGTCACTCACACCTCACTCTCCACCTGTATATAGTCTTTTTAACCACTGCAATAACCATAAATTTTAGAGGGGTGGACCGGTAAGCCAGCGGAAGGCCTCGGTCAGATGACCAAAAGCCCCAACGGCGGGTCACCATCTAAGACTAGCGTTAGGAAATATTTCTCTTGCTTCCTGACAAACATTACCTAGCCTAACCTCTGTATATTAGAAGTGATCAAGGTCCCAGGACCGAAACGTTTTCTAATAAATGTCCTAGTGTTTCCTCACGTTTCTTTCTAAGTTTAAAACTTAATCTAAATACGCCATTATTATTTTACCTTTTCCGATATCAGGTTATTTAGCTCGGCGAATTTGGGCTTCTGATCCCTTGAAGTGGAGACAACTGGTCTCTGAGCCATGTCAGGAGGTATATATGACAGTGTGAAGGTTACTGGAGGAGAGAAATTAGTGCGTTTTACCCGTCCGGTGATGCAGTTGCTACTGCCACTATCTCCACCAACACCACGTGATAACCTTCATGCTTGTGAAGAGTTCTGCATCCAGGGAATTGGAGTACCTTTTAGTTAGATTCAACCTGAACACTTCCCATTCCTCAGGCGTTGCATTAGCCTTAAGGGTTTAGTGCTTCCTTGTGAATATACTATTATTATTATTATTATTATTATTATTATTATTGTGACTTAAGAAGATCAACTAAAACAAATTACACTGCTTGACTTTTTTTTGGTGCTGACTATCCCATCATTAATCCTCCGGGCTTAATCGTACGCAGAAAATCTCTTAATCTAGCATAGACTTAGAATATTCAATGTAAAAACTAATCGCATCGCCTAGATATACCTAGAACCACTGTCATGGTGAGGTCGGCACTATGATTTAAAAATGAATACACAACCACACTCTAGCCGCCCATTTTGTCATATATAATAACTTAAATGCCATAAGGAAGGATTGTATACATCCATATGTGTTTTCTAGCAGTGTGTGCATACAGAGAGCTTACTTTAGCCCTATTTTAGTTTTTTTTTTCAATAAAATTTGGTACACCGGCGGCATGTTGCTATCCTATTCTATATAAATAAATGGGAATAACAGCTAGCTATATTTCCCCATCATATTCCATTACACAGGATGGGGCTCATGCAAGGTGTTGAAATCTGTCAGCTTGAGCTGGGTTATGTGAAGTCTTAATGATCCTAGTGTAGTTCAAACGCTGTAAACCCCATTAACCAATACCATGATTATAATTCATAATACCTGGAGTATACCTGGAGAAGGTTTCGGGGGTCAGCGCCCCCGCGGTCCGGTAAAGAACAAGTAGATTTAGCTGGAGGTCAAGAGACACTTAATTGTAACAATACAATTCGCGAACTAAACCACGGTGTATAAGTATACCTAGAAGGATGAATGTTATTGTAGTCAGCTGGCCCATTGGCTTGCGTGCTGACCTGGAGTTTTACGACTCACTAGCCGTAAGTTCAAACCCCACCCGTACCGTGGTTTGGAAGTCAAGAAGACGGAAAAAGTGACAGCGGGGACCCCTCGTCCAGCTGACTGACAATGACTACACTCCACTTGATGAAATTCACAGTTCAGCAGTATTATCAGTAGAGTCATGGAGCAGCACTAAACCTACAAGGGCCATGCAGCGTCTGGCAGCTTAGCGGTAGCGCTATCGGCTTGTATTTTTAAAAGCATTAGATACGCTGCAGTGTATGTAAACCTTTTTCTTACTAAGAAGCCTGAAAATGTTTTACTATACCAATACACAAACCCAAAAATAATTTAACGTTAACAAAATGCAAGGTTTTAGAGAAAAATGTCACGTCAATTTAAATTTATTCTTTTAACTCATACATAAATACATATATATATATATGCAAAATAACCACAGGAGTTATTTTGCATCTTCTATCACTCGCTATTATTACATATATACATATATTTAAGACTCACCTATCGTAGGTTTAAGGCCCATTTGTCCCGTGATTTATTTACATATATTGCAGTGCAACAGAAATAAAAATAACTTATGAATATGGCAAAAAAAAACATAAGTCTTTTTAAATAACATTTTCCTAACTTAATTTCTAACATGAATTCAAGCGTCACTTAAATCACTACTTGCAGCCCAACAAGTAATATCCAGAGGCAAGGTTTGTCAAATACTCGGGTCACTCTGACTCGAATGGTCAGTGAGACTCTCTAGTCACACTGACTATTCATTCTGGTTGGGACCGCTTGTCATCTAGCATGGCACAATGATTTTCATTATGTCATGGAACACTAGACAAGTAATACGTAAAAAACTATCAAACAAAGACGTGTTGGTAAATTCTGCTTATTTATACAATATCAAAATAGTCTATTTTATAAAATATAAAGGTAAACTTATATAAAATAAAAGGGTATGTAAGGTAGCTACTCAAGCTAAATTATGAACTCAGTGACTTAAAGATGTGTAGGGATAGACAGGACCGCGGGGGCGTTGACCCCCAGAACACCCTCCAGGTAGTTAGGAAGGCTTTTGACACTGCCGCACAAGAAACTGATACAAAAGCTAGAGGAGCAGGGAGGAATAACAAGCAAAACACTACAATGGATCAAGACATACCTGACAGGAAGGAAACGAGTGACTGTCCGTGACGAGGTGTCGGAATGGGTGCATGTGACTAGTGGGAATCCGCAAGGATCAGTCGTGCTGTTTCTTGTATACGTGAATGACATGACGGATGGGATAGAGTCAGAGGTATCTCTCTTCGCAGACATTGTGAAACTAATGAGGAGAATGCAAGAGACGTGGACGAGGAAAGGCTACAAAATGAGCTGGACAAACTGGAGATCTGCTATGACAAATGGCTACTGGTGTTTAACCCCAACAAGTACAAAGTTATGAAGTTTGGGGAAGGGCAAAGGAGATCACAGACGGAATACAGACTCGGGGGGCCAAAGGCTGCAAACCTTATTTAATTAATTTACGAATAAGATGTTCATTAAATATTCGCTAGTAACATTAAGATTAAGAATTTGGTATCTCCCCATTTCCACTTTTTTAATTCTATTCATAATGATATCATCCTCTTCGTCAGTAACAGAATCGTAATCCCATGGTTTGATATAATGTGGACGGAGGTAGGCGTAAGGGGAATAAGGAGCTCCTACCAGGTAGAGTGTGGTCAGCATCGATACTCTCACCGTCAACACTCGCTTGTGTAGGCCCTGCTCAGACGCACTCCACGCATTAAGACATTTGGCCGCAAAAAAGAAATTCCTGTAGTTGGGCTTTCCGTTCAACTCTCTGAGCATCCTGTAGTAGAAGACGAAGTTGGTTGTTGTGTTGACGGGCGGCACAAATGTTTCACTGCAGGGGTTTCCTGTGAGTGGTGTGGCGTGTCTAATGCTGCGGGAAAAATGTTCCTGCCACGTCTCCAGGAGCAACGTAGAGACGTTGTCAAGATGGACGTGAGGCTGCTTTACCAGAGGTTTAAACAAGAAATATGCTTCTGTGCTCCAGGCTTCAGTATTCACACCCATACCGAAATGAAACGATCTACTAACTTCAGGAAACACACATTCCCGACCATTGCTTTGATGTTTGTAGAGCCATTGATCATAAAATACTGTATCTACCTTTGAGACATCACTTGGCCATTTACGGATGGCATCCCTGATGAACTGAAGCGACACAGCGTAGCCCCATTCTACCTGCACCCTTGCTCGTAAAACCGTCCTGGAATCATGTGCTGTTCCTTGGAAACCTGTAGCCGAGTAAGCATTGATGCAATAAAGTGAAGGGTCTTCGTGAAGGAGCCAAAGTGTCTGGCTCATATAAGAAAAGAAGTCTGGTGAGACTTCCACATCTTCGTCGAGTAATATAACTGCTGGAGCATCAGGAAAGGTATGAGCGATGAATTTGAATACGTTGCGGTAATAACTGAAGAGTTTATTGTTGTGATGCCCGTGTATGGTTAGAGTGGTGAAGTTAATATTCATAAGATGGAGAAGTTGTGTTGCTGCTTGTGTTGCATTACCAAGGACCACCATGATGTTGTCGTGCTGTGCCCCAGGTGCGTTCATGAGTGTGGTGAGTGTGTGATATAGGTACTGATGCCTGTTTCCTGCCGTGACCACTACGGGCACCCTAGCAATAACAGACTGGTGGGTCACAGGAGGAGGAGAGGGGACAGGTAGTGGATCAGGGGTATACTCGTTACAGAGGCCGCCCATGGCTCCATTGGCGTTGCAGTAATGCCATCGTTGCCTTTGTACTTGTAGGCCATTCTTATTAAAGGTGGACGGCGTTGCCAGGTGGGATAGTGGCATTATAACATGAGTATGGTGGGTAGTGTAACCCTGAAGAATGGTAGTCTCGGAGATGGTACGACCGCCCTTGATAAACATCCATGTCCAGTGTGCCATGGGTGTGAGGTGTAGGGCGAAGAGTGAACCAAGTTGAGCTAGGAGCTGGGCAGTGTCACGGAGACCTACAATGCCAGACACGGCCACCGTCATTACAACCAGACGTCCAGGGGCTACCCTTTCCAAATACCACTTGAGGTCTACCCAGTGAGCCCAGTACTGCACCAGAGGAAATATCTGTAAAGAACATGGTCTGTTGTAGGGTATATCTGCAGATATAGTTATCTAATATAGGGAATACCTGCTCACGATCTGTTGTGGGGAATATCCCTATAATTCACTATCTACTATAGGGAATATCTACAGATATCACTACTGTGGGGAATATCACTATCTATTGATCAGTTTATTTTTTAGGATGCTGTGATGCAGTGAAAGTGCATCAAAACTTCTCTCTGCTACACAGTCCTTCAACAGGAGCAACAATTCAGACAACCTACCACTGGTACAAGCCAAAGTGAGAGCGGGGACCTAAATAAATACTGCTACAACTTCAATAATTGTATCTGTAATTTGATCGAGTCTTGAGGATTTTTATAATTTGTTTAGCATTGCGTTAAAAAGAAAAGACTAAAAATATCTTAAAAATTCATAGCAGGTGGGAAAGTGACGTAATTAAACACTACAACATGTTTTGGTCCTGGAACCTTTGCAGTAATAAATTAATACCATTATCAGGATTCATTTTTGGAACGTACCATAGCAATATATAAACCATAAGAAGTCTTTGAAAATACAATAACTAAATTAAATAAACAAACCAGAAAAGATATGACATATGTCAAAATATTAACCAACAGAGCCCTTGGAAACATGTCACACTAATTTTGAGTCATCCTATGTTAAATAAGAACATAAGAAAGAAGGAACACTGCAACAGACCTACTGACCCATGCGGAGCAGGTCCATTCCCCCCCCCCGGATTAGCCCAATGACCCACCCAGTCTGGTCACCTCCACTCAAGGAAGGAGCACGGCACCAGACCCAGCAGCACAAGCTAGACAGGTCCAACTCACACCCACCCACACCCACTCATGTATTTATCTAACCTATTTTTAAAACTACACAACGTTTTAGCCTGAATAACTGTACTCGGGAGTTTGTTCCACTCATCCACAACTCTATTACCAAACCAGTGCTTTCCTATATCCTTCCTGAATCTGAATTTTTCCAACTTGAAACCATTGCTGCGAGTCCTGTCTTGGCTGGAGAGAGAGAGTGCAGATTCAGGGCCTCAGTCTATCCTCATAGGGAAGATTTCTGATACATGGGATCATCTTTGTCATCCTCCTCTGTACGTTTTCCAGTGCATTTATATCCATTCTGTAATACGGTGACCAGAACTGAGCAGCATAGTCTAAATGAGGCCTAACCAAGGATATATAGAGTTGAAGAACAACCTGAGGACTTCTATTATTTATACTTCTAGATATGAAGCCAAGAATTCTGTTAGCTTTATCGCGAACACTAATGCACTGTTGTCTTGGTTTTAGATTACTGCTAACCAGAACTCCCAAATCCTTTTCGCAATCAGTAGTATTAAGATCTACATTATTTAGTTTATATGTGGCATGGTTATTTACCTGTCCAACATTTAGAACTTTGCATTTGTCAATATTAAACTGCATCTGCCACTTCTCCGACCATTGCATCAGTCTACATAATGTGCTATTAATACATGTCTGCAACTTCTACATGCCCTCATATTCATTGTGCAAATTTATATCATTGTAAAATTAATTCTAGATTTCTTGAATAAAGTTTATCTGAACTGCCTCCCAGCATACGTAAGAGGGATTACCAATAGACCCCTGGCTGTCTTCAAGAAGGCACTGGACAGGCACCTAAAGTCAGTACCTGAGCAGCCGGGCTGTCGTTTGTACGTCGATTTGCGTGCGGCCAGCAGTAACAGCCTGGTTGATCAGACCCTGATCCACCACGAGGCCTGGTCACAGACCGGGCCGCGGGGGCGTTGACCCCCGAAAACCTCTCCAGGTATTCACTCACAGGGTATTTACAGCGAGAGGTGTAGCCTCTCCGTGTACATACATTCAGAGATTAATCCCTATTAATAGATATAAGTATTGATGGTGAACAATGACGCTCCTTGATGCATTTTCCCTAATTAACTGTTATAAGTCAAGGAGTCTGAGTCAAGAATACCTTGTGAAAGATAGTGAGTCCTGAGCGCTGGTTGAGGACGTTCACTGTAATGCCTCCTGGTGTTGGTGGTGGTGTGGCTCCAGGGTGTGCTGGTGGTGTGGCTACTGGCTCTGGTATTCTCCATCCCTCCCTCACTAGCTGCAACTCATCCATTCCACCGCATCTGAAGTTCTCACCAGTTTATTGTTTGTTATAATGGTGATACTGGGATACAGGTGTAAGTAAGCTGCCGCTTACCAGGTCCGATCTCGCATGACTTTATTCATACACGACGCTTTCAGGATTATTATTATAATTATGGGGAGCGCTAAACCCATGGGGATTATACAGGGCCTGTGGGAGGGAGGGGATGGAAGGTATTCAGGCTCAATTCAGGGAACTGGAGAGCAGATCTAATTCCCTAGATCAAGAGCCCCTCACCAACGTCGAGGAACGTCCCTTGAGGAGTTGCTTTCAGAAAGTGTGAAAAGTTAGTTCACTGATTTTCGCCGGGATATGAACAGTCAAATGTTATAATGAACACAGTTGTTCCGAAACAAAGTGACATATATTTCATACATTTTGAAAAGCCCCTCGTTATGTTAAGCATTTCGAGTAAACTAAAACTAGAATTTGAAATATAGAGAGCTTGTCTATCTTAGTAATGGGAGTGTGAGACGTTCCTGGCTAGGAAATGTTAATTACTTTACATCAGTTCCAGAGAAAAATGATAATCTAAAATTTAAAATTCAACCTCAAATTCTTTACTTTATGCAGTTTACAGATAATGTAGTTTACATACAATGTACTTCGCACAAACTAATCCTGTTAAAAAACTAGTTAAGAACTGGACATGGATTATCTAGTGGGTGACTATGACTAACATTTAAGCTAGTATATTGATACAAGATACTTGAGACCATATAATGAACTTATAATGACATACTTTAGTTATTACTCCAAGAAAGGAGTTATGAAGTGATATATTACCTGGTGGTATATGGGTGATCCTGAGGGTGACAGGAATCCACATGTAGCTGCCAACCCTGACTACCACACCACACCATAACACTCACGTACCTGACAACATAACACACGTAAATTACGTGTAATACAAGCATGTTAGTCTGACAATTTTATTTATGTACTCCAGATTCATCATTTAGGGAAGTAGTTTAAAGATTACAGAGGTACATAGTCTCTCTCTCACATAGGAGCTGTGACTCGACCCCTAAAACTACATATAGGTGAGCACACACACACCGGATTATAGATATAGCATAACTTTATGGTCATAGGGAAGCACTAAACTCGTAAGGGCCATGAAATGCTTATGAATAGGAAATAATCAGGTTTGATCCAAGGAAGGGGAGAGTATAATCATAAAGCATATCTGGTATGTAGCGAAGCAAAATTACCGTCTGTGGTGAGAAGCAAGTGTTGTGTAGTGTTGTGATGGTGTTGCTGTCACCATCATCATCATCATCATCATCATCACCATCATCATCATCATCATCATCATCATCATTACCTTCTCGCTCACTTTCGTACTTTTCCAGAATTTAATATTAGCTATTTTATCTTTTTTTTTCCCCTGTATTATAAATGACACTATAAAATGCTCACGCTTTTACTGCTTTCACTGCTAAAACAGCTCACTTTCACTGCTAAAACAGCTCACTTTCACTGCTAAAACAGCTCACTTTCACTGCTAAAACAGCTCACTTTCACTGCTAAAACAGCTCACTTTCACTGCTAAAACAGCTCACTTTCACTGCTAAAACAGCTCACTTTCACTGCTAAAACAGCTCACTTTCACTGCTAAAACACCTCACTCTTCCCTCATTTTTCGTTTTATGCACAACGTTATTTTCCTTATTAAATTTTTTACACTAGGATAATAATTCTTTCACTCTTCCTTTTCTCTCAGGAGATTATAATCAGATTATTATTATAATCGAAACTAAGCGCTAAACCCACAAGGATCATACAGCGCTGTTCTCTTGGGAGAATCATTATAATAATTAGTTATTATATAATGAGTTTGGCAGTTAAGCGTGGCTGGGATAAACATCTTTTAAGCTTTTTTTCTACAGCTTAGAGGGGGAGAGGGTAAAGCTTGCCTTGAGGCATCTCACTAGATTATTATATTCACGGAGAAGCGCTAAAACCGTAAGGGTCCGACAGCAGCACTGATGAGAGCAAGTGAACGAGTGACTGGTGAAGCCACGGTATATCTGGTCTGGTTTTCCTGGTCTGCAGGATGGTCCCCAGGCCACTCTGGGGACCACTTTCCTCCTGAAGTGCTGTTAGTTTACAGTTATTTCTAACACATCGGCGGTGGCAAGGTGACTCGAAAAACAAGAAACAATATTCATAACTCTCTCCATTACTGTTTTGCCAGAGGTGCGCCGATACTACAGTTTAAAACTGCAACTATATCTCGACCCATCTTTCATTATTATATTCATAACTATGCGCTAAACCCACAAGGGCTGTACAGCACTGTCACCCTTCCTTCAGAGGGTAGGCACTGTACTTCCCACTTCCAGGACTGAAGTTCAGTGGTGGTGCTGAGAATAGCGACCATATAGCACCTGGAAAATGGGAAGCAATCAGGTTTGATCTCAGGAAGGGGAGGGCAGCTCCATTTTTCTGGGATAAAGGGACATCCCTTGAAGGAAGTAGCAGCACCAGCAGAGTATTTTTTTTTAAGCTAATTTATAATTTAATACAATCAAGGGGAAGTGCTAAACCCATAGGATTATACAGCACCTGTGTGGGAGGGGGGGGATGGAAGGTATTGAGGCTTAATTCAGGGAACTGGAGCACAGATGTAGTTCCCTAGATCAAGAGCCCCTCAAAGGCATCAAGGAACCTTTCTTGAGGGGGAGCTAATTTATAACAACATATGTTGACCAGGAAAAAGGAAACACATTTGCCAATATTCATTCAACAGTCGTCTTGCCAGAAATGTCCTACATCCCCACCCCTCCTTCAGAGTGTAGGTACTGTACTTCCCACTTTACACACATCTGCTGGATCCTCAAGCCCCTACCACTTAAAACCTTCTTCACACCTTTCTTCCAACCCTTCCTGGGACAATCTCTACCTCTCCTTCCTTCCATTTTGGATTTATACACCCTCTTGGTCATCCGTGGTTATTATTATTATTATTATTGTTGTTGTTGTTGTATTATTCTATTCATGGGGAAGCACTGAACACATAGGGCTCTTAATCCATTTCCTTGGATTAAGAGCTCTTCACCAGCATCATGACACCCTCTTGAAAGGACAACAGCTTCATAAGTTTTGTTTCAGCATGGTTCTATTTCTTTACAAGTGTACGTATTTTCATTTTGGTAGTGTATAAAACACTTTCATTGGACAGGCAGAGGGCATGAAAAGAGTCTGTGAAAATATGAGGAAGCACTAACCCTGTAGGGATCATACAAGGCCTTGGGGGATGGAAGGTAATGAGATTCAGCCCCAAAAAAAAGGGAGGGTAACTCTATTCTTTGGATCAAAAGCTCTTTGTCAGCATTGAGGCACCTCCTTTGAAAAGCGCACAGGTTATACAATAATGTGAAATCTTAGTTTCAGTAAAACACATGCATGGATGCTGTTTGTTTTCCTTTACTGTAGTTCAGTTACTTTATGTGACTTAATGCATCTGGTATGGTGAGAGACTGGAAGAAAAACTACCAGTACAGCTCTACATATTATGCTCAAAGAAAGTTCTGAATTCGTAAGTGTGTTCCACACTACATATCATAGGCTAGAGATGGTAGGGATGAGAGCTAGGTGCTTAGGGAAGGATATTGGTTGAAAGGATGGGGTTACAGATGTAGCAAATTAATGTCAGTAAGGAAATCATGGAAGGAATCCACATTTTAGATGGAACTATAAAGATTAGTGAAAGCTGAAACTTGTTAAGACACTGAAGACAGCAGCTGAAATGAAGTCAACATGTTCTCTGATATACAAGACAACCTGGAGAGACCTGGAGAGAGTTTCGGGGGTCAACGCCCCCGTGGCCCGGTCTGTGACCAGGCCTCAATTATTACATAAATCATGGGGAACTGCTCAACCCATGTCATGCAATGCTATGCAAAAAATTTATCAAGAAATGAGTGTCAGGATGACCTGGTAATCCTCACAGAGTAGCACAGATCACCCTTGCCCACTGATAGCTCAAGGCTAGGCTTAGGTATCTTGGCAATTATGCTTTTATAGTCACATTAAGCACTAAACCCATACAGGTCACACCGTTCTGTCTTGGAAAGTGGAAAGAGAAGTATATAAAACTACATGCCCAATAAAAATGGGAGCAACATTCAGCAAGTCTCAACAATTTCTCTGTCGTGGAAAACTCCAGCCAATCAACTGAAGGCATTATTAAAGACTATACTCCCTTTACCATGAAAAGGCATCTGCCTTCAGAGGACATGAGCAATGCTGGTTAATATAAGATACTGAGATGCTTGGATATCTATAACTAAGTTTTTATTAGATAAAACCTTGAGGAAAATAGAAAAACATAATTAGGGTACATTAATACACAAACCACTCTTGTTCATTTATTTTTTTGTTATCAATACACCATGATGGATGCCATAAAATTCTATACTAAAACAATTATTACACAAACAAAGGATCCAACTTGGTGCTATGTTGTGTGCTTAATTTTATAAGCTTAACATAATTAAAACTTTAAGATCAAATAATGAGAGAAAGAATAAAAAAATAGTGTTGTGGTGTGGATACAGATTAAGCACATGGTTGACTGAATAAGAAAAGCTTGGCCAATAAAGAAATATTCAGCAAAAACATCATAAGATTTGTTTCAATAGCTGGAATGGCAACTAAAACATGTTATTTGTCATATTGTTTGGTTGACTGTTTGTTGGGGTGCCTGTTGTGGTGTTTGGAGTGGTATTTGACACTGTGTTTGGCACAGTGTTTGCCATAGTGTGTGGTATATTGTGTGACATGTGTGGCATATTGTGTGACATGTGAGACATATTGTGTGTCATGTGTGACATTGGGTTTGACATACTGTGTGACACTGTATTTGGCATATTGTGTGAAAGGTGTGACAAGGTGTTTGATATGCTATGCACTATATGTGACATAGAATGTGGCAGAAGGTTTGACATAGAATGTGGCATGGTATTTGACATAGTGTTTGATATACTATGTGACATGTGTGACATAGTGTTTGGTATACTAAGTGGCATGTGTGACATAGTGTTAGACAGAGAATGTGGCATGGTATTTGACATAGAATGTGGTATTGTGTTAGACACTGAGTGTGGCATTGTGTTTGACATAGTGTTTTGCATGTTTGACATACTGCTTGCTATACTGCTTGACAAACTTCCTGCCATACTGGGTGGGGAGCCAGGACTTGGAGGGTTGGAGGATCCTGAACTAAGATTCTCTTCTTGTATGAACTTATCTAGTTTATCCAGTTTGTCTTTATGCTCATGTTTATGCTTCTTATGTTTCTTGTGTTTCTTATCCTTCTTCCTCTTCTTGCTTTTGTGGGATCTCCCGTGAGAATCCATCCCCTTCGGAAACATGTCAGACCAAAACCGGGGAAAAATAACCTCTTTTTTGTACTGGTAATTGCCCATATAAAGACAGGGGGAAATATCCAAAAAAACTGTTACAAAAAATTTACAGTAGGACCCCCATATCGGGGGGATACATCCAAGCCTCCGGGATACCAAAACGCAGGTAGACTAGCAAACTCTATATAAAGTCCTTAACTATTTAAATTTTAATTGATAAATTGTGCACAAAAGCAAAAAATTATAAATTTTTTTCACGAGGGAAGCCTTAAAGGTTTTTCTTAGGCTCTAAAGAACTGTAGTTTTTTCTACTTTTGTCCCTCGGGGGCCTTTATTATAAAAAAATTAAAAAATATTTTTGGGGACATAAACGTGGATAAAGAAACCCCAGATACTGAATCAATAATGTGGGGGTTTTCCAGACCCTATTTTTTATCAGTAAAAGTTTGTACCACAAAGGGCAGCAATTTAATTAAAAGAAAAAATGAAACTAAAAAAGTATCAGGGGCATCTTTTGGGGAAAATAATATCAATTAAAAAAAAGCTGATACAATTTGTAAACTCTTAATGGAGGAAAATGAAAATACTGTAGTAGATGACATTCTGAGTGAAACATAGTTCACATTTAACTATGTGTAGGAAATGTGCAATTTCCTGCTTATAACAAGTCACATGACTGTTTCTTAAATTAGAAAATAAATAACTTAGTGGCTAATCCCACATTATAAAAATTCTCAATTACATAGCTGAGACTTTAGGAAAATGATCTGTATGATGGAATATACAATTCAATGGTGTGTAGTTCAATGACATTCCAGACTTGGTTAAAAAGTTTAATAAGCTGAAATAACACTACCTATAAGGAGCTAGACCAAATCCAGTCTTTCTGTAATTTAGCACTAACGAGAAAGCCTGGATTATTATAAGTATTTTTCATGGCTTTCTTTTTTTTTTTTTGGCCTAGCAGTTGAAAAATACTGTACCAAGAACAATACTGCTCATTGTAGACAATACCCTGTAACATTCAGGTAATTTGACTGACACTTCCGAACTTGTCAGGGTTGTGTGTCTTCCTAAAAAACTTGAAGGCACTGACTCAATGAATTAAGGTGCTAACAAAGGAATAATATTTAAAAAAAAATCACTCAACTTATCAGACAAACAGTGAAAATACAACAGCAATGAAGAATTTCTGGTAAAGTTATCATGAATGGTATGTAAAACTTTTCTCACTTTTGGGAAAAGAACTTACAATGAAAACTCTGATCAAAATATGACCAGGATTTGAATGACTTCAGGGAACATTTCTCAATAATAATAATAATAATAATAATAATAATAAAAATTATCCTTACCACTGATGCTGGGTTTAAAAATGCTGAGGTAGCTGAAGACCTTGTCAATGAGGGGTTCATATAGCTTGAACACGAGAAAGCATCAGGAGAGGATAAACATGATAAAATTTACACGCACCACAAGTTAACTCAAAAGAAACTGTTGGAACTTTTATATGTGAAAGTAGCTTTAGAGATCCTTAAAAAAAATCATGCTGAAATTGCAGCCTTGAAAATACTAGGGAGATTACTAATGAGTTGCAGTGTTAAAAGTTATATAAAGAAAAAGAACGTGACTTGCATACCTTTAAAACAAATGATGCAATGTATACCCATCTACAAGCAAAGTAACTGAATGGAATATTCTTCCTGAAACTGAAATAAGCCCCTTATCAGCATCTTAACCTGAAGTACAAGCCTTACTTCTAAAGTATCTTCTATGGAAAAAGTGGTTCTTGCAAAATTTCTCCATGCCAGATTAGCATCCTAAAAATCAGTAGGAAGATCAACAATGCACTGCACTGCTATAGGAAGCTGCATAAAGAGAAACACAAGCAATCTGTACAGATTTTTAAAGAACTCTTTAAATATGTCTACATCTACAAGCAAAGCAATCCACAAGAAGTTCTCCTATATTAAAATGGCCCTCTGTGAGTAATTTAACCTCCAACAAAAGTCTTATTCTAAAAGCTGATTCCTCACTCAATGAAAATAACAATAATGTTTAAAGCCTGTCGAAATGGTTCTGCTGAGACTGTCTCCAATACCTCGTCTGTAAACATTTAGTATTTTCAAATTCCACACTATTCCTTAATGTTGAGGCTACTCTTCCCATGTTTGTCTCTTATCTGTGTCATTGTAAATCTTGGCATCCTCTTAACCCTTCAACTGTCCAAACGTAGATCTACGTTTACTAGCGTAGCGCTCCGAACGTAGATCTACATTTTATTTTACATTTGAAAGCATGTAAAATAAAACAAACGTAGGTCTACGTTTGGACAGTTTAAAGGTTAAACAAAGTCAGGAAACCCACCTTGACTATAAGAAAAAGTTTATGAAAGCAGTGAAAGACTTGAACAGTTTTAGGGAGGACTATGAAGTTGGCATGTTAACTTGGAGAAGTTTTGAAGATAAGCAGCAGGAAGAGGTGGAAGAACTGCTGCCATCATATGATGAATAGCTTATCCAATGACAAAATTAGAGAGACTCTTAGAAGCTGAAGCTAAGGAAAATAATGATGATTATGTTAATGCTAGAGAAGATAAGTTATAAATGATATTTTGGAAGTTTTCAAGATTTCTTTTCTATAGATGAAGATAGTCAACTGTATCCACTGATAAGAATGGATACTGTTTAAAAGAGGACTTGAGGCTGTTTCTGCATTACAAAAAACTCTCCCTATACATTTTAATTTCAGACAGGTTGGTGCCCACTGCACAGTATTTTTCAAGTCAATCTTCATCACAAAAATCTAACACCACCACAGTAACCAGTTCAAGCATCACTGTAGAACTGCAGTTCCTACATCAATCAACACAGAACAACTGAAGCTCTGACATCAACCCCAACCACAAAACAACTGCAGTTCCCACATCAACCACAAACACAGAACAACTCCAACCTTCACCCTCCCTCCTAATACCTCATCTCTCACCTTTGATGATTCATGCCCACCAATGTAAATCCCTCTATCTCAGTGGAAAATGGCTGTGATTTAAAAAATACCCATTCTGAGTGATCAAGAGTGCTTTTGCAGATTTTACCATGATAGCTGGTTCACATCTCCATGGGAAGTGGAAAAGAATTCTTCCTCCATAAGCCATGCATGTCATAAGAGGGGACCAAAATTCTGAATAAATGCTGTAAAAATAACTAAACGTAAAAAGAAAAGCTTCCATTTTTTTTAAGGTCACCCTGCCATGGTGGAAGATGGCCGGTATGTTAAAAAAAAAAAGCTGGTTTGCAGGAATGCAACCCCCATGATTATGGGGATTATTTTTTTACATTTGGAAAATTCCACAATTCGAAAACAGCTTGGCACCAAGGATTCCAGATTATCAATATTATACTACATAAGCACTTACATTCTAATCTATGGATGTTACCTGCAGTACCTCCATGTGCATCCTGGCTATCACCCGGAAGTGACGTGGTAGATTCAGACATGTCACCTTCAACACTGGGTGTCACACTTCGAGTTGTGAAATGTTCAACATTTTCCTCACACACTTCAATATCCTCCTGTACATAAAGAAAAAATGGTTTTGCTGCATGAATTTTTAACTGCAGCACCATGTTACATTAAGCATTGAAATGAGATGATTTTTATTATTATGTTTATAAAATGTGTTCAGCCCCCATAGGTCATAAAACACTATGAATTGTGATGAGAAACTCACTACACTATATTATGAAAGTAACAAATTATGTAAGGCGTGCTGGAGAATGAACAGGCAGATTATTATTATATTCATTGGGGGAGGAAGTGCTAAGCCCATAGGGAACATACAGTGCCTTGGGTTTGGAAGGTAATCAGGTTCAATCCAAGGAAGGGAAAGATAATTCCAATTCCTTGGTTCAAGAGCCCTTCACAAGCATCAAGGGTTGAACTAGCAAAGACAAAACAGCCATAAAGTAGTGATTGCAAGAACACCAATTGGGTCTCCAGTACCTTAAACCATTTAGTAAAGTAATCTTGAGGTGTCCTTTGGATCTTATATAATAAAAACATAAATCTTAATTGATGAACTCACCTTTACTCTGTTTTTGTTCTCCTCAGTAAAAATGACTTCAACAGGCATTTCCACAATTTCTGTTTTAACTTCAGCCTTAGGTTCAGATATATCAACCAGTGTTTCCTTTACTGGCTGGGGAACTGTTTCTTCCTCTTTCAGCTGAAAGTTAAAGAAAAAATGTAAGTCAATACTGAAAATAATTGTTTTACATATGAATTCATGTATATACAACAAAGCAGTGATAAAATAATTTTAGTAACAGTTCAATACATCAGGACCCTGCCAGAGGGGTGCCTTGATGCTAGCAAACTACTCTTGATCCAAGAAACTGGCACTAGTCTCCCCTTCCTTGGATCAAACCTTATTACCTCTCATTCCCAAGAACTGTATGATACCTAGAGGTTTAATGCCTCCTCACTAATATATTCAGTTATTTAAAGATAGTTTTTAAGATGCCCTCAGGGTATCAACACCTTAGGATACACTACTATATACTGATCCTTTGGTTTCTAAATAGGTTGTAAAGCCCAGTTGGGGTAAGCCAGATTGCTTAACCACTAAACAGGTCATCATCTGAGTGTGACGCATGTCAGGACACACTGTGCTGTTTCCTGAAGAATAAAACACCACCACTAAGTGAACAGGGGACTAGCCCTTAATTTTCACCCTGCTTATGATTCAAACAATAGGTTGGGCAAATATGTTTGTTAGTGGGTTTGGGTTTGAGAAAACCTGCCTAGTATGGGTCAGTAGGCCTGCTGCGGTGTTCCTCCTTTCTTATGTTCTTATTTTTTGGTTGTGAACTCAATGCTCTAACCATTGATTATAGCCCCATTACACAGATATTCTATAGTAAAAAAAAAAATAGATGCCAGCATTTTTTATAATCATAAGTATGTAAGGTATGTAAGGTAAAAGGATACAAGTGCAACTAATGCAACATTTTATTGTGGCAACATTTCACTCTCTAGGAGCTTTGTCAAGCTGTAATGGCTTGAAAGAAACGTTGCCACAATAAAATGTTGAATTAGTTAAACTTATGTCCTTTTACCTAACATATATGGTCAGTAATTCTATCAATATTATTACAATAATTAAATAAAAATCTCATGCCTACCACTAGCACTGGGTTCTGGATGGGAGGATGTGGAGGTTTACGGAGGTTGAGCACAAGAGCTGGCTCAGATGCTGGTATGCAAGCTGGCCTCCGGCGGCCATACAAGGCATAGTAGAGGTCCAACACTGCACACCGCACTCGGGAATCACACGGTTGTCCTGAGCTAAAAGGTATCAAAATAAAGCAAGCAATATATAAAGGTAAATAAGTGCAGCAATATTACTAAATGTAAAAAAACTTTCGTTTTTCTTTTTAGGTCACCCTGCCTTGGTGGGAGATGGGTGGTGCATTGAAAAAAGAAGTGCACCCATACACAGTACAGTATACTTTACTCTCTATACAAATATATTGTACATAAGTTTCCGTCTTTGAATCACCCTGCCTTGATGAAAAACAGCAAATATGATCAGAGGAAGCATGTTTGCTCGAATGAGAAAACATGCTACTCTGATCATATTTGCTTGGACCTCCTCCTTTTTTCTGTAACATTGCAAGCTCCTGATGATGTGTTGATTGCCACACAAAAGAGCTAGAGCTATTATTCAACTCCCCCTGCCCCCCATGGTTGTTTGGCATCTTGTAACATTTGTTCATGATTTTTGCATAACAATACATAAACTGAATGTTTGTGCATTCTGCAATCAAGTTCACTGCATTCACTGGATAAAGCTCACTGCTTGGGCAAAACATCATTCACAAAGAATCACATTGTACTGCATTTATGTCTTTTTTTACAGTGTTGGTATTGTCTACTATTTCTATCCACAGTCATTTTTGCTTTATGGAGATGTGTTCCAAGTCCATGGCACAGAGAGAGAAATAACTTAGGAAAAAACTATTTAATATGTAAAACTTTAAATATATTTTAATACAATTAGCACTTTTGTGAGAACTCCATGGATCACATCAATGAATTTCCATTGCTGTGAGTGAACTAGTGGTAGGAACTGGGTCATCATATTCACTTCTAGCTAGTCATACTCTGTATACAGTGTAGACATGTTCCTTTGCTGCCTAAATTAATGCCCACTTTGGAAAAGAAAACTGGAAATGAGAAAACTGTGTTTCTGTCTCTGTTATTAGACATTCATCAAACAGGTGAAACATTAGAAAGTAGACTCTACATCCAGTGACAAGACCTACAGGTGAGCTTGGAACAAGTGACTTCACTGCCAGTGAGATATTAACATTTGGGGATTGCTGTAATGACAACTAATTCAATTAATTTGTTCTTGCAATTACAATGTGCCTGTTTGATACAAGTTTTACGTAAAATTTTCACTTACTTCATTATATTCCATAGACGTTCAACTAAGTGCTCAGTGTCAAGTTTGTGGCTTTGACCCATAATGAAAGGAGGATTCTGCGCTAGTGACACTAGAGTCAAATATCGAACACGTGGGACTGGATCTGATTCAGCCAACGTTAATAAAAAGTCAATGTCATCACGAGTCCCATCATGTGCCAGGAAGTCCACTATCTGCTCCACTGCCGAAACTCGTACATCTGAAAATAAGAAGACAGAGAATTTAGTACATAATCAATTTATAGATGAATGGGAATGGATTTTTTTTTTTTTCAACAAGTCGGTCGTCTCCCACCGAGGTAGGGTGACCCAAAAAAAGAAAGAAAATCCCCAAAAAGAAAATACTTTCATCATCATTCAACACTTTCACCACACTCACACATTATCACTGTTTTTGCAGAGGTGCTCAGAATACAACAGTTTAGAAGCATATACGTATAAAGATACACAACATATCCCTCCAAACTGCCAATATCCCAAACCCCTCCTTTAAAGTGCAGGCATTGTCCCTTCCCATTTCCAAGACTCAAGTCCGACTATATGAAAATAACCGGTTTTCCCGGGAATCCCTTCACTAAATATTACCCTGCTCACACTCCCAACAGATCGTCAGGTCCCAAGTACCATTCGTCTCCACTCACTCCAAATCTAACACGTTCACGCACGCTTGCGGGAAGTCCAAGCCCCTTGCCCACAAAACCTTTCCTTTCCCCCCTCTCTCCAACCCTTTCGAGGACGACCCCTACCCCCCCTTTCCCTTTTTCCCTATAGATTTATATCCCTTTCCATGTCATTCTACTTTGATCCATTCTCTCTAAATGACCAAACCACCTCAACAACCCCTCTTCTCCCCCTCTGACAATACTTTTATTAACTCCACACCTTTTCCTAATTTCCACACTCCAAATTTTCTGCATAATATTTACACCACACATTGCCCTTAAACGGGACATCTCCACTGCCTCCAACCGTCTCCTCGCTGCTGCATTTACCACCCAAGCTTCACACCCAAAAGTTTTGGGTTTACAAACTATACTTTCATACATTCCCTTCTTTGCCTCCATAGATAATGTTTTTTGACTCCACATATACCTCAACGCACCACTCACCTTTTTTCCCTCATCAATTCTATGATTAACCTCATCCTTCATAAATCCATCCGCCGACATGTCAACTCCCAAGTATCTGAAAACATTCACTTCTTCCATTAAATATCCGACTTAATTCTCACACTTAGATCCTTAATATACGGTATAGTGTAATTTATTTCCAACATAACGTGCATACTGGAATTTTGCATCCTGCATTCTTTCATCACTGTAAATGATGGCCAGATATTTTTTTTAACGCACTAGCCATTTCCTACCAAGGCACGGTGGCTCCCAAAAAGAAAATACTTTAACCATCACTCACTCCATCACCATCTTGACAGAGGGGTGCTGATACTATAGTTCAAAACTACAAATATCCCCAGCCCTCCTTCAAAAACATTATATTTGTTCATGATTCCAGGGATTATCACTGGTCCTCATACATTAGAAAGGAAACAGAAATAAGAATAACAATAAGAATTATTAAGAAGCACACAGGAAAGTAAAGATAAGTACAGTGAACAGAAGAGAGATTGTTGGGCATGATAGTAACAATGAAATAAACCTCTCTATCTTACCAATGAACTGAGGATATGCAGCATATGCCTTGAAGATATCTGACTTAGGAGGTACGTGACCATTCTTCTGAAGTATGCGGATGGCATGAAGGCACGATACTGTGACAGTGTACTTGTAGCAAGGCAGGAGCTTTTCTAAATTTAAGTAACGTGTAATCTAGAAAATGAGGAAAATGTAAGTATTAAATTATTTATTCACTTTCATAATTTCTTAATTGACACTACTACTATAATTCTTACTAAAAATTATTCTGCATTTAATTATATCATTTGTCTATTATCTGCATCTGCATTTGTAGAATGGCTTGGATCATATGCTATATTTTCAAACAATAAATAACTTCCGGAAAGGTATGAATTAATTTCAAGTTTTCGTGAACTCGGAAGATTAGTGATGTTCACTCATCCACATCTAAATAATGTATATATATGTTTACTCACATTGCAATAATTTTACCAAACTACAAATCTGAAATGTAACTGGAAAAATTTAGTGAAAATTTGGTCAAAAACTTAAGTTAATGTTCGTAAGTTACTCCATAAGGTTAAATCACTAATAGTGTGATGGCATCTTCAATATCTAAACTGTCTTGAGTACTGGCTGAATGAAATTCCAATGTAAAATACAGTGGACCCCTGGTTAACGATATTTTTTCACTCCAGAAGTATGTTCAGGTGCCAGTACTGACCGAATTTGTTCCCATAAGGAATATTGTGAAGTAGATTAGCCCATTTCAGACCCCCAAACATACACGTACAAACGCACTTACATAATTACACTTACATAATTGGTCGCATTCGGAGGTAATCGTTATGCGGGGGTCCACTGTATTTCTTCTTCTTTCAACAAACCCGCCGTATCCCACTGAAGCAGGGTGGCCCAAAAAGAAAAACAAATGTTTCTCTTTTTAACTTCAGTAATGTATACAGGAAAAGGGGTTACTAGCCCCTTGCTCCTGACATTTTAGTCACCTCATATGACATGCATGTCTTATGGAGGAAGAATTCTGTTCTACTTCCCCGTGGAGATAAGAGGAAATAAACAAGAACAAGAACTAGTAAGAAAATAGAAGAAAACCCAGAGGGGTGTGTATATATATGCTTGCATATACAGTACATGTGTAGTGTGAGACCTAAGTGTAAGCAGAAGTAGTAAAACATACCTGAAATCTTGCATGTTTATGAGACAGAAAAAAGACACCAGCAATCCTACCATCATGTAAAACAATGCTGTAAAACAATCATGTAAAACAATGCTGTCTACCTCTGATTACATAAACTCCATGATATTTCATACAATTGTAAAATTAAGTATTGAGATATGCAAAGTAATTTGTAATGCCTCATGCCCCATACCTCATTCAAAACCCTGCGCATATCCTCAGACAAGGAATCTGAAGTGATGGTAGCTGGGTCATGTTGAACAAGGGCCGGAGAGATGGCAGCAGCAAGTGCATCCACTAAAGCAGCCCTATAGTAGTTATCAGAGTAGCGATTTTTGGAGTTATCACTGTATTTGAAAAGATCCATCAAGAACCCTAATACTTCTGGAGGACACGCCTTGTGAGTGTTGCGGAGACCAGCCATTGCAACTGGCAGAGTCTGTAATATAAAACTTTTGATAATGACTTAAGACTAAAACATTTATTAGAGTTAACAACTCTTCAACTTTCTACCAGTACATAAAGTATAAGAAATAATGCTAGAACAAAGGTATTAGTTTTCAAGAGGATTTTGGGTCACTACTTGCTCAAAAGTGCCTATATAGACATTACAACGTAAGTTGTGATGTCCATATAGGCCAGCAAGCCACTAGCAACAACAGCTATTTTGATTAGGTGATTTGCTATTGTTTGCAATTTCTTTAAGTTACATTCTTCTGCTCCTCTCCATACATCTATATAATCACTCCTGACTTATAGAAGTTTTTGGCTTGATTAATTCCTATATCAGTACAAATTAGGAGGTGTGGAGTTACTAAAAGTATTAGTCAGAGGGTTGACAAGGGGTTGTTGAGGTGGTTTGGTCATTTAGAGAGTGGAACACAGTAGAATGACTTGGAGAGTGTATAAATTTGTAGGGGAAGGAAGGTGGGGTAGGGGTCGTCCTCAAAAAGTTGGAGGGAGGGGGTAAAGGAGGTTTTGTAGGTAAGGGGCATGGACTTCCAGAAAGTGTACATAAGCATGTTAGATAGGAGTGAGTGGAGCCGAATGGTTTTTGGGACCTGACGAGCTGTTGGAGTGTGAGCAAGGTGAAGGGATATAGGGAAACCAGTTAGCTGAACATGAGTCCTGGAAATGGTAAGTAAAATGCCTGCTCTTTAAAGGAGGGGTTTGGGATATTGGTTATTTGGAAGGATATCTAAACTGTCATATCTGAGTGCCTCTGCAAAGACATGGTGATTATGTATGAGTGATGGTGAAAGTGTTGAATGATGATATAAGTTTTTTCTTTCTTTCTGGGTCGCCCTGCCTCGGTGGGAAACAGCCGATGTGTTAAAAAAAAAATTAGTTCCAAATATTAGTTTTCCTTCATCAAGCCCAGTATACCTGGAGAAGATTTTGGGGATCAACACCCCTGGGACCCAGTCTGTTACCAGTACCTACAGTTACACCAGCCTTTATTGTTCAACATTTTATTTATGCAGTAAATTATTTAACCCGTAAACGGTCCAAACGTATATATACACTTTTTCAACATTTGAAAGTATGTAAAAAAAGTAGATCTTCTTTTTGTTTTTTTACATTTGAAAATGTGTACAAAAACTTTGATCTACTTTTTTTTTTGTTATATTTGAAAATATGTAAAAAAAACGTAGATCTACTTTTGTAGCACTACACATGTGAACGTAGATCTGCTTGGACCGTTTACTTGTTAATTCAATTATTTATGCTACAGAACTCATTGTATATTGTGTGTATCTGTCCTATATTAGTTTTGGATGAGTTAAATGATAAGGTAATATCTATGAAGAGATTTGAGAAAAGAAAATTCAATCAAACATGTAAAATTTTAACAAAAATGATTAATAAATAACCCTACATTTCAGAAAATTAAAAAAAATATCAAACCTTAAGTATATAGTAATTCTGGAGGCTAGTGAAGTCATGTTGTCTGATGATATTGGGACACGAGAATGAACCAAACATCTTTCGGAAAATCTGCATCATGGCGGTGAACATTCCAAAGCCTACCATGGCATTAAGCCACTCGAGTCAGACAATGGGCTGCCCTGCATCGTACCTGAAGGAAATGTTATTTATAGAAAGTTGTAAAAATCTGCCGATAAGCTATATTCCATTCCCAATTAAATGTTATTAAACATATGACCCAAATTTAAAAAAGAAAATAAGGAAAACATAGAGCAATTTTTCATTTAATAAAAAATAATTTGATACAGTAACTTGTAAAATTATATACATTATCTAAACTCATAACTTTCATGTTATCATTATTGCACCCACTCTCCAAATGAATGAAGCAAACTGTTTTTAACCTTGACTGTCCAACCCCCAAAACCTGAGGTTCCTGGCACAAAATTTAAAAAAAAAAAATAATTTTTCTTTTTAAATGATTTGAGAATCTTTTCCCATTGTAATTACACCAAAAACAAATTTGATGGAAAACTGACGGAATTAAGCTCTCGCGAAGTTAGTGACCTCGGCGCTGTTTACAAAATCGGATTTGCCACTTTGAGCCCATTTCGGCTAATTCCCCTTTTCCAGTCCCCCCAAACCACTATTCTTAGAACTCCATTTTTTCTATCGATTGAGTACAGAAACGCCCATTACAATTTCAAACTACCTAATAATGTGGTCAGAAATTTGCATTTGGCCAATTTCACGAAAACTAAAAATTATGACAATTTCAAAATAAGGTCCAGAATGAACAATCAGACATCTGCTCTAAAATAAAATTTCTTTGCTCATCATTCATGACTCCAGGCCCCTGATATTACTCTGCTTTCTATTTTGAATTTTTATTTAACAAAAATGAAGACTTACTATTATGCGACTACTGTAATCGTAATATGTTAAATAACATCAAACCCATTCATGCTGCATATCAAATGGTAGCTGGACATTTATTGACAATGGCATCATTTATTTACTTTGAACATTGGCAAAATCAAAAATTTCCCCTACTTTGAGCTCCATTTCTAGTCCTTTTATAGTAAATTTAATCAAAAACACCTCATTTCTATAATGTTTCCATTCATCAAATGAGACAAGAAAACGAGAATACAACCATAAATCCTATCGAAAATAACCACAAATTCAGCATTTTAATTAAAAAAACGTAGGAGTTTTTTTTCTCATTTGCCTGCATCTCCAGGATTTTTTTATATGGGGCACACTGCCACACAGACCCATCTTCACATGTGGGCCTACCAGCTTTCTCCTGCTTGATTTGAAGCCCTAGAATTTATGAATTTTTCGTCAAACACGGTACCTCGTAAGACGTATATATACGCCTGGACAGTCAAAGGGTTAAATTTAAATTGGTTTAAAAATGGTTTTTCTCACAGTAAACCTTTCAAGAAACCAACTTCAAATACTCTAAGTGGCTTTTAAAAACTTCTGTTTCAAAGTTCTTTACATACTTGTACTAAGCCCTTCAAGCACAAATGATATTTTAAACTGATAAAATGAAAGTTTATTGAAAAAATAATAAAAGTCCTTTAATATTTACAAAACAGTGAAATACACTATCTCCAGTACTTAAATAACGATCAAGCCTAAATTCTGTATAATCACATTGCATAACACCATAACTGAGACATGTTGAAGATCACACTAAAACAAAATGCCTTTCAACTGCAACCTGTCTTACCAAGTCTCTGCTTTACCAATAACTGTTAGTTATTTACAGTACTGAACAGTCATTAGGGCAAAAAGAATTTGAAACACATTTTTTAAATTATTATACAGTATTCATAAGAAAATATTAAACCCCTAGGGATCATATAAAACCTGGGGCAGAGGGTATGAGACAATCAGGTTCAGTCCAAGGGATGGACAGATCCAGTTCCTTAAATCAAGGAGATCTGATCTAAGGAACAGGAGGGTTGCTCCAATTCCTTGGATCATGAGCCCTTCACCATGAAAAATTATATTGTAACCAACCTTATAGAAGCACTGTTCATTTTCCAACACAGCATTCAGTGTATTTCTCATTTCAGTAGTAACAGCACCTGAGGAAAGATATTCATGAATACAAAATTTAATGACTCACTCCATTTCATTCTCAACTAAGCTCATATAATATTATGAACAATAAACAACATCATGGAAAACTGAAATGCAAATCCTGCAGCATTTTATAGATAAGTAAAGAACGGAGTGTTCTTTCAGTTTTTTTACTTTAAAGAGAATAATAAGTCTAATGTAATAACATCATTACATAATGGTAAACTCATTCTTTATTTCATGACCACATGTCATGACCACATGTTATTAGTGTGTACAATACCTAACTGCCTGCTACAGTACCTAGTACTGAACATCCTTGCAGTAAAATGAAATTTATGAAATCATATGTCGCAAAACAGTGACTGCATAAACAATGGTGAAAATGTTTTGTCTTTTTTGGGTCATCCTACCTTGTAGGGAGACAGCAAGTGTGTTAAAACAAAACAAAAGTGTTAAGACTGTCTCAGCTCTTGGTTGTCTTGTCCACTGAAAGGAGAGCAGCAAATACTGTGTTACTTATACAGAAGTCCCTTGAGTAATATTAATCTGGTCCAGAAATTTACAGTCCCTGAAAACTATCATAACTCAAGCCTTAAAATACATGGATTAATGGTAATTCATTCCAAGGCACCAGAATGCACCCAACCTGCCCTTGGATACTTATTATTGTTTAAACACACTGGGGTTTTACCAGTTGTAAACTTCAGCTGGAAATCTCCAGGGGACACTGGAACCCAACAACAGAGTAAGCCTACCTTTCATAAGCTTATATCCAAAAAATGTGGCAGGACAGAGCAGGGCAGGATGGACAGGGCAGAGGCAGGGTGGGAAGGCAGGTTGGTCAAGAGTTGTAGACTTAATATTTACACTTTTGTCACTGTCTTCCACTGTCAATGTTTGGTTCATGCATTTGGTACATGTAGTCTCTCCCTCCCTCTGCCTTCCTTTTTCCCTTCCACCCTCCCTTACACCTGCCCACCATCCCCCCCTCCCACTTACCTCCATCACACCCTCTACCATCACTCCATTCAAGACCTTTTCATCACCATGTCTTGTCTCTGGGCTGAGGCCCACCCATGCCCACTAACCATTGTACACATGCAGTATATCAAATTTTTCATCACAACTCAAAACTAAATTTCTTTATGAGAGCAAATTGTAACTCAAAATTATTGTAACTCAACCCTATTGAAACTCAAGTGAACACAGTATACAGTACTTCCTTTACTCTTGGTGAGTCACTGCATTGTAATATTTTGTAAATGTTTTCTCTTATTTCAAATTTAATCTTTCTTTATTTGCTTTGTATGACCTTTCATTAATCTCCATTAATTGAAAATATTTTTCAATTTGCACAAAAAAATATTTTCAGACTTGAAAATAACTATATGTTATTCACCCTGTTTGGCTAAACGATGAAGAGCACTGATAGCCTCAGTCTGAGCGGTCACGTCTCGTTCGTGTCTCAGCTGGTATTGCCACTGGTTATCTGGTTGCTCTACTTCTACTGAACGCATCATTGTCATGTCTGGATCCAAACGTAACCACAGCACTGGAGAATCAGCACTGTAAAATAACACATAAAAGTTTGAAGGAGAAATGTTCTTTTTAAAATTATTAAAATGGATCTTTCATCAATCATAAGCCATTCTATCAATATATAAAGATTTCTTTTATATTACACTTGGTACTTACTCTAAGTGGCTGAGATCCATATCCACTTCTTCACCTGTACATAAAGGAATCTTCTTTTTTTTGTTTCGACGTGACTTTGAATGACAAACAATCTCTTTCTTAGACACCTAAAAGATAAACTTTATTAGAGTTCATTATTGAAATACTGTTTAGACAAAAATACATATTGTATTGTACCCACAAATACACACAAAAAAAAATTTCTACCACACTGGTGATCTACCACCAAGATAGGGTAACCCAAAGAAGAAAAAAACACATTCAGCATTATTTATTCAGTAGATGTCTTGACAGAAGTGCACAGACACTACAAATTAAATGAACCACTGCACTACAACATTCAAATGTCCAGAATCCAAGTATGATTAACATGCATATATATATATACACACCCCTCTAGCTGTTCTTCTATTTTCTTTATTGTTCTTGTTTATTTCCACCTATCTCCATGAGGAAGTGGAACAGAATTCTTCCTCCATAAGCCATGTGTGTCGTAAGAGACGACTAAAATGCCAGGAGCAAGGGGCTGGTAACCCCTTCTCCTGTATACATTACTAAATTAAAAAATTAGAAACTTTTATTTTTCCTTTTGAGCCACCCTGCCGTGGTGGGATATGGCCAGTTTGTTGATATATAACCTTGTAGTAGCTGTCTGGTCACTACCACTCTACTAATTAGACCAAGTTGTCTTACATCGACCCACTGCTGTATTAATATCCTCCTAAAGGTAAAAAGACATAGAGGCAGAGAAGATAGTAAAGAGCCATTTAACACCCCATTAATGTCAGTGAAGATTAAATACAAGAATAATAATAATAATATTTATTATTATTTATTATCACACTGGCCGATTCCCACCAAGGCAGGGTGGCCCGAAAAAGAAAAACTTTCACCATCATTCACTCCATCACTGTCTTGCCAGAAGGGTGCTTTACACTCCAGTTTTTAAACTGCAACATTATTAATTAACACCCCTCCTTCAGAGTGCAGGCACTGTACTTCCCATCTCCAGGACTCAAGTCCGGCCTGCCAGTTTCCCTGAACCCCTTCATAAATGTTACTTTGCTCACACTCCAACAGCACGTCAAGTATTAAAAACCATTTGTCTCCATTCACTCCTATCAAACACGCTCACGCATGCCTGCTGGAAGTCCAAGCCCCTCGTACACAAAACCTCCTTTACCCCCTCCCTCCAACCTTTCCTAGGCCGACCCCTACCCTGCCTTCCTTCCACTACAGACTGATACACTCTTGAAGTTATTCTGTTTCGCTCCATTCTCTCCACATCTCTGAACCACCTCAACAACCCTTCCTCAGCCCTCTGGACAACAGTTTTGGTAATCCCGCACCTCCTCCTAACTTCCAAACTACGAATTCTCTGCATTATATTCACACCACACATTGCTCTCAGACATGACATCTCCACTGCCTCCAGCCTTCTCCTCACTGCAACATTCATCACCATGCTTCACACCCATAAAAAGAGAGTTTGGTAAAACTATACTCTCATACATTCCCCTCTTTGCCTCCAAGGACAAAGTTCTTTGTCTCCACAGACTCCTAAGTGCACCACTCACCCTTTTCCCCTCATCAATTCTATGATTCACCTCATCTTTCATAGACCCATCCGCTGACACGCCCACTCCCAAATATCTGAATACATTCACCTCCTCCATACTCTCTCCCTCCAATCTGATATCCAATCTTTCATCACCTAATCTTTTTGTTATCCTCATAACCTTACTCTTTCCTGTATTCACTTTCAATTTTCTTCTTTTGCACACCCTACCAAATTCATCCACCAATCTCTGCAACTTCTCTTCAGAATCTCCCAAGAGCACAGTGTCATCAGCAAAGAGCAACTGTGACAACTCTCACTTTATTTGTGATTCTTTATCTTTTAACTCCACGCCTCTTGCCAAGACCCTCGCATTTACTTCTCTTACAACTCCATCTATAAATATATTAAACAACCACGGTGACATCACACATCCTTGTCTAAGGCCTACTTTTACTGGGAAATAATTTCCCTCTTTCCTACATACTCTAACTTGAGCCTCACTATCCTCGTAAAAACTCTTCACTGCTTTCAGTAACCTACCTCCTACACCATACACCTGCAACATCTGCCACATTGCCCCCCTATCCACCCTGTCATACGCCTTTTCCAAAATCCATAAATGCCACAAAGACCTCTTTAGCCTTATCTAAATACTGTTCACTTATATGTTTCACTGTAAACACCTGGTCCACACACCCCCTACCTTTCCTAAAGCCTCCTTGTTCATCTGCTATGAATTTAATAAATTACATTAATGACTTTGAATTATCATAAATGAAAATCAGGAAATGATCGGACAGAAGATATTTTATATACTTGTTTAAGAAATACTAGGGAAACTTTCCTTAGATGAAATACAAAAAAACAGTTAGAATTATAAGAAAGTGTGAATGTTTGTGTGCACAAGGAACTTTAATATACCTGATGTTCAATTTGCAAGGTGTGTTTAAATGTACCATCCAATTCTTGTATCCACACCACTAATGGCCCCACATAGCGACGAATACCCAGCTCTCCGATGTAACCTTGTTCAATGGTCATCTCCACGATGTTCCTAGTGACAAACAAGCACAAGTTATTATAATGTAAACACTCATTTTTTAATATTAAATAAAAGAAAATGGATTTGGAAAAATGTAAGAAAACCTTATAATTCATGAAATCATAATAACACAATTGCAACTGGTCTGGAGTTTTAGGTCTCACTTACCATGGGCTCAATTTTCTATTAATCTTAATGTTCAACTTTCTATTAATCTTATTGTTTAACTTTCCTTATTATTATTTTATTATCACACTGGCCGATTCCCACCAAGGCAGGGTGGCCCGAAAAAGAAAAACTTTCACCATCATTCACTCCATCACTGTCTTGCCAGAATGGTGCTTTACACTACAGTTTTTAAACTGCAACATTAACACCCCTCCTTCAGAGTGCAGGCACTGTACTTCCCATCTCCAGGACTCAAGTCCGGCCTGCCGGTTTCCCTGAATCCCTTCATAAATGTTACTTTGCTCAACTTTCCTTAATGAAAATTTAATACAGCGTAATTCACATACAATAATCAGCAGCTGTGACTATACCTTTTGCGGTTAAACAGGAACTTCATGTTAAACTTTGCATGTCCTCCTTGACGGACCCACTGATCGCAGAATACTGTGATGTCTTTTCCTGTCACAGTGAAAATTGCCTGCAAGGAGAAGGAATTAGTGAACAAAACATGTTATGAATGTAAATAAGCTCTTGAAACCGCTACAAACTAAATCAATCAATCATATTATGGGTTCTCTGGACATGTGTGCCACATTTAGAAGGCTGGGAACAAGAATAACATTACTGTTTCCAAATTAGCAGATGGAGTATTGAATCTTTACTATTCCTTGTATTGACCTTTCAGGGGTTTAAGTTTCACTAACATATCTGACTCACGAAATCGTAATGACATGATATAACAGTAACCACATTTAAAATAAACTGAAGGAAGACCTAAGAAAATAACAAATAAAAAAATAAAGTAAATAAACAAGAACTAAGAAAATAATAAACAAGAAGAACTATGAAAATAACAAACAAGAAGAACTAAGAAAATAACAAGAAGAACTAAGAAAATAACAAGAACTAAGAAAATAACAAGAAGAACTAAGAAAATAACAAGAAGAACTAAGAAAATAACAAACAAGTAGAACTAGCACAGCTCCTAATAAACAATAATTTATGCCATGGTATCCTTCATTTTATTTGCATTAATGTAGTTCTCTATATGACCGGTTTAAACTAAATCTCTGGCACATAACAGCCAGGATAACACAAGATAACGAAATTTAACGTAATACTAACTCAACAGTTATAATCATTTCCATACCTTTGTGAAAGTAGCAGTTGACATAAGCATGTGAGACCAGCCTGCTGGGTGACCTTTGTTACCAACAGCAATCAATGCCAGTGACAGATGTTTATTGAAGACCTAAAAATGTAAACAGCCAAATAAATAAATGCTTTGTGAATGCAACTACGTGCTCACACGTATCATCATGAAAATATCTCCACGTACAAAGACTAAATGAAAACTACAAATTACTAACAAGGCATGCATTTACCTGAATTATTTCTAGAAGGAGAGAAACTAATTGGACCCACCTCGCATAGGCCAGTAGGCCTGTTGCAGTGTTCCTTCTTTCTTATGTTCTTATGTTCTTAATTTACCTGCATCATTACTAGAAGAGAGACTAATAAAATTTGCTTTTACTTGCATTATTACTAGTGTCAGAGAAACTAATATAACTTGTTTTACCTGTATTACTACTAGTAGCAGAGAAACTAATAAAGCTTTTTTACTTGTATTACTACTAGTAGCAGAGAAACTAATAAAGCTTGTTTTACCTGTATTACTACTAGTAGCAGAGAAACTAATAAAGCTTGTTTTACCTGTATTACTACTAGTAGCAGAGAAACTAATAAAGCTTGTTTTTGTCGTGGGGGTTCGGTGGTGGATTTGGATATAAACAACCATGTTGGATGACTTGGTAGTGCATATTAAAGTATTCTGAGTGGACACCAGAACCTGTCACTATCTGCTATCTGGCCTTCAACTCTACTCTGACTGACTACCACCCGAGGCAGGCAGTTCAAAATGAGTGGGACTCGTGACGTCATAGCCAGGGAGGCAGTGACTCACAAGTAACGGTTTTAACTTGACTCACAAGTAACAGTTTTAACATGACTCACAAATAACGGTTTTAACCTGACTCACAAGTAACGGTTTTAACTAGGTATACTAACACAAGCACACAGTACTACTGACACTTTACCTGCATTATTACTAGTAGCTTGCTATACCTGCATCATTAGTTCCTGACCAATCCGGAACTCCAGCATACGAATCACCAGATGAGCTTTTTTATAATAAACGCTGATGTAATGTGGGGAACATGCATGTGGATTCTTGACAGAGAAATAAAATGTGTCTTTGTTAGAGCTGTTGTTTGAGGTCATTGGCATATTTGGTCCATTCTGAGGCTCATTTGGGGAAGAACTTGGATCCAGTACGATGCCTCCAAATCTTTCCTCGTACTCTATGATTTCTTGCAGCTCCTGAAATGTTCATCAAAACCTGTACATTAATTACCTATAAAGAATAAAGATTAATGGATAAGGATATGGAAATACGATTCTCTAGAATTTTATTTTTTCAATGAACAGGCCGTATCCCACCAAGGCAGGGTGACCTAAAAAGGAAAATGAAAGTTTTTCTTTTTAGGTCACCCTGTCTCAGTGAATTCAAAAAGAATGACAAAAGTTTTTCTTTTTAAATTTAGTAATTTCTTTAGAAATACAAGCTGATGTATAAAATATAAAAGTTAAAAGAATAAATATTAACTTCAAAATAAAATTTACCAAAACAGTGCTTTTTTCCAGTCCTCATTTATTGAGCAAGATAATCCTATGGCATGAATTTAAGTGAAAATTAATAAGTCCACTGGGATTGAACTTGGGAAAACTTAAATTTCAATATCACACATTACTATTCATACAAAAGCAAAATGTACTGAAATCCATTGTTGTGCCTTTTCAACTGGTTTGTGGTACATCACAACTAGTACCCAAATCTACCTTAATTTTGTGCTATATACAGAATGTATACAAATAAATATTCATAAATGTACATACACTATGTATCCAATCCTTGTAATCATTGAAGCCAAAATGCTTCTTAACATACAAACTCATGAGATAGTTTGAGATGCCAGTGGTGAGCCAGGCGTCAGCCCAGGCATGGCGAGAAAGAAAACATCCGAAGAACTGTTGGGCCACACATAAGGCCATAGTTTTTCTAGTTTCATAGACCTGATCTATAATTCTGTTGCTGCACAGGAGATTAACACTAGAAAGGAAAAAGGACACTTTAGCTTTCTATTATATACTGTTACCATGAATTTCCTGGTAACAATGTAATGAAAGCAAATTATTTAACCTGACAACACAACACTTTATATTACAATGTAAAACCTGCTTCCTATTGAGCGTTTTCATCTTAAATGAGCTTTACTAAGCAGTATGCAATTAATTACAATCTTTCTTTCCAATAAATCTGTACCCACTTGGCCTATACCATAACTCAAGTTTTCCTTATCTTATATTTTCATTTGGTTCAGTCATGGAGGGAGGGGGTAAAGGAGGTTTTGTGGGCAAGGGGCTTGGACTTACAGCAGGCATGCGTGAGCGTGTTAGATAGGAGTGAATGGAGATGAATGGTATTTGGGACCTGACGAGCTGTTGGAGAGTGAGCAGGGTAATATTTAGTGAAAGGATTCAGGGAAACTGGTTATTTTTATATAGCCAGACTTGAGTACTGGAAATGGGAAGTACTGTACAATGCCTGCACTTTAAAGGAGGGGTTTGGGATATTGGCAGTTTGGAGGGATATGTTGTGTATCTTTATACATATATGCTTCTAAACTGTTGTGTTCTGAGCACCTCTGCAAAAACAGTGATTATGTATGAGTGAGGTGAAAGTGTTGAATGATGATGAGAGTATTTTCTTTTTGGGGATTTTCTTTCATTTTGGGTCACCCTGCCTCGGTGGGAGATGGCCAACTTGTTAAAAAAAAAAATGCACACTTTAGACAGTGATTATGTGTGAATGATGGTGAAAGTGTTTCTTTCTTTTTCAGGTCACTCTGCTTCAGTTGCAGATGGGCGTGTTACAAAAAAAAAAAATATACACTTTCTTCCAAAATGAGAATTTCCACCTTTTTTTTTTATTAGATACCTAGCAACAACTTTGTTATTTTAACTACTTTTAATTTGCAAATTGTTTCAGTGAAATAAAACCCCATATTCTTAAATAATTTCCCATTCTTCAAATTATAAATTTTTTTTTGTAAATCCATATAATGTTACTGTAAATTACATATTTTGTGGACAAAGTACTGTATAAAAAGTAGGACTGTTTTTCAGCCTTTATCCTGAAATATTGATTACTGTGTATGTTGGTACTATTATTATAAATCTAACCCTTGATTTCATGATTATTTAGGTTTAAGTCTTCCAACTTTTTAGAATAAACAAAATTAAACCCTCTTCATCAGAATTTGTGACAAGGTAAACTCCAAGGAAATCTTTATGAATTTCAACTTTTCTCTGTATTTATTTCCACAAAGCAAATAACTATGGTGATCTTTAAAATATTTTATATACAGAAAACAGTTAAGAATCCTCACCCCCCCCAAAAAAAAAAAAAAAAAAAAAAAATTAAAAATGGCTTACTCTTCAAGACTTGAGTCCTGGAAATGGGAAGTACAATGCCTGCACTTTAACCCTTTGACTGTCGCAGGCCCCTTTCTGAGACTGTCATTCTATGTTGATAAATTTTTGGAAAAAAAACAAAAATTATTTTTTCTTATGAAATGATAGAGAATCTTTTCCCGATGGTAATGACACCAAAAGTACAAAATTTGGTCGAAAACTCATGGAATTGTGCTCCTGCAAAGTTAGCGGTCTCGGCGACATGTACGCATCGGCAATTTCGCCGACTCTGAGCCCTGTTTTTGGCCAATTACGTTGTTCCAGTTGACCAAACTCATAGCTATTTCTTTAGAACTCCATTTGTTCTATCTGTTGAGTACAAGAAACCGCCCATTTACCGATTTGAACTACCCAATAAAGTGGTCAGAAATTGGCAATTTGGCCAATTTCACACAAATTAAAAAAGATGCCAATTTCGAAATAGGGTCCAGAATAAACAATGTAGACATTCTTGGCACTAAAATAACACATCCTCTGTTCATTAGTCATGTCTCTAGGCCCCTCTTATATTACCATTGATTTCTATTTTGATTTTTAATTCATCCAAAAAAATACAAAATTTACTGTTATACAGACTACTGCATTATTGTAAAAATGGTATAAATAATATCAGTGCACTAGTGAAAGAATATTAGACTCCCCAGTTGAAGTGTATTGGACGTGTGGTGTGATTTGCTTACTCCTGAACATTGGTAAAAATTGAACATTTTCGCTACTTTGAGCTCAATTTCAAGGTCGTTTTCAACATAAAGGTAATCAAAATCATCTCTATTTCTGTAATATGTTTTCCATTTTATCACCTGAGACCATGAAAACGAGAATACAACGATAAATACTATATGAAAATACACCTCAAAGTCGGCGTTTTAATCCAAAAAAAACGGTCAGTTTTTTTTCTCATTACGCACTGCGTGCTGCAGGATTTTTTTCATGTGGTGCACACTGACCACACAGACCCATTCTCTCACATGTGGGCCTACCAGCTTTCTCCCGCTTGATCTGAAGCCACTAGAATTTACGTGTATAAATACGTCAGAAACAGTGGTGCGTAAGATGTATATATACAACCGAAACAGTCAAAGGGTTAAAGAAGGGGTTTATGATATTGACAGTTTGGAAGGATGTCTAAATTGTCGTATCTGAGTGCCTCCGCAAAGACAGTGATTATGTATGAGTGATGGTGAAAGTGTTGTATGATGATCCAAGTTTTTTCTTTTTTTATGGGGGGGGGGGGAAGTTGTTTCTTTTTGGGTCACCCTGTCTCGGTGGGAAACGGCCCATGTGTTAAAAAAAAAAAAATCAATGAACCGGCCGTATTCCACCAAGCCAGGGTGACCTAAAAATGAAAGTTTCACTTTTTAAATTTAGTAATGTATACACGAGAAGGGGTTACTAGCCCCTCACTTCTGGCATTTTAGTCGCCTCTTACGACATGAAAAGCATAAAGAGGAAGAATTCTGTTCCACTGCCCCATGGAGAATGTTATAATTATATTATAATAAATATAGTGGATTAATTACTGTCCATCAATCAGTTATTCAGTGATTAACATTATCTGGAGAACTTCTGTTCCACATATTACCTGAACAGATAAAACCAAAAATGATTGTGTGAATAATAGTGACTATACAAAATGATGGGATTATCCTGTTTTTGTAAAATTCAGCACACCCTCTTCCCCTGACAGCACTGAATAATTATATAATCAATGATTTACATACTGTACCATACAAAAAAGTAATTAAAAGTACATAATGATATGACTTCTTATGTTACACTTACTCAAGAATGCTCATGGTAGCATAAGAATGTAGAGTGCTATATGCTTCATCAACATACACTTGTTTATAGCAGGAATATGGATATCTGAAAAAAAAGTGGACATTAAATAGAATAGTTGAATTGCCAGAAGGGGGTTACCAAGAACAGTATATAATAAGTTCAAAAACTTCCAATCAGTTTTAATTTTTTGCCACCTGTGATGATGCTGTAGTGACAACCTAACCTAATGGTATTTTGACAATTAACCCAAACTATATTTGAAAGAGAATTAAAACCTTTAATCATGCTCCAATTTAGAGGAGAAAAGCAAAGAAATCAAATAAAAGATAATTTTCACCATCCTTTCTATTTCAATGCAAAGCCTCATAAGTGATTAAGAGACCATGACAGACTGTTATCTTTGTCCCTTCGAACATGCAAAGTGAATGTGTTATATATTTCATTACAGTATAATAAAACATACCTAGTGGAGAGAAGCTCTTCATAAAATTCAAAAGCTTCGTGCAGGTATTTGCTAGTCGCTTTCATGAGAGGTAGGAGTTGGGGAAGACAAAAGTGGGTGATTTCATTCATGAAGGGGTCCACATAGATCTCAAATGGCCTGAAAAAAATAAAACATTGCATTTTATTTATTTTGGTTTGTAATAAACAAGTTAATAAAAATATTGCAAGGGCAAAAAAAATCTTCCATGTACAATGGACCCTCGACCAACGATATTAATCCACTCCAGAGAGTTCATCGTTAGACGAAATTATCATTAGTTGAAATAATTTTCCCCATAAGAAATAATGGAAATCAAATTTATCCATTCAAAACACCCATAAGTATGGAAAAAAATATTTTTACCACATGAAATATACATTTTCCTAACACAAACAGAAGGAGAGATGCACAATACATGCATACATATGAAGGAGAGGTGTTAATGTTGCAGTTTTATAACTGTAGTGTAAAGCACCCCTCTGGCAAGACAGTGATGGAGTGAATGATGATGAAAGTTTTTCTTTTTCGGGCCACCCTGCCTTGGTGGGAATCGGCTGATGTGTTAATAAAAAAAATGAAAAAAATATGTACATGTGTGTATTGTGTAATGAAGAATAAATGACACTTACTTTTATTGAGGATGTGGTGATGAGTGATGGGATGGGAGGGGGGATGATGGACGTTATTATTTTTTGGAAGGGGAATCCCCTTCCATGAGGACTTGAGGTCCCATTATTGTAAATACTACATAATCTCAATGTACTATTTGCAAAGACAACTAAATAAATAAATAAAAATTGGCAGCCTCACCATGCCTTATCACACTATGCATGTCACTACGATTCTTAACTCTCTCAAACCAACCTTTGCTGGCCTTAAATTCACTCACATCACCACTAGTTGCAGGCATTTTTTTAATTAAATCATCATGCAACTGCCTTGCCTTTTCACATATGATCGCTTGAGAGATGCTATCTCCTGATATCTGTTTTTTGTTTATCCACACCAATAACAGTCTCTCAACATCTTCGACTACTTGCAATCTGTGTTTCGAAAACATACTTGCACCTTTCGCAACAACAGCTTCCTTGATTGCCTTGCTGTTGGCCAAGATAGTAGCGATGGTTGATTGGGGTTTGTTATACAACCTGGCCAGCTCGGAGGAATGCACTCCAGTTTCATACTTTGTGATGATCTCCTTCATTTCAACTGTAATTCTCACCCTTTTTACCACAGGGTTGGCACTAGAAGCTTTCTTGGGGCTTATTTTGCAGTTACAAGCGCTAAAAACACTGGAATAATACAAAATGTACCGAATGTATGCGTGGATGCAACCGCACTGGCTTGTAAACAATGGCACACTAACTGAAGGCAGGGCAGCTAAGGTGCACTCAGGCCAGACGGGACATGTGGACGCGTTCGGGATGAATCATGTTGGTCGAGTTTTTCATCGTTACAAGAAATAGGCTATTCTAGTGTTTTCCCATATTTTTTAAATTATTCAAAGAACTCGAAGTAATGGATTCAGATTGAATAAGTTTAGACTTAGACAGGATGTAAGAAAGTACTGGTTTGGCAACAGGGTAGTCAATGAATGGAACAACTTGCCAGGTCGAGTCAATGAAGCTAAAACATTAGGCAGCTTTAAAAATAGGTTAGACGAATACATGAGTGACAAGGCTGGAGGCAGTGGAGATGTCATGTCTGAGGGCAATGTGTGGTGTGAATATAATGCAGAGAATTCGTAGTTTGGAAGTTAGGAGGAGGTGCGGGATTACCAAAACTGTTGTCCAGAGGGCTGAGGAAGGGTTGCTGAGGTGGTTCGGACATGTAGAGAGAATGGAGCGAAACAGAATGACTTCAAGAGTGTATCAGCCTGTAGTGGAAGGAAGGCGGGGTAGGGGTCGGCCTAGTGAAGGTTGGAGGGAGGGGGTAAAGGAGGTTTTGTGTGCGAGGGGCTTGGACTTCCAGCAGGCATGCGTGAGCGTGTTTGATAGGAGTGAATGGAGACAAATGGTTTTTAATACTTGACGTGCTGTTGGAGTGTGAGCAAAGTAACATTTATGAAGGGGTTCAGGGAAACCGGCAGGCCGGACTTGAGTCCTGGAGATGGGAAGTACAGTGCCTGCACTCTGAAGGAGGGGTGTTAATGTTGCAGTTTAAAAACTGTAGTGTAAAGCACCCTTCTGGCAAGACAGTGATGGAGTGAATGATTGTGAAAGTTTTTCTTTTTCGGGCCACCCTGCCTTGGTGGGAATCGGCCAGTGTGATAATAAAAAAATAATAATAAAATGAGTGACAAGGGTTGAATGTTAACGAGACCTGAAGAGCATGGGTTAGTAGGGTTATTGAAGTTTTAACTTTGGGTGGCTTTAAAATTAGTTTGGAGAAATGTTTGAGTGAAAGATGAATATGAGGACCTGCCAAGTATGGGTCAGTAGGCCTGCTGTAGTTCTCCTCCATTCTTATATAGTATTCTTACATTTTAATTTGTCAAGTTTCCAGATGTTGTAGCATGCAGTACCTTTCTTTCTCTCTCTCTTGAGTTCATTCCTGGGATCTACCACTATTTGAAAAGCAGTATTTATCACAAAAGAAAGAAAAGAGAAGCTTTTTTTCCTTGAAAAATGTTCTCTAAACAATCACCCTAGATTATTTATGTTGAAGGTATATCTTTCTTTCTTTCAACACACCAGCCGTATCCCACTGAGGCGGGGTGGCCCAAAAGGAAAAACTAAAGTTTCTCCTTTTACACTTAGTAATATATACAGGAGAAGGGGTTACTAGCCCCTTGCACCCAGCATTTTAGTCGCCTCTTACAACACACATGGCTTATGGAGGAAGAATTCTGTTCCACTTCCCCATGGAGATAAGTGGAAATAAACAGGAACAAGAACTAGAAAGAAAATAGAAGAAAATCCAGAGGGGTGCGTGTATATAAGCTTCTACATGTATGTGTAGTGTGACCTAAGTGTAAGAAGAAGTAGCAAGACGTACCTGTAATCTTGCATATTTATGAGACAGACAAAAGACACCAGCAATCCTACCATCATGTAAAACAATTACAGGCTTTCGTTTTACACTCACCTGGCAGGACGGTAGTACCTCCCCGGGCGGCTGCTGTCTACTAACCTACTACCTACTTGAAGGTATATACACTAATAAATTTTAGTTAACACTAGTATACACTAACAGAAACATCAGTGAACAGTTAAGTACTGCAGGCTACAATACAATAAATAACAAAAAAGGCACAATACCGTGACTGGAACGATACACAAATAACCCGCACATAAAAGAGAGAAGCTTACGACGACGTTTCGGTCCGACTTGGACCATTGACAAAGTCACACTACAATAGGCAGCAACTGTGTCTGAATACTTATAAAAGTGGAATGTGTTACCTTACCCATTTTTAATTATTTCATATGCATTTTATTTTACCAAATATTCAGTGGCTTCTACAAAGGAAAATTAAAATTTGAATGATGGGACTGGAGAAATATGGCAACCATTTACAGAATGATTCTGTTATGGTTTCACTGATGCCATAATATCAGGAGATAACCAAGATGCGTAAGAAAGAAAAACTTTATGAAAACGTTTCTTCTTTTTAGGGTCACCCTGCCTCAGTGGGAGACAGCCTGTGTGTTTATAAAAGAGATGCATCCATTAGCTGTCATAATGTATAACATCAGGCCTTAATAATGATATATTAGTAGTGCATGTTAAAACCATAATGAAAACAATTGGCCAACTTTTTACATGCAGCCAAACTTAAACTTTAGGAAGCATGAAATTACTTGTATCATTATATACAGTCTCCTAAGAGCACGTCAGTAAATGAATTCGTTGCTAAGTAAGGAGCATACTATAATGGTAATGGGTTTGTGTCACCCATCTATGATATAGTTTTAATGTCACCTTTACACCATTTATAACAAGCACTATCCGACTTACGACCTACTCAACATACGACCACTCGTACTTACGACCATACGTCTGGCAGCATATACAGTAGTTAATTTTATTATTTTTATTATCACACTGGCCGATTCCCACCAAGGCAGGGTGGCCCGAAAAAGAAAAACTTTCACCATCATTCACTCCATCACTGTCTTGCCAGAAGGGTGCTTTACACTACAGTTTTTAAACTGCAACATTAACACCCCTCCTTCAGAGTGCAGGCACTGTACTTCCCATCTCCAGGACTCAAGTCCAGCCTGCCGGTTTCCCTGAACCCCTTCATAAATGTTACTTTGCTCACACTCCAACAGCACGTCAAGTATTAAAAACCATTTGTCTCCATTCACTCCTATCAAACACGCTCACGCATGCCTGCTGGAAGTCCAAGCCCCTCGCACACAAAACCTCCTTTACCCCCTCTCTCCAACCTTTCCTAGGCCGACCCCTACCCCGCCTTCCTTCCACTACAGACTGATACACTCTTGAAGTCATTCTGTTTCGCTCCATTCTCTCTACATGTCCGAACCACCTCAAAAAGTAACATATGATACTATGTAGGTACTTTATATAGCAAAGGTTTTACATTATGCCCTACCCAGTATGTCGGCAATTTTCTAAGGTTCAACTTGCGTCCATTTTGACTTATGATTGGTTGGTCGGAACCAAGCTCAGTCATAAGTCGGATGGTACTTGTATTTTTAAATGTTTATACAGTAACTTGACTCAAGAAATCGTAATGACACGATTGCAAATAAACCATACCCCCGGCCGGGATTGAACCCGCGGTCATAGAGTCTCAAAACTCCAGCCCGTCGCGTTAGCCACTAGACCAGCTAGCCACAATAAGATTCATCCAACTAGGTATATTTCTACACCATAGGAAAGTTTGCTAACTTTCCCATGGTGTAGAAATATACCTAGTTTTTGGGTAATCTTATTGTGGCTAGCTGGTCTAGTGGCTAACGCGACGGGCGGAGTTTTGAACTCTTGACCGGGGGTTTAAATTCCCGGCCGGGGGGAGGTTTATACAGTAATATCTGTATATTGCAATAAACAAATAGAGGAAATAACTCTAATTACATGTACATTTTTTAGGTATGCATACTGGTTAGAGAGCCTGTCACATATCGAGTCTTGGTAAACAAGAAGTGAGGAGAGGCTGATTTTTAAAAAATACTTAGGGGTTTTTTAGACATACAAGATAAAGTTAAACCTTACCTTTGCTACAAACTAACCTGGAGACCTGGATTTTCCCTGGAGAGAGTTCCGGGGGTCAACTCCCCCGCGCCCGGGCCGTGACCAGCCTCCTTAGGTCATTCCCAGGGTCACCCCACCATCGACTAACACCCAATACCCATTTTACTGATGGGGGAAAATAGACAAAAAGGTGGGAAAAAAAACACGTCCAATGTTTTTTTACCTGGCTGGGAAACGAACCCCCGGCCCCCCACCGTGTAAGCGAGAGCGTTTCCACCAGGCCACCAGGTAGTAACTGGATATTTTTTTTTTTAAATTAACCCGAAAAATTCAGTTTAATGGAAAAAGAGGAGACTGTCAGACAAACACACTGTACAGTAGTCGTAATGCAACACCATCATTGCTAATAAATTTTTTTTTTAATCTCATCCACCATCTCCCATTACAGTAGGGTAACTCAAAGTAAGGACAGATGTTCACCATCATTCATTTAGTTCCTGTCTTGCCAGATAACCATCCAAACCACATCACCACCCACCACCAGGTAGTATATTCCTATACCTCAAGTCCAGCTAACCAATTTCCTTAAATCCCTTCATAAGTATTAACTTACATTCCAATAGCTTGTCATTTCATTAAATACATTTATCTTTGTTATATGGTCATTTGGTGAAGATGTAGCATGTTCGTATTTTATTTGTAGAATTTGTTCAAGAAATGTAAATACTTACCCAACAACAAGAGCAATGTTTGGTGCACACGTAGGAGTTGAGAGGCAGTAATGGAATGTTTTACGCCTCATATCCTGAGTGTAGACAACCTCTACTAGGTCTCCACAGCTTACGGCAGTCATAAAATCATCCACTGTAAATTCTAACCGCCAGGTACAAACTTCACTCCAGGTGTCGATACAGGGAAACCACAGACGTACACTGTTTTCATGTCCGTAACTGAACATGTGCGCAGCTTTCTGTATAAGAGGAATAAGTTTTTAATGAGAACAACAGTTAAGCAGACATGCATAGGAACATAATCCATAACAGAAATAAGACACTATATTCCTATACCTTAAAATCAATCTGTCCAAAACACGTGTGGGCTCATGAATATGCTCTGCCAAATCACTAGGTGTGTGTGAAAACTTCAGCTACTACCCCTAAAACTAAAGCTATAATTATGATAAACATTGAAGTCTCTTATAACAAAATATTCATAACAAAAAGGAATATCCTTACAGATCATACTTAAAACATATGCCCTTACCTCAACCAATGTGCCATCAGTATTTGGAACTACAAAGTGCAAGCCAGACTGGGGCTTCTCCAAAGAAAACTCGACACCAACTCTCAATGGCTTTCCTTCTTGGATCATGTGCTGCGCTTCTGAGGGGACAACAATCACAAGTTCCCCTCGACCCAGTTCAGGATCCACCGAGGTTACCCCATTTGACTGACATTTGTTTACGTAATCTAGGTTTCTCCTGTTCAAAACAGAAAGCATGAAGATTAATTATGGCTGTTACCCACAACTGTAAATTTAAAATAACAACTTCTGCCAGATGCAGGAAACATTGGACCTCTACAAAAACTTTAAAATAAATAGCAAAATCATTCATTAAATGGCATTGTAAACTGCTGATGACCTTTCCACAAAACTAACCTAAGTGAAATAAATGCTTTATGTTAATCATTAAAACATACACAAATATCACAGAAAACTTAAAATTACTCCTGCATTTATTTTCCATTTGATCTTGGTTGTAGATTCACTGTTTATCGTAAGAAAATACAATTCAAGCCATTTTTACATGTACAACCTACACATTGAAATTTAATCTTGCAAATGTTGCAAAGTGAAATTAATGATATGTTACATAAGTACTTAAGAAAAAAGGAGCCCTTTAGCAGATTTATTGGCCAATGTTAAGCAGGTCCAAGTCACACCCACCCACAACCACTCATGTACTTGTCTAACCTATTTTTAAAACCACCTTAGGTTTTTGCTTTAGCAATGCTACTCAGGAGTTTGTTCAATTTTTTTTTCCAACAAACCAGCCATATCCCACCGAGGCAGAGTGAACTAAAAATTAAATTAGTATAAATTTACTAATTTATACAGGAGAAGGGGTTACTAGCCACATATGTATCTCATGTAACTCATGCAGAGGCATCATAAGAGGGTTTACTGCACTTTAGAATTGAATTACATTAGCAAATCATGTAAAAGATTTAAAAAGAATTACAAGATTTTTTTGAAGAATCTTCATTCATTTCATACTAATTTCACTCTAAGTGATAGTTATATCATTGCTTACTGTTTAGAATCCTGTTGGCATACTTCCATTAGTGGGTCAAAGTACTGGAACTGTACCTCCAATGCATCATTGAGGGTAACGCGATACACACAGCACTGTTTACAGTTCAACCATATATAGCGGATGCTATCTTTTGATGGAATGAGTGTGAGTTCAGTGAAGCCCTTTGGGAAATATGCAGAAAATTAGGTTATTTTATACAAATGAATGAAAAAATATCAAGAAGATAAAGTATTACCAGTGATGCATTTCATTCACTAGTTAAAACAATGGCATAATTAAGTAACATTAATTATTGAGCATATGATAGTAGTTAACTGCACCAAAAAAAAAATCCTACTTAATAGTCTATGTCTAATTCATAAGTAGCCTTCAAGCGCTATGATTAGTTTCCCCGAAATGTATTTGCATATTAGTTGCTTTCTGTGCCTATGTTTTATTACATGCAAACTTCAGTATCCTTGTACAGCATAAAAAGAAATAAAAATTTGAATTTGAATAAGAAATAAAACAGAACGATGAATAAAGTCTAACTGTAATAGCCAATAGAAAAGGCAGATACAGAATATATTTTTTTCACAGACAGACATACAATCAACGACATTCACTTTCTTGTATTACACCAATTCGAGTTTTATGAATTAAAACAGATGACGTGTAAAATACGTACTATACACAGAACAGACTACAGTATATTTTAACTATTATCAGCATATGTAATATATCTAGAGTACTTACAATAACAGTCTGTCGTATAAAGTTGATGCCAGTCAGGCTCAGGATCTGGTGAGACGTATGGAAATTTTTTAAATCATCTGGTTGAAGACATTCATATAGCAAGAGTACTGCACATATATATACATCTGTAAAACTGGCATCCTTTCTCAAATATAAACAGCAAAGTTCAAACAAAAATCATCTTAGATACTAACAGATACTAAAACAATAATTTTTAAAAAATATATGTATTCTCAATAAATTCTGGGTGAGTTATACTTCACAAATGGTGAAGTAAGTAGAATCTAAACATTTATTGTAAAATTTAGTGAAAATCCTTCATAGCCTTAAAAGAAAAAAAAAAGTCACTGGAATACTTATAATTTATATGCCTTTTGTATTTCTCTATCCTTCTTCATTTTTCCAATTCTTTTCAGTCTTCTCTGCTACATTACATTTACTGGCATCATCTGAAAAAATAATGCATATACTGTATTAACATAATTACTTTTATATGTAAAATGGTCATATTAATAACACATTACTAAGTTCAGTTTTTAGAAACCAGCTTTAACAGGCTTAGAATTCAATTACAGTAGAGTACTTGTCTTATTTTTTAACTATTTTTAAAGAAAATTTCAGTAAAAGTATTTTAGTCAATGATGCTCTTTTTAAAGCTTAGTGTCATTTGAAAAAAAGATCATTTTTTTGTTAACTACCTGTATTGTAAGCCCTTTTTGGTCAATGGATTTCTTGGTGCTCTTTTTTTGATTACTCGAGTTATTTTTGGAGGGTAAATTAGTTCCTTTGATAACTCCAATCACTGTAAAGAAATAGACAAAGCAAGGAAAAAGGGGTTTATGTGATTATATAAGAAATGACTTACAACTCAGAACCTGACTTAACATGATAATCAACTGCAAAATTTGTGGTTCAAATTTAAGTTGCCTTAAGCTAAACACTACTGGTTAGAAATGTTTCCTGCAAATCCTCCCTGAGTCAACTGGGTCAACTGCTAGGGTGCTATAAAAACCTTACCTGGAATTTACCTGTAGAGGGTTTCGGGGGTCAAAGCCCCCACGGTCAGGCCTTGTGATGGATCAGGGTCTGATCAACCAGGCTGTTACTGTAAAACAATTATAAGAGGTACTACGAATATGGATGGACTGATTATGTATCAGCCCCCACACTACCTCACCTAATATATAAGCTATGAAGAAATCAGTTAAGTGGTCATTCATACAGAAATAAGTAATCATTACTGATACTTCCACCCAATCAAGCCATCTAAAGTCAGTACCTGACCAGCCGGGCTGCGGTTTGTATGTTGGATTGCGTGCAGAAAGCAAGTACAGCCTGGTTGATCAGGTCCTGATCCACCATGAAGCCTGGTCACAGATCGGGCCATGGGGGCATTGACCCCCGGAACTCTCTCCAGGTATACTCCAGGTATCAGATAACTAACAGAATAGCACAATGCACTCAAGATAACTATTATCACAGTGAAATACAGTTTTATCATATTGGAAAATCATGATTATTCTATGGTATATAACAAATTGGTGAGGTAAACTATGCCTGAAAAAATTCATATCTGTCTTTACTACCATATTTGAAATTGCAACAACAAATGCTAAGTTATAAAACAAAACTGAGCCTTGGATGAATAACAAGATTTTTTTATTATTATTATCACACTGGCCGATTCCCACCAAGGCAGGGTGGCCCAAAAAAGAAAAACTTTCACCATCATTCACTCCATCACTGTCTTGCCAGAAGGGTGCCTTACACTACAGTTTTTAAACTGCAATATTAACACCCCTCCTTCAGAGTGCAGGCACTGTACAAGATATTTGGCTCAAATATATACAGAGATCAACTACTAAGAAAGGTTAACACAGAGAGCCAAGACAATGTAGTATTGTGTGATAAGAGGACAATATTTACACAGTGAACCTTTATTTAATGACAATGTTTTGGCCACACACAGGTTTTATCAAGTCAACTTAATAAAGTCAACTTATCAAGTTGACTTGATAAATTATTATTATTATAATCAAAGGGGAAGCGCTAAACCCGTAGGATTATACAGTGCATGTGGGGAGGGATGTGGAAGATTTTCAGGCTTAATTCGGGTAACAACTACTACTACTACTACTACCACCACTACCTCTTCCTGCCTATATATACCCGTCCTGCTCTACTTCTTGTTAATGTGACTTTGTAAATGGTCCAAGTCAGACCGAAAAGTCGTCGTAAGCTCCTCTCTTCTATGTACGGGTTATTTGTGTATGTTTAATCTGATAACTGAAGCACAGATCCAATTTCCTAGATCAAGAGCCCCTCATCAACATGGTGTCCTCTTACTGTACGTGTCAGCAATCCCATCATTCTAGTGCATTAATGTGCAAATTTCAGGGTTGTCAATAAATAATACAGTATTATTACTAATATATCCAAGGTTTTTCCTGCTAACAAGAGACACTTCTACCACTGAGTTATGGAAATAAGCCACATTGTTTGGCTTTCTTTATTTGTCCTGGCTTATTATTTCTCTGGAGTTAATAATCCAAATAAAGGACATTCTCTTTGAAATTTAACCTAACACAGGTATAATCCAACCAAGTTAAATAGTATGACATATTTTCATTGTACAAAATATGTTTATTTATTAACATGTTTAGAAACAATTTAGCTTGAATATAAAGAGAACATTATTCAGATTATTAACCTCAAAGAGTTATTAACCCAGGATAGCCCAATAAAGCCAATCAGTATGGCTTAATTCCACTGGAGTATTTTTTTAAATCCTCCCACAGGATGCGACTCACATCAGAAGACTAACTCCCTGGTATACCTAGACACCTGGAGTATACCTGGAGAGGGTTTTGGGGGTCAACGCCCCCACAGCCTGGTCTGTGACCAGGCCACATGGTAACTCAGGGCCTGATCAACCAGGCTGTTACTGCTGGCTGCACACAACCTGATTATTATTATTTTCACATAAAATAGCTAAATCTACAGGAGTCGTGTAGTACCTGGTAAAATGGAATCAATTAGGTTTGATCTGGGAAGGGTAGCTCCAATTCCTTAGATCAAGAGCTACAGACAGCTACTTGGTGAAACTTGGTTTTTATTTTCCATTTTTCAATATATGCCACCAATGTACATCATGGGATAAGCAATAATTTCCAAGGTTATATTCTATACATTTTATTATATGAATTATTACTATTATCAAAATGAAGCGCTAAACCTACTAGGCTCAAAGTTTATTATATAAAACCATTGCAAAAAGAATCCAATGGAAATAAGTCAATTTTTTTTTTGGGTTATCCTAGGTAATTTACACATATACTGCTATGTATGATAATTTACATAACTGTATTTATGTATACCTGTACCTGAATAAATTTAAAAAAGTTTCAAAATATATACGAGTACTAAATAACATAATTTTCATTAGTCCCTTTGAAGTGTTTTTAAACTTGAATAAATCCATCTGTTTTTTTATTTTAAACCTGAATAAACATATCACTAGCCACCACCAAGTTTTAAGACTTAATATCACATCATTACACCAATATCTTTAGTTGAGGTGAACTGATGTTGTTGTTGTGGGATTAGTCCACCACAACTGACGCCGTAAATCAATATTGAATCTTTTATTTTCTGTAAAAAATTACAAAGGGTGGTTACAATTAAATTTTTATTTATTAAATATATTATTATTATTTTATTTATTATTATTATTTAATAAAAAAAGCGCTAAACCCACATTTATAAAACAATTACAAAGGTCCTGGATGCTAGCATTTAGGTAGACTAATAATTTTATTCTATGTTATAATTACAATTGATTTAAATGGATTTACTATAGTAGTGAAGGGGACAATTGTACAATTAGTGTTGTTTCACTGTCCACAGACATAAGTAGGTTTTCAGGCACAGGTACATTACTGTAACATCAATTTGTACATAGATCATATATGTATTACTTGGATAACCCAAAAAAGTGGTTATTTCCTCGGGTCTTTGTAAATCTTATTATTTAAACTTTAATTTGGGTCCCCAATATAATTAGGTACAGGTACATATAAGTACATTTTTGAAATATTAAAATATAATAACGTATGTAATTACCAGGAAAACCCAAAAAGTAAGATAGTGACTTATTTTCATTAGGGTCCTTGTAATATCCTATTTAAAACTTAATTAAATCAACTGTCTGAAAAACTTTTATAATACAAGGAGTATACTAAGAATAAGGGAAACTAGTTTTTTTGCGTTTTAAAAACATTAAAGAAAAGGATCAAAAATTACATTATTATTATTATTATAATCAAGGGGGAAGCGCTAAACCCGGAGGATTATACAGCACCTGGGGGAGATGTGGAAGGCATTCAGACTTAATTCGGGGAACTGGAGCACAGATCCAATTCCCTAAATCAAGAAGCCCCTCACCAAATCACCAAGGAACCTTCCTTGAGGGGTCCCTTTCTGTAGCATCATTCATTAGGTACCTTTCAGCTCTTTTTGAACTGGCTTATGCTATGACTGGCTCAGACATATGCAGGCAGTTCATTCCATGTGTTTGAAGCCTGACCATTGACTGTGGGTAATGCAAGTTGTGTTCCCTTCCCCTAGTACTATACATGTTTTAGTTCCCAGCCTTGACACACTTGGCAGCAAGATATTCTGGGCTCTGTGAGTAATTTTATAAATTTGATTTAATTTCAGTTGTTTCAAACCATGGCTGTACTCACCTATTTATGGTTGCAGGGGTCAATTATCATAGTGTAAATTACCTACGTATCGTAATCTAATACTTATTATACCATTAATCAAAGATACTTTAATATCTGAAATGAGAATTAAAGTAAGCTGTCAGCTTAGCTTTATCATAGATAAGTTCTACATAATTTACTACATAAAACCTTTGGAAATAAGTCACTGACTTTCTTGGGTTATCCTGGGTTCTCTACTCATATACTGCTATGTATGATGATCATTGTAACTGTATGTGTATACCTGAATAAACTTATTTATTTACTAAAGTTTCAAATTATGTATGAAAGTGAAAATAAAAGCTTACTAAGTTCTCCTTACAACCATTCTTGTATTGAATCTCTGCACTTACATTTTCTTTGATTTGCAATTACGTGTATTGGGTAAACTTCATTATATTTAACGATATGTAGATTCCATCATATATTTCGTATGGAAATAGAGTACAGATCCAGTGAAGTTCCTGTTTGGTGATGAACATTCACTTTGAGTTTTCCTACTTCAGAAGTCAGTTACTGAGTATTTAATTATGCATCAGGCACAGTGAAGAGTGAAACAACGGAGGACAGATTAAGATAAGATTTTGTTTGTAATTTTAACCCAAAGGGTTAGCTACCCAGGTAACTAAATAAAGTCCGTTTGTCACTGGGGACTGTCTTATTTCCACTGGAATCTTTTAATCTTCTCCCCCAGGATGCGACTCGAAAGTCAACGCTGTCCGTCGTTCAATCCCTTGCCGAGTGGAAATGTTGGGTATGTTAAGTAAGTTATTATTCAGGTATACACAAATACAGTTACATAGAATTATTATACATAGCAGCATATGTGTTTCCTTATACCTGCTGTCCCTATTCACCTATTAATACGAAGGTATCTGGGTGTTAGTCCATCAGTGTGGGTCGCATCCTGGAGGACAAGACTGAAGAACCCCAATGGAAATAAGATAGTGCTCGATGACGCACTGACTTTCTTGGGTTACCCTGGATGGCTAACCCTCCGGGTTAAAAAATCCGAACAAATCTTATCTTAGGGGGTACTTATTGCTAGGCGAACAGGTGTGGCAGGTGTAAGGAAACATGCCCAATGTTTCACCCGTGCTGGGGATCGATCTCAGGTTCCTTAGTGTGTGAGCTGACGAAGGTATGAACTAAGCGGCGTACGTTCAATAAACACTAGATGCAGTTCACCTTAATTTCCCGTCAGAATCTGTACTTGTATATTAGTAGTTTAGCGAGGGACTAGTCCCAAATCTGTACACAGAAATCACTTTCTACGCTAGCAGGAGACTTGACAGGAGGTACAACATCCCCCCAATGAAAAGCTGAGGCGCCATCAGTATGCTAAGAGACAACACATTGTCAGGGGCCCAAGACTGTTTAACTGCATTCCAGCATACGTAAGAGGATTACCAATAGACCCATGGCTGTCTTCAAGAGATAGCTAGACAGCCCGGCTAGTAAGTACCTGACTAGCCAGGCTGTGGTTCGTAAGCTGGTTTGCATGCAGCCAGCACCAAGAGCCTGGTTGATCAGGACGATCCACCACGAGGCCTTATCATAGGTTGGACCAGGGGGGAGTTGACCCCCGTAACACTCTCCAGGTATTAACATGTGTTAGTCTTAAAAGAAAAAAGAAAATGTTTGTGTTTTACTGTCTTGAACACTTCCCCGAGGATAAGGAAGAGTAAGTATAGTCGTTTTTTTAAAGTTCCACACTAATTGAGTTAGTAGTTAGTTTAATCATGTTTATTCACCCCATTACCCACGGGGGGTTGATCCCGTAAGATTACTCAGGTACTAATAATGATGTATAGTCTTAAAAGACAAAAAGAAAAGTTGTGTTTTACTGTCTGAACACTTCCGAGGAATAAGGACAGAGTAATATAGTCGTTTAATATTAAGTATTCCACTAATGCGTGATTAGTTTATTTAATCAAGATTTATTATGCAACCCAATCCATCGTGGGCGGTAGTCAAAAGATTATGAGGTACAAATGTCACATTGAGCGAATATATCATTAATTATGAACGTTCACACAAATTATAATAGTGTGCAGCATATCATGTAAATTCGGTAGAAGAAAATTTGAAACATGTAGAACCATCAGCCTAGGGAAGTTTATAAGAAATAAATGATCATTAACTCACAGGTATTATGCCGTTTGAATGAGAAAGATGTGCATGGGGTGAATAATAAAGTGCTAACATTAAAATGAAGAAGAGGGGGAATGAAGATTAGTAAAGATAAGGAGATAGGAGTAGAACATGAAAAGGAGGAAGAGGAAGTCAGGAAGACAGAGGAGAGGATAGAAAATAAGGTGGTGGTGGGTGGTGTCAAGGGAACTAGGGTGTAGCATGAACACACCCACGCTTCATCCTCTCCCATCCCCCCAGTGTAACCTTGTAGAGGTATGTATCTGGGTATGTAGGCCACACTACCACCCTGGGGCACACCAGGACTGCCCTGGCTGGACGCTGCCTTGCTTCCATGACCTCTACTCCCACCCACTACATATTCCTCTGAAATCTCTCAGCTCAGGTAAACAGATTTTAACATTCGAACATAATAATGGACACTGCAGCAGGGTTCCTGGCCAATACTGGAGCACATATCAAATTCTCTAGTTTAATTATTATAATAAAAAATGAGCGCTAAACCACAAGGGCCATACAGCCCTAGAGTTTAAGCTTAAAAAAAATTCATTAAACACATAGCGGGAAATAAAATTCAAATCTTTACCGTCTTCAAGTTTTTAATCTAATTCTTATATTAACAATCAAAATGAGAAGCGCTAAGACCACAAGGGTGCTATACAGCGCTTTCAAGCATTAATGACCCCCTACCTATAAGTTTCAGCTATAACATAGAAGCGATAAACCAGGAAGTTATACAACTGGTGAATGGAGACATTCATACAGTCCAAGCAAGGGTTAGCTCAATTCCATTTGATCAAAACGGCCCTTCATGCGCGAGCATTATGTACTCCATACACATCATTTGAACGCTTGTTACTAGTAATGGGGAAGCTCTAAACCGCTCGTTATATAGCGTCTGGGGAATGGGAGGTAATGTTTGATTCAAGGAATGAAGGTGGCTATTTCCCATTAAGACTCCTTTAAAATCAAGGCACCACTCACCATGGAGTTACTATTATCGGGAGCGCTAAATCCGTTATACAGCGCCTGTAGGGACGGAAAGCATTCAAGCTCAATTCAGGGAATTGGAGCATAAACTTCCTAGATCAAAAGCCCTCACCAGCGTCAATGAACCTCCCTTGAGGGGTGTTGCTGATGAAAAGTCAGGAGTTTGTGTCAAAGTTTGGACTATCAGAGGAGGGACGATAAAATAAGGGTGCTTGGGCAGTAACGACGTCAGAGGTAAATTCGGCATGCCCACGGGTACACAGGACAGTAACAAGGTCAGTTCTCACAGTAATACTGGGCGCCTCTCCGTGAGTGAGAGTGTACAAAGTAGTTTACTCATGCCAACAGGAAAAATGGTATATATAAAAAAAAAACTCATACGAAAATATTGTACTGAGCATTTACGAGGCAGTTACATATGTATTTTTCTGGGGAAGCGCTAAACTTGTTAGGTTATACATCACCTGGGGAAAAGTAATCAGGTTTGAGCTGAGAAAAAATTCCTTGGATCAAAAGTCCTGCATCAAGGTACGTCCCTCTTGAGGTGTATTAAGTTAAGCTTGT